GACACACCTAAGACCTGGGCTTTTTTCGCGTCGTCTTCATCTTCTTCTTTTTTCACATTGTCATAAATAAACAAATAACTGCGGCACATAATAGAAACGTGTGAATGTGTGTCTTGGAATTTTTTTGAATGAATTTATGTTGGCCTACAGTGACAGTGATTTTTTATAGATGATTTGTTGACAACTGAATAAGATGAATTCCAATAGGTGTCCCCTTCAAAACCCAAGTAAAAAAAATCCGACCGTCAAACATCAAGCTAAACGTCATAAAAGTTACCCCCTATCACATCAATGAACACGTTTTGTTACATTCGGTTCATTTGTTTCATTGTGATGAAAATATTCCATTCGAATAGTGATGTATAAAATAAGAGCACAAGGTTGAGGAAAGGTAACGTATTCCCATCTGATAATATGTGGAAGATATTTGTTGCAAATAGGTTTCATACCCACCAAGAAGCTGGAATGGCAAATACTAAATTTTGCCTTTGTCCATAAAATTTTCGAAAATGTAACGGGAAGAAGCTGTAATGCAGTCCCTTGGTTTGGAAAATATGGAAAATGGAAAGAGGACAAAACGATTTTTTATACCCTTCACCACTCTGTGGTACAGGGTATTATGTCTTTGTGCATATGTTTGTAACAGGCAAAACGAAGCGGTTTTTTGAGAATATGCATATAAACACTTTCTGAGACGATTTATGCATGCCCGTCTGTCCGTCTGTTGATGTTAAATTGTAAACAAGGTAAAGGTCGCATTTATAATCCGATTTGTATGAAATTTCGTACAGCTCATTTATTTGGCCCAAGGACGAACTCTATTGAAATTGGGAAAAATCGGTTCAGATTTAGATATACATAGCTCCCATATATAATTTCGTCCTTTTTAAGGTAAGTTGTGCATCAAAGTCCCTATATATCTTTCGATTTGCACGAAATTTGGCACAGCGTATTGAATTCAGTCTTGAATGATGTGTGTTAAGTTTCTTGAAAATCCCATATATATTTTCGTCCGATTTAATGTAAATGGTGCACCAAAGTCTCTAAATATCTTTCGATTTGCTCGAAATTTGGCATAGCGTGATAAATTAAGTTTAGAATGATGTGTGTTAAGTTTCCTGAAAATCGGTCCAGATTTAGATATAGCTCCCATATATATTTTCGTCCGATTTAAGGTAAATGGTGCACCAAAGTCCCTAAATATCTTTCGATTTGCACGAAATTTGGCACAGCGTATTGAATTAAGTCTGGAATGATGTGTGTTAAGTTTTGTGAAAATCGGTTTAGATTTAGATATAGCTCCAATATATATTTTCGTCCGATTTAATGTAAATGGTAAGCCAAAATCCCTAAATATTTTTTCGATTTGCACGAAATTTGGCACAGTGTATTGAATTAAGTCTGGAATGATGTGCGTTAAGTTTCGCGAAAATCGGTTCAGATTTAGAAATAGCTCCCATATATATTTTCGTCCGATTTAATGTAAATGGTAAGCCAAAATTCCTAAATATTTTTCGATTTGCACGAAATTTGGCACAGTGTATTGAATTAAGTCTGGAATAATGTGTGTTAAGTTTCGTGAAAATCGGTTCAGATTTAGATATAGCTCCCACATATATATTTTCGTCCGATTTATGGTAAATGGTAAGCCAAAGTCCCTAAATATCTTTCGATTTGCACGAAATTTGGTATAGCGCACTGAATTAGGTCTAGAATGATGTGTGTTAGGTTTCGTGAAAATCGGTTCAGATTTAGATGTAGCTCTCATATATATTTTCGTCCGATTTAATGTAAATGGTGCACCAAAGTTCCTATATATATATTTCGATATGCACGAAATGTGGCATAGCGTACTAAATTGTGCTAAGTTTCGTGGAAATAGTTTCAGATTTATATATAGCTCCCATATATATTTTCGTCCGATTTTAGATAAATGGTGCGCCAAAGTCCCTAAATATCTTTCGATTTCCATGAAATTTCGCATAGCGTACTAAATTAGGTCTAAAATGATGTATGTTAAGTTTTCTGAAAATCGGTCCAGATTTAGATATAGCTCCCATATATATTTTCGTCCGATTTAATGTAAATGGTAAGCCAAAGTCGCTAAATATCTTTCAATATGCACGAAATTTGGAATAGCGTGCTAAATTAAGTCTAGAATAATGTGTGCTAAGTTTCCTGAAAATCGGTCCAGATTTAGATATAGCTCCCATATATATTTTCGTCCGATTTAAGGTAAATGTTGCACCAAAGTTCCTACAAATCTTTCGATTTGCACTAAATTTGGCATAGCGTACTAAATTGTGTCTATAATGATGTATGCTATTTTTCGTGAAAATCGGTTCAGATTTAGATATAGCTCCCCATCGTCCGATTTAATAGGAATGGTGCAACAAAGTTCATATTATATCTTTCGTTCAATTTCATGTCTATATTTTTTCGAAAATCGACGTCTGTTAGGAGACTATGTAGTAGTCTAAGTAGTGAAGGATATCATATAGTCGGCCGAAAAATGTTATTTCAATACTAAAATAGCATAGAACCGTTAATTATAAATATAACTTTTTTCAAATTAATTTTTGCTGCTATTTTAGTATTGAAATAACAATTTTAATTTTTCAAATAATTTTTTGCTGCTACTTTAGTATTGAAATAACATTTTTCGTTGTCCTTGATAGTTAAATCCCACACTATATTGGATCAAATAAAGTGATATCTGTCAGGGCTTCGTTTTTAAACTTTTATTTCGATACTGGCATATTTCATATATTATGTAAATATACCACAAGTGTATTAGCTAAACTATTCCTATTACCATTATATGTATATGGAGATATATAAAATAAACATAAAAAACACCTGTTTATGACATTTTAAAGACAATCAACTAATTACCAATACCAATTTTTACTCATCCACAACCGACGAAGATGACTTGTAGAAAAATCCAGAGATGCAAATTTTCGGGTATGTATGCTGCACACATACATACATCAACATATATACATTCATTCAACATGACCTATCGTTTTACCAGCTGAATTAATTGATTGTTTACATTTTGTTTTCTTTCTCTCTATTTGACGAATATACAATTTGAGATTTTTAATTAATTTTTTACAGATCACAATAAAAGGGAGTGACAGAAAAAATATAGAAATAATGTTTTAATAGAATTAAAATAAATATTATTATGACAGGTTCATAGTCAATTTAATCATGTTACATCTTACTGGACCGTGTTATGGATTTCACAATAATAAACGCATATTTAATAATATTGGAATTGAACGTAACTATTTTGATATAATAATTTTACTTATGTATTGTATGCATATGTAATATGCAATATGTAAACAACATCAGCTGACCGATACAATATACACCAAGATCACCCAAGTAGCAATCGGCATCGAAAAACAGCTGTTTTTTTCTTAAGACTAATGTCAAAAATGTCGACAAGTCTAATGTCAAAAATGTTACGTTTTCATAATGTAAGTCACAATAATAAGGTGATGTACCAAAACAAAAACCTTTGTTTTTGTCTCGATTATCTGTCAAATTTTTCCATATAATATTTGAAATGGTTGGCAACACTGCACATCGAATTCAAGTAGAAATTACCCACTTTGACAGTTAATCAAGACATCAGCTGCGCTAAATGGACTACCTATTCATTGTGCCATGTTAAGTCAATTCACAATAATGCAGCACAATGACAGCAAACTTGAGTGGCGCAGATATCCAGCTGTTATCCCTGGGTGACTTTGTTTATAGGCCATGATATACACGATTTTGACAACAATTATTCGATAACGGAATTAATCGATTTTAGATCATGGACAGAGTTATCCATGTTCTGACGAGCATTCGAACAACGTAGTTCGATTTAGAACATCTGATGTCTCGATTAACTGTCAAAGTTCGTAATTTCTACTTGAATTCGATGTGCAATGTTGCCAACCATGTGAAATATTATAAGGAAACATATATATATATCCACTCGATTTGCGAACAGGATTGACGTGACATATACGCAATGGAATTGACGTTTAAGATCGGGTGGATTTAGTAGTCTAAACGCGCTTTAATACAAGGTAGGACAGTTTGAGGTGAAAACCAAAAAACAACTCTATATGTAGTGCCTTCTTCTGTCAAATATAAAATAAATTACAAGAAAAAATGCTAAAAATTAAGAAAAGGTTATGATTTCTTTCCAAAATCCAGTAGAGAATACCATTTTCTAACAAAGTGATTGTAGTTTGGCATTTCGGGTTCTCGTGGTGTGAAAAACATATTTGCAAAATATTTTAAATCTAGAACCATGTACGTTAAAATTCCGATAGAAAACGCAATATTTTCGATAGAGCTTTGAAAATTGGCACATAAATTGATAATAATTGGCCCAAGTTCCGGGTAAACATTTCAGGGTAGTCACATGTAGCTGTTCACAGAGTGGATCGATCGTTCTCGTTTCAATTGTAGAAATGAACTAGTTCCTTTGATACTTACAGTTCCGACTACTAGACAGTTCAAGGACGTCTGCACAGGTTCGAATAGTGGAAAGCCCAGTATTATTCATTGGGTAGTCGTGAATATAAATAAACATTCGCGGACAATCGGCGTGTCATGAGGGAAAGTCTTGGGATGAAATGAGCGAGTGCATATGATTCCAGGACTAACGAGGCGAGAAAGGCTTCTTAGATCTTATGCCATTCAATTCCTAAGTGGCCACCCTAACACTGGGGTGTTAGACTGTATTCAAACAGAGCCTTGACGTCTCAACAAGTGTTTCAGACTTAATTACCGAGTCCTTACCATGGTAAGAGACTATGCCATGGCTGAATCCTAGTGCTCCCTTCAAAAATCTTTTATGAAGCCGACATTTTCTTCAAAAAAATGTTATCGGATGCGATTTGTCGACTGATGTTGGTGTGACTGCCTTGGCACCCTCAGTCTCGAACTATTCAACGACAGATTCCAATCAACTTCCACAAACGATGACGACTAATGCCAATGTACCGCACAACTCTTTGATTGCTTTAATCCCCATAACTGTCGACGATGCCGAAGCAAGCCTGGAGAATCATGCGGACCTTCTCCTGGACCTTATTGTCAGGAGAGTATCTAGACTCATCTGTGGGATGACACGGCCTTGACAGACGAGGGAGACGCTATGGATACAACTGTGAATAGCACTACAGTGATTAACACAATGGCTATCTTCCTGGCAAAAAATGATCAATGTCTGTCCACTTTGATGATTTCAGGCATGTTTTTCAATCAAGCGTTCAATTCAGGCAATTTTTTCGAACACTACGCCATATTTGCTACATGTTCATGATCCTAGTCCAATATTCCAATCTGAATGCTAATATTTCTTATATCCCACGATCGATCACTCGATTTTAGTAACTTTCAATTTTCACTATATATAGGCAACCTGTTTTATATTCCCAGTATAAATTCCACATTTATATATTATAAGCTGATTTCTTCTAGTACAAAATTATATCATTAAAGTTGCTTTACAAAGATAACGCATCCATTATTTCATTGTGCTCTTATGTTTTTTCATTTGGGCGCCACAAAATTGTGAACATCACGTACACATAAGTTTATGACCAAGGATATTTTTAGCATAGAACGACCTTTATCGATTTTATCCAGTATCCAGTTGGTTACCTCATGCAATTATGTTACCACATATAAAGTACACACATACATACACATTTACATACTTATTATGTATCGACATAATAATAATTTCGCACATAATCATTATTTTGAATGAATTTCATACTTGCATACACACACACATTTTAACATTGTATGAACTTGCATTGTACACTCAAATTAGCCGGATCACTTTGTCAGTTATATGATTTTGTTTTTGCAATTGTTGTTGTTGTTGCTGCTCCATTGTATAGCCTAATAATAGTTACTAGCTTCTACGCATGTTACTGACACTTTTAGCACTACCACTGCTAAAATCAAGTAATCTCTTGTGTGTGGGGTCGTCTGCTGAGTGAGATTCGGAATTTTTTTTTGTCAACACCATGTCAGTGTTTGGCGGTAAACGCTTGATTTGTACGGCAAGAAGAAGAAAACAACAACTACTACTACACAAGCGACAACGGCAGCAGTTAGCCAGCCAGCCTTAACTATTTGTTTGAATATTTGATTTGAAAACCAAACCAAAAAATGTTTAACGGTGCTATAAATGCTGCTGATATCTTCCAATCAATGTCAGTTTACCTTAAACATCTCAACTAAACGTACTTAAAAACAAACAATTTATTTTTTCAAATTTCAAAATGAAATTCTTAGTTTTGGTAAGTTATTTGAGATGAAGAAAAAATATTTTTAGAAACAAAATCAAAAAGTGTTGAAAAGAAATAACAAATTTATAATAAATTTTTCAAGTTCATAAAGTGTTGATTAAAATATATTGTGTGAAAAAGATCATGGATTGAAATATTAAACAAAAACCGAGAATAATGGGTGTCACAAGTTTCAGAATCTGAAAAATTCTTCTTATAATCAAAATTACATAGAAAATATTTGTTAAGAAATGTGATGAAAAAATAATACAATAATTATGGCGCCCAATCAAGGAATTTGACAAACCAAATGTTATCCTATCACTAATCGTAATATTGTGAAAAAAAATCAGACATAAATCTACTAAAGATATCATCATCCTAATGGCTAGTAATAAAGTCCACGAATGTGATTTTTTTTATTTATATATATATGGGCAATATTGCCAATTTTTTAACATAGCTGAAGCGGAGGTTCACCCCTTTATAACTCGGGAACTACTTAAGTATATGAAAAAAAGTGAATAGTTTTGGGTTAATTGATCTGTCGTTACAAACTGTTCATGATATTGACCTCCAAACTTTATTTTGGTGGAAGCTGTGTCTACTTTAATGTAAAAAAATGTGTAAAAACAGGTTGAGGCGAACCAGTTTTTTATGTTCTCTATCGATTTGTGACTAAGCCACTCATTCCACAGTCTTCGTGTCAAAAGAAAACTAGAAGCCAACAAAATGGGGACTACTCCCCTTATGTATTATTTTTCAAAATTTTAACTGCATCTACCTTTAAATGATGCTGACATTTTGAAGCTCGATTTTGAGTGTTTTTTTAATTTTACTTCTAGCTTTAATATGCAAATAGGGCTTTATAAAAGTCGATTATAAGATTATTGTAGTCGCGAATCTGCGTAATTTGATATGTACTTTGTGTATGTAGTATGCACAGCTTCAGAGTAATACTCATCCGAAGGTGCGAATTTTGTGCGATCAAATTTCTAAAAAACCTATTTTTCCGGTCAAATTTTTAGATCTGTCAACTGAATCATATGGGTACCCGCGATCAATAAGGTGTTTTACGTTTCGGATGATATAAAATCTTCTTCGTGAAAATCCATCTACTAGAACGGCGGGTACTGGCCTTCCAAAAACACGAAATTTTGCAAAAAATGTTTTTGAAAATATCACGGATTTATTTGCGTTTTCTGTGTATCATTTCCGCTTCAATAAATGACCTCATACGGATTTTGATCTTTTTCGAAAAGAGAACTTTAAAAACTTCAGCCGAAAGAGAGATGTACGCAATTTATCTCAAAACTAGATTGTGCTGGCACATCCATGGTTCTTAATGGACCACATTGAAATGGTATAGATCGATGTATTTTTTTAGTGTGCACACCGAAATCGGATGCGCGTTAATGGCATATGGAGTTTTCGGAAATTATTCGCGTTTTACGATTTTTTGGGTACTTCAATGAAACGTGCGGCACATCTTAGACGTCAAATGAAATTTCGCAAAATATATATGGATTGGAAGATAAACTTCAGTACTTCCTGGAAACCGCATGCGCATAAAATGATTTTGAGAATTACGCGATTTAGACGCAATTTATCTCAAAAATAGTGTGAGCTGGCACATCCATGGTTCTTAATGGACCACATTGAAATGGTATAGATCGATGTATTTTTTTAGTGTGCACACCGAAATCGGATGCGCGTTAATGGCATATGGAGTTTTCGGAAATTATTCGCGTTTTACGATTTTTTGGGTACTTCAATGTAACGTGCGGCACATCTTAGCCGTCAAATGAAATTTCGCAAAATATATATGGATTGGAAGATAAACTTCAGTACTTCCTAGAAACCGCATGCGCACCAAATGATTTTGAGAATTACGCGATTTACACGCAATTTAAAATGTATATTTCATAATATTATTTTATTTTAAGATTTATTCCTATTTATAGAATTCTAAGATTTATAGGAAGGGTCTTGATATAATCCGCAAGGCGTATACTTATACACAAAAAAGTGATTATTATTATATATGTCAATTTTTCGGCGAAATTCGGGTAAAATAGCAGAATAACCCCAACATTTTTTCCTGAAATTTCTTGTATACAATTAAAAAAATAAATATGATGACATTATTTTTTCGAACCAAAAACAAATATTTTTCCTCAATATCTTGTTATATTGTCGCTTTGATTTAGAAACCGCTACACGGACTTGTGTGATTTTGATATCATTTGATTCACCATCGTGTTTAGATTGTGTAGATATTTTTAAATTAATTTTTGGTGTGTGTTTGTCATTAATATAATGAAAATATTGATGTAATCTGCTATATTTTTTATTTTTCTCATATTTCGCGAATATGTGCAACTTTATCGTGATTATTATAATATATTCATATTCTTATTTTACGGAGGAAGATATATATCAACGTTTTTGGTCAATATAATAAACGGCGTAATTTTAAGATTTTTTCTTATGCCCAAAATTAAAACCTCGATAACTTTTGCGCGCATCAACCAAAAATTTGATCGCGAACGGTTTCGGAGTCAGAACATTTTTCTCTATATGTGTACCAAAAATCATTGATGTGCCACAAAAACAAAAAAGCTGATTTTTTGAAAATGGAATATTAAAAAATTGGCAATATTGCCCATATATATATATTTTTTTTTTTTTTTTTTTTTGAAAATATTACTATAAACGAAATTCGAGCTATGAAAAATATTTGTTATGCTGTTCTAAAACCCAATATAATATAAAACAAGTTTTGATCGCAACGAAGAATATCCTCTGACTTATTGAGAGGTTATATCATGGTACAATGAATAGGTAGTCCATTTAGAGCAGCTGATGTCTTGATTAACTGTCAAAGTGGTAAATTTTACTTGAATTCGATGTCAATGCTGCAAAATTTTTGAAATATAAAGAACAATTTGACAGATAATCGAGACAAAAAAATGTTTTTGTTTTGATACATCACCTTATTATTGCATCATGGGTTATATCATATTTGTTATCGGTAACTTCTTATATCGATAAAAACAATAATCGTAACTAAATTTTGCACATGATGCAATAATAAGGTCGTCCGATATGGCCAGATGATTTCAATAGTGTCTCATTATTGAGTATTGCAAGCATCTACTAGATTTTACTATTTTCTTCGATATCATAAAGGGAAAAAGTGTTATCGTAGTAAAAAATAGTAGATTCTTGTAGTACGGGAACATACCATATATTAGCTGTCATGTGCCTTTAAAGCAAATATCTTTCACACAATTTGTAGTTGTAATATTTCTTTAAGTTTCTCTAGAGGGAATATCGGTTTAAGCCTTCTGCTACCTTCGCAACCATGGCATAATTATACAAGGTAATCTCATGCAGTCATATGTTTCCAATTTTTTCAAAAATTTGCCTTTGACAGTATTCAGCTTTTTTTAAATGAAAATATCCTCCTTCGATATGTACGTATGTCATGTGTTCAGCGGCAAAAATTGCTAAGTCTGCTTTTCCACAGGCAGATTTTTATTTGGCAAATTTTTTGTTTTCTCTTTTGAAATTTTCGCTTGCTTGCGAATCAAAATACAAAAGAAAGGAAATAAAAGTCAAAATTGTTTGCATTTAAAGATTTTTTAATATTTTATTTATTTTTTATATATATTATTATATAAATTGCAAAAATTAAAAATTAAATTTCACTTGCACAAATTAAAACAACAGGTTTGTAAAAAAAAGCCGGCTGTGTGTCAGTAAAGCGAATAGGTTCAAAAGGAAATGTCAACAAAATTGTTTTCAACGAACAGAGCAACGCAGAATTTGCGTGTACGGCAAATTCTGAACAGGCAAATTTTTGTTTTTCTTCCTCGCACCCCTCTCGCCTACAAACTCAGTATTTGCCAAATAAAAATTTGCCTGTGGAAAAGCAGATTAAATAATTTAAATTTATAAATATTTTAAAGTTCCCTGCCTCTAAAACTTATAAATATAAGATGTAACAACTATTGAAAGCAATGTTCAGCTTTAGAAAATATATTTTGTTTAATCCGAATCGATGGTAACCTTTCACATCATGTGGTCTGTTCCCGTGCTGCTAGAATCTACTACTTCTTACTACGATAAAGATTTTTTTATTTTATGATATCGAAGAAAAAAGTAAAATCTAATAGATTCTTGCAGTACGGGAACATAATAATGATGTCTAAAAAACCCACAAAGTGCCAAAACTTTGAACGTTTATACAAGGTGGGGCTTCTTTTGTCAACAAAGAAAAAATACACCTCTATATTGTGGCCCATTATGTCAGATTAAATAAAAACAAACAAGTCGTTCTGTTCATTTTAAATATTTTTATTGGGAATATGATTTAAATATTGATTCATAAACGGCATAAACATTAGAACTTTTTACCAGGCTAACCTACTTTATGAGGATTTATTTGGCATTGAGTTGGAGTTGACAATTGAAACCCACTGGGTTAAGGAAATCCGGTTAAATGTAAACGTACTAATGCACAAATCATAAACCTCTTCTCAACATGTTGTAAAATTCATCTTTACACAAATGGATTATATTTTTTTATATTTTTCAAAACATGACATACACAGTCACCCATTTTTGTATACGACTTTGACATAACAAGCCACAATATGAACAAAATGTAATTTCAAAGTTGCTATAGCGTACCTTGAATAATTATACCATGGTTTACACGTGGCATTGATTAAGATTAAGTTTTTAAACACCATGATTGTAGAACGAGTTTGAAAATTCATGGAAATTCTGTTTTACACATTATTCTAAAGCGCGTTTAGACAGTAGATTTTATCGTGACAATGTACATTACAAGATTTAATTGTTAAATCGATCTGAATTACCTCAGTTTACCATACAAAATTAAATCTACTTAATGTCTTAATTTGCTCGACATCCTATACTATATCGACAGAAATTCTAATACAACCCTGTTATTGTACAAAAATAATCTCTTTTACTAAATGTATGCTACAAAATACTTCACAAATCAAAATAATTGCCTAATAAAAATATATGACAGAAGTTGAACATATTAGAATTAAATTTTTAATTAATATTTCTGTTATTTAAAACAATATATGTTTCATTCATTATTGGCCTAATAGAGAGATATTCATATCATAATTACTAATCAACATTTTAGTACATTTAGAAAAAAATCCACATAAATTATGATACCAATGAAATAAGTATGTAAACAAACAGCTGACTGTCAACTTTATATATTTTTATTACTATTCTACTATTTAAAAGAGACAGACAAAACTAATTTTACCGATCGTACTGAAAACACAGTATGTTCTTAGATAAGATCTTTAGGGTCAATGTAAGATTCGCTTTTGTTATCGTCAACAAATAACGTAACCATTTTTACTGTAGGTCATTCATCATTCCTTGTGATCGTTTAAATTTGCTTATTTTCAATATGTAAATTTTCCAAAATATTTTAGACTTTGTCCATTAAATTTTCAGTAAGAAATAGCTATAAAGACAACGTCATACAGTCAATATTATGAATAGCGCTTCTGAAACAAAGAGAATTATATGGGGTTTAAATAGAACATTTTCTACGAATACAACTCTGATTTGCTAAATATTTATTGCCATTGAAATCAATAAAATATAAATAAATAATTTATATATCCTTCTCCTTACAGGCTGTCATCGTTTGCTTTGCCTGCTTGGCTTTTGTCAGTGCTGTACCCATTGAAGAGGCCATTCCTCAAGGTATTGATGGTGGTGCTGCTGCCGGCTCTGAACCCGTCAATCCTGCCGATGATCAATCATTCTTCTTGAAATTGAAGTTGTTGAAGAAACTTTTGTTCCTCGGCTAAACCATTAAAATAACAGCTGCACAAACAAGATGCCATCGATTTTCACCTACATATAACACCTTATCAACCCACCTAATCTACTTTACATATATCGAAATTTTTTTAATTGTTTTTTTAATTAATGCGATGATATTGTAAATAACTCTGTGAAATGTTTCAAGTATTCTGTTCATTTATTTTTAAGTACAAAATATTAGTTTTTTTATAAATAATAGTTAAACAAAAATAGACAAATATAAAAAATCACAAAAATGAATTGGAGTTTTATTTTTTGTTCATTAATTATATTAATTATAAATCTTGAATTGGAAATTGTTTAAACTAGTATTAAAATTTAAATTTAAACTAGTATACAAAATGTCAAAGGAAAATCTCAAGAACTCTTCAAGATATAATAGATTTATTGTGTCAGCACCAAGTGACGGCAGGAGTGATTCTCAAACTTTAAACGCATTTTTCTCGAATCAGTGTTTTACGCATGGCGGTCACGATAACTCAAAAACTAATTATCCGCGATCTCATATGAAGCGAACGGAATATCCAATTTCATCGAAACTTTGCACATCTTAATATTTTTACAAAGCCCAGATGAAGTTCGATGGGACCTAACGGTACATTTCTTCTGGTACCTCACCCACAAAGAGTCATCATTCAATCCGAATATAGAGTACATACAACTTCTTCAGGTACCTCCCTATTCTTTGATATTGCAAATAGCAAATACTGTATTGTCTAAACTTGGCAGACTTTAATATTTCTTTAAATATAGATATAGGACAATTATCGGCTATATAGCACCATCATCTGTTGTACCTCCCCCACAAAAAGTCACAAGTTTGCTAAATAATAAATTTAATCCAAAAAATTTAGAGCTACTCAAACCATAGTTCTACGGCAAACACCATTTAATTTGTATAACCTAAAATACATTTAGAGGGTTGAGAAGAATAGATCTACTTTCCGTTAAAATTTGATTGTGCGACATTTTTGGACAATAATTCCCACATATGAGTATATACATCAATAATATTGGTATACATTTAAAGGTCAACCACTCCTCTTGGATAAACTGTCCTTCCCCGGTTCCTTTTTCGAAAAAAAATTTTGCCATTTTTCTTGCCCTATATGGTCCATATTTTATTTTCCTTTGCAGATCCCCTTCCCCGTGTAAAATTTAGTCTTGTTTGGGTCATAAAATTGATCTCTACACCATCCAGAAAAATAGACAAGAATAATGTTTTTGATCCATTTTATCCTCTAAATATTAAGTGATAATTATCCTAACCTATATATGCAAAACTACATGATTGGTCAATAACTACAACTTATAATGGACAGACGGGTGTTCAAACATGTCTAGATTGACTCAGCTAGTTGAGATTACCAGCCTGTTTTTGTAATTTGTTCCGGCAGTCACACGTATCGTTCGTATTAAAACGTATACGTCGAAAATTTGGTTTTTGTAATAATTGTAAAAGCTTTCGTCTAGAAACGATTGAGCTTTTTCATTCGTTATTAACCATTAGTGCCAAAGTGTTTCTTTTGGTGTCTTGTTGCAAATTTTCCAATAGAATTATTGCAAAATGAGGGTAACTCTGTTTATTGTTTACAAACAGTTTTTTTTTTTTACATAAAAAGTGTCAAAATAGAAAATTCAAAATGTTTGGTACGATTGCAATTAATTTTAATTATAAAGAAAAGCAAAATATTCCCCATAGGAGAATACCTATGGCATTTAATGATACAGCTACATTATTCCACTTGTTATTCACTTCAAATTTATTGGATCCGAAAACAGGACGGCCAGTTGCTAATTGTGGGTAAAGTTCCATGAGATCAACCAATTTTTGGAATTGGGCAATCGTTGTCCTTTTGTTGCTAGGGGTTCAAACAATTCAATATAATTTTTTACATTTCATAGGGATATATAATTTTTTACAAACCATTTCTTCTTATATATTTCATCAGAATTTTCCATATTTGTTACGTTCTTTTCACTAACAACACACAAATTGTAATGAACAAATAGTTTTCTTTATTATTTTTTTTTAAACGAATGGTATTTTCTCTTCGTTTGTTTTTGACATTTTTGTTCGTAAATAACGCACCGTTTTGTATAACAAAAACCAAAAAAATACGAATATCAAAAGCTCTTTCCTATTTCTCACTCACTACAACCGGTAATTTGTTTGCGAAAACCAAAATGAGCAATCGTTCGTTTTTTGGACGAACGAATGGACATTTTACATTTACAAAAACAGGCTGTACGAATAGGTTTACTACAAGGTGAGTCTAGTGGCAATATTTCGCGGTTTTATAAACACGTGGGCCTATAATACACATCACAACATATTTTTCAAGGTAAACAAATATCAATCTTTATTAAAACAAGTATAAACAATATTGATATGACCGAAGCAAAAAATGCCCAAAAATCCGCCCAAGCCATAAATTTTACAAATGTTATGCCCACTTTTGGGCATAAATGCCAACTTTCGGCAACACTGAACAGGATACAACAGTTCATGTTATCAATTCCATTTGCATTGCTCAGTTATAAGAAGCTCCAACGATCGACTTCTAGCTCCCTTATTTTTATTATTTTTCTAAACCTCATTCGTAAACAATCCAACTCCTTTTTAGTCTCCATCCACCTCATTCGTAACTTTCCGTCTCCTTTTTTGACTTCTTCTTTACCGGGCATTTTGTCTTATCCCATCCCATTCGTAGCAGGTGGAACGTTTTTCAATATTTCTGCAGTCGGCGACAGTTGTATTGAATTTTTCATTTAAGGGAACCCCTTCCCCCATTCGCGATTTTAATTTTCTAGACTTTCAAAGGGCTGGTAAATCAATACCAGTGCTCGTTAAGGTTTGTAACTTTGCATATATATATATATATATATATATATTTGAAGATTTAAAAGAGAAGAAAAATAATTTACAAAAAATTTTTGTTATTGCTTTGTTGTTGTTTTTTTTTTTTTTGTAATTAAAGAAAAGTCTTTATTTTTGATGGCGGGCATGATAACTCCTCACTGGAAGATCGGAATCCGAAAATTCCAACGGTGTTAGAAAGAGTACATGTCTGGCTCTCGTATGAACTAAGATTATTGACTTCGCTCTAAAATTAACAAAATGACGGGCCTTTGAAAAAATATTTTTGGAAAATCGCCGATTTTTGACCAAGAACCAAAATAAAAAATAAGGAAGATCTTCACCGATTGGCTTTATCCTAGTTCATACGATAGCTAAACACTCACAGAGAAATGTGTAAAATTTGGAATCGATTGGGATATTAGTTTTTGAGTTATCGTGCCCGCCATTCGCATAAGAGAAAAACGTGTTTAAAGTTTGAGAAGCCCTTTAGCCGTCACTTGATGCTGACAGAATAAATCGGCTATATCTTCTAGAGTTCTTGATATTTTCACTTGAAATTTTGTAGGGACATTCCTAAATTAGTGTAGATTCGAATTATTTAACCCCGAGAATGGGGAGTCCCCTTAAACGACTTCACAATAAACATAATATTAAAATCGAACAACGTCAAAGCTTACTTCGCTTTATGGAAATATTACAAAGATGCAGACATCAAATTCTAAAAATTAAAAAACAATTCATAAGCATAACTACAATTTTACCCGTGAAAAAGACAAAATTTACAATATTCCCAAAAAATATATATTAATACCCGTGAAAGTGGCAATATAGACCTAGTGTCTCATGTCACTTTAAAATTCCTCCCCTAATTGTGGTGGAATTGACATATGGCAACGTATGTCTGAAGAAGAAGACTTCACAATAAAACCCAAAAATAAAAAAAATTAAAACTCGAAGTTGAAAAAAATTAAAAAAATTAAGAAATATTACGTATACAAAAATTAAATAATTTATAAATTATACGTAATTCCGGGGTACAACAAGGAGTACTATTTACAAAATTCACAATGACTGGTACTTTCAGTGAAAATTCAAATCGAAAAGAGGTCCATTCATTATCACGGACCTGACTAATCAAACAGTATGAAAAAAAAATATTATACTATTTAATTAAATCATATTAGTTAAATCCAGTAAGATGTAAACGAGAACGTAAATTCTCTTATTTTATAGACCATAGAACAATGTGTTATCATGTTATAGTGAATAACAAAACGAAGTGTCTTTCAATGAACTAGTTCGTTCCGGAACTACAAACAGCTGATCAACTGTGTTCAAATTGTGATCAGCTGTTGGTTGGTCCTCCTCTCGTTTGTTTTGATTCTCATTCGCCACGGTTGGTCCTCGTCTCGTTTGCTTTCAACTTCATTCGCCAGGTTGGTCCTCGGCTCGTTTGCTTTCACCTCAGGTTTACAGGGTTGTAATTAGCAAACTCTGAATGTGAGCTACCCTTGCTGGTAATATTACACTTATTACGCTTATATATCCCTAAAGTCGACACAATAAAACCAAAAATAGAAAAAAATTAAAACTCGAAAGTTGGAAGAAATTTAAACAATTAAAAGAAATATTACATATACAAAAATTAAATAATTTATAAATTCTACGTAATTCCGGTGTACAACAAGGAGTACTATTTACAAAATTCACAATGACTGGTACTTTCAGTGTTAAATTGAAATCGAAAAAAGGTCAATTCATTGTCAAGGACCTGACTAATCAAACAACAATAGCAGATCTCAAGCAACGTATTGCCGAGCTAACCCAAATCAAGGAACAACATTTGCACATGCTTATGGGTTTTCCGCCAAGGCCATTGGATGTGACACAAAATGTACAGCAAACCCTGCAGGCAGCTGGTATCTGTAATGGTGAGACATTGATTGTCGAGGAGAAGGAAGCCGCTGCATCCGTTGCAGCGCCTAGCATTGAGGATGATGAAGCATTGGCTCGGCGTTTGCAGGAGGAGGAAGAAAATGAGCTAAGGCAATTGGTGGCTGCCGCTACAAACCCCACGGACAGTGGTGGTGCAGAACGTTTAACTGCACTGCCTAACGACACCACCGTGGGTGGTGGCAGTTCTGGCGGTAATTTGAACGGAATACTCCTAAAGAAAGTTGTACCTGCAGACAACTCATGTCTGTTCACCAGTATACGTTTCGTATTGAATGGTAAAATCGACAATGAAGGCAGTGAAATGATGCGTCACATCATTGCCCAAGAAGTTGCCGCAAATCCTCAGGAGTACAATGATGCGGTCTTGGGTAAATCAAATTCGGAGTATTGTGCTTGGATACAGAAGCCGGATTCGTGGGGTGGTGCCATTGAAGTGGCCATACTTTCCAATTACTATGGCGTCGAAATTGATGTCGTTGATATACAAAACGCCATTATAAATCGTTTTGGAGAGGATAAAAACTATGGAATACGAGTATTTTTGTTATTCGATGGTATACACTATGATCCATTGTATTTGGAAACGGAGGTAGGTTTCTTTCTTTGCTAGAATAATATTGTGTTGTTATATAATTTTAGTTTGTTTGTCTTGCTTAGGAACAGGGGGATGAAAGTGTGTGTTTCGAATTCGTATTGAAAGTTAGTGTGTTACGAAAAGAAATATATAAACATGCATTTTTTGTTTTATTGCACACACTCACACACACTTACATACATAAATGTTATAATTAAATATATGTAGGCATATAATAGATAAGGTGTGGACTTCAGAGCTCATAATGGGGGTAATAACCTTAAAGAAAAGTAATATGTGTGTTTACAAAACAACGAACTGGTATCCCATGTATTGTGTCAAGGACAAACAATACTGTATGTGGTAGAATATATTTACAAAAACACCATTTGAGAATTCTGGAAAAAAATATTTTTTAAAAAGGTAACACCCTAGAACGGTTGAAAAATATTTAAAAAAAAACATTTTTTGAAAATCCACGCTCAGAGAATTTATGAAAAATATTAGAAGACCACGATGTTTGTTTTGTGAATATAATAACTTAGAAAACGATTTATTTTTTAAAAAATCCTCGCTTTTAACATTTATGACTTGGAAATCCAGACTCCTTGTATTCCACTCTCTAAAATGTCATTAAACAATTTTTGATGTTGTTCGAAAAAAATGGTTTAAAAAAACATTCTCTGGGAGTCATTAAAAAATCATTTAAAACCCGCGCTCTGAGTGTCCTTAATAGTTGCTAGGTATTACAATTTTGTTAGGCATTAAAAAATTCTGTTTCAATTGTATCTAATAAAAAATAAATAATTAAAATTTTCCTTTTTCTTTATTTTTCAGAGTGGAGTTCCCGCTACCATCTTCCCCATTGAAGAAATTGGCGTCTACCAACAAGCCGAACAATTGGCCAAGGAAGCCAAATCATCGCGTCAATTTACAAATGTCGACAAATTTTCCTTGCGCTGTTTACAGTGTGGCATTGCCATGGTGGGTCAAGTACAGGCCACACAACATGCCAAAAGTACCGGCCATACAAATTTCGGAGAAATATAATATCCTCTAATATTGGGTGCCCTCTACATGTTTGCCTTTTGCGTTTTTATCTATTATCTAATAACACAATGGTTTATGCCCACATCTATGTTATAACACATATACAAGCAATTTATCTTTCAACCTGAACTAAAGGATATTAACAACAACAACAAAAACAGACGAAACAAAACAAAAAAAGCGAAGACAAATTTCTCTTCTTTAAAAATGTGTTATTAATGTTTTGTGTTTCGCACATCTAAACAAAATAGTTTTATACTATATATACTCTACCTATCATCATAGTTTTGTAGGTGCCTTATGTGCTACCTAACTCCTATCGTACATATACCATTATGAACCTCATCTCTTTATGGACAACAACAAACAACCGCTATTAACTATTTATGCATCTCTCCCGACAAAGATTTCCTCTTTCATAACACACACACACACAACAATGCGTAGCTAAACAAAAATGAACATCACGGGCTTTTGGGCTTTGTAACAGAATAAAATATATACATATTTGATTTAGAAGCAACAACAATTTTGTCAGCTAACAAGATATTATTTATGAAGTAAAATATTTTCTCTAAAAAAATTATTTGTTAAATTATTATTTTTGTATTTAATTTTTTATTTCAATATGAATTTTAAAAATAGATTACAAAAAAAGAAACTGGAGATGTGTATTATTACTAAGATAAAAAAAAATCGTGATTTTCGGTATAATCGTTACTCAAGAAAATAAAATAAAAAGAAAATCGGGATTTTTGGTAGGCTTGTTTTTTGAAAATGTTCGTTAAACAAATTCATGATTATTAGTAGAATCGCTCTTGAAGTTCGCTCTGAAAAGTTCCATTGAAAAATCCACGCCTATTGTTATCATGGCTCTTGAAAAATTTTATTAAAAATACACATTGATTCGTAGGATCGACCTTAAAAAGTTTTTAATCCACATTTATTGTAAGTATTGTCCTGGGATAGGTCCTGAAAAGTTTCTTTAAAAAATCCACGTTTTTAGGTAGGATTGCTCCTGAAAAGTGTTTTTAAAAATCCAAGCTTATTGGTAGGATGGTTCCCAAAAAATAAACTTCAATACATCCACGATGAATTCTTAAAAAAATACGTATAGGTGGGATTGGTCCTGAAAAGTTTCTTTAAAAAATCCACGCTTATAGTTAGGATTGGTCCTGAAAAGTTTCTTTAGAAAATCCACGCTTATTATTTGGATGGGTCCTGAAAAATTTCTTTAAAAATCCACGCTTATTGATATGATGGACCCCGAAAAAATAGCCTTGAATAAATCCACGATAATTATTTAAATGATCATTAAAAATTGGCTTTAAAAATCCACAGAGTAGTTCTTCACAAAAAAGTCCTTTAAAATCCGAGTGGTTTTGTGGAATAATCCTAGAAAAGCATTATTAAAAAAATCCACGTGTATTGTCTGAATTATCCTTGGAAAATAGTCTTTAAAAATCCACGCTATCTGGCGGAATGGTCTATGTAAAATAATATTCAAAAACATCAACGATTATTGGCTGAATGAACAAATGTCTGAAGAGTCCACTTCTATTGGCTAAATGACCCTTGAAAAAATGTATTAAAAAAAATGCACCCTGAAATTTATTTTTAAAAATACAGTTGTTGTTGTTGTAGCAGCTCTTTTGCTTTTACATGATGGGCTGATATGACAGACTTTGGCCGAGTAAGACTCACGTCATTTTAGATCGTAGACCCCTCTGTCGTGGAAACGATCCCTCTGTTGTTGTTGCCTCTTTCGTGTAAAACACAGTAATGTCCCTTATTCATTTGATTTTTTAAATCAAATCTTTTTGGTTCATTGGACCTTAAAATGTTTAAAAAAAATCCAAAAGGCCGTTAAAATGTTCTTTAAAAACTGAAACTTATGCCTCGGTTGGACCGTGATAAAATAGTTTTATACGGATTTTTAATAACTATCGTTTTCCCTTACCGGTATCTTGCCAGTTCATCCGATATCCTTATTTATAGTCTAAATTTTATTCCTGTCTGCATGGAAGGTAGACGATCACTAATGTCAACCGACCACCATCATTTAAAACTTCGCAATTATTCTTTAATTATTATACATATATTTATTTCACTATTACCCATACAATGACATTTATGAAAAAAAAGAATTTTAATTAATTCTATGATGATGATACCCATGGTGGAGTCATTGGTGCAGGATTTTGTAAATATGACATGACAACAGCACTAACACTCAACATGAATGATGATAGAACCTAAAAGAAAAAAACATAATTTAATATATCTACAATATATCCAATAAAGTTCTCAAGATATCTACCTGTTTAGCATCGTCACTAACACGAGAACTGGCAAAGCTAATACACGAACAATACAAAGCAAACCAAGCACACCATTTCAACTTCATCATAAGACCACACATGGAAAAGATCATTCCTGAAAAAATAATGAATATCACAAATTAATAATTAACAGCCGAATTTAATTCAAGTATCCATTTTTTATTTTACACATACCCAAGATGTTCATATAGTCTGGTGTCAAATCTTCATTTCCAGTGCCACTGCCATTTTGTCCCTGGGCCTGTGGTGCCTTGTAACGATTTACTTTTTCCTTGCGTCTGGGATCAACTGTGGCATTCATTTTTGTATTTTAATTTATTTATTATTTGGCACTGCACCTATTTGTTAATTAATAATTAACTGAAAAAAGAAACTGGGTCAGTCGTGTCGATGGTTAACAGGAATGATAAAAAATCTTTGATTAGAAATGTCAAAATACAGATGACAAGCAGACTTTGCTGGCAAATGCATTTTATTAGTAATGCGGTTGGCAACACTATTCAAAACTAAGCAATTTATCGTCCAACTAATTCGTATGTTTAGTACTATTTTAGAACTGTTTAATAAAATTATATTGTATTTGTTAAAATATATACGAATTCAAAAATATATAAAAGATTAATATCCCCTTATTTTCCCCCAACATTTATTCATACAATTACGTGGCAAATTATCGATAAATCAATATATCGATTATTTAGTTATGCGTTACGTTCTTCAGTAATTATAATATATTGTCTTCCTAACTGTCACTTGAAAACAAACGGTTTTACACTTTTTCCTTTTCTTCAACATTTCCCAGACAAATTCATTTAATTTTTGTCAAAATGAGTGTTCGCTGCGAATATTTTTTGTCAATTATCTCTGATATTGAAGAAAATGTTGAAAACTTGGTATGTAAATTATTGAAAAACATAATATTTTATCTAATATTTGTGCATATTTAGAATACTGAGGCGTTGCGCAAAATGGCGAAGGGCTTCCCTAAACTTGAACGTTACATACACGACCAAGAGCCAGGCATTTTTGATATGGTTTTGAAGTGGTTCAGTACGTTTTTGGTAAGTTAGGTTGCCGCGTGTATTTAATTACCATTCTTGTCCCAAAATTACATATCTCTAAATAACTTTGACATTAACAAAACTTTAACCAAATTCTAATTATGTTTATCTTTATTGTCATTTGCAGAATTTTCAAGATTTCATTAATCCACATGAAAAGAAATTGCTGCAACAATATGAGAGAGTCGCCATCATTGTCATTACATATATAATAGAATATCTGCAACATACAACAGACGACGTTTCAGAATATCATTATAAATTACTAAAAATGTTAGATAAACTTTTGCACAAACTTCCGCCAAATATTCTAGAGAGATGTAATAAATATGAAAGTGGAACCATGTAAGAGAAAACAAATTTTCAATAAAAAAATATATATTACTCTTTTAATTTATTTTACAGAGCATACCTATGGCAACCAAACGCATATGGAATTGATTACAAGACACATGAATTAATTTTAAAAATATTTTCCATATTGATGAAATATATCAACAGGGACAAATGGAATTTAGAGTTTGAAGAAATTAAATATCTAAATTTGAATATAAACGAAATTGAATTAGAATATGTTATTATGCAAACGGAACATTCTTCATTATCCTTAAAGGTAAGGTGCTTATTTAAGTTTTGTTGAAGTTTTATTTGAATTATTTTTTTTATTTCATTATAGGCAAGACGAGAATTTTTATACAATTACAATAATATACAAAATAATAGCAAATTTGTTTTATTTTATTGTGATTACATTACAATTGGAAATAAATACGATATATTTAAACGCCTGGTAAGTTGCATGGAAATATTTATTTTAATTTTATAACAATTGTAAATAAAACCTTTTCTAGAATTCGGAAAAATTTTGGTTAGAGTTAGATAAGCAAACGCTATCATTTGAAGGACGCATTAAACCTGGCCCAAATAGGCCTTACGAAAACATCGAGGGAAATGTCAATGTTATTAAAATGGAGATGTAAGTTGAATTTTAAAATAATATTAATTCAAATTCAAAAAAATGATTACCACGGTTAATGATAGCATGAATTTTAAACTGAATATACCATACATTGATCTTCCAACAATATTTTTTGGATTTTTTAACTATAATTTATATTTGTCTATATCAACGAATAGAGTAGATTTTTTTTATTAATTTTTGAACTGTTGTTGTTATTTTTTTAATTTTTTTTTCAATTTGTTAGCAATGATGCCATTTTGGCGGTCTACTTCAATGAATCACATTTTGATTGTCCTCATATTATACCAAATGAGCAAATAATACAAATATTTATGACAACGCAAGAACTCGATCGTCTTTGTAGCCATGAAATTATTCAATATTTTCTAAATATTGTATTGACTAAAGGTAATTTTCAATATTATATATTTGAATAACATTATATAAATAATAATTTTATTTATTTACAGAAACACCGCTGTTAGATGACAATAGCAATGCTTTGAATTCTATGCAAGGTAATATATTAATTTCAAAAGAGTATTATTTACACAATCGTCTGATGTGACAGTTTTGGAGCAAGTGGCATCCGCTTCGCTCTATTGATCCACACCAACTGAAGACTGCATTTTTCAAAGTCAACAATGAATTCAAACATTTTATAATTTAATATTTTGATTTTTCAGATAATTCAAATAATTTATCCATAAATAATTCAATATCCAAGCAACCAATAACATGGGATGAATCCGACTTTCAGTCAGACGATGAAATATTAATATCTCCAGGTAATCAATTTGCATTATTGAAATAATTACACTATTAATAATACTATTACAGGTGTAATTGAGAATATTATACATAGACTATCTGAAGATATAATGAATGATGAGGCAAACCAGCAGGAACTACACCATACTAATATTTCACCTATTATGACTTCTCCAGTAATTGCAAGTAGTGTTATTGATATTAGCGAGAGTCTGACGCAAGGACATACCTGTCATATTCAAGCTTCTGATAGTCTTAATACAAATCGTTCCAAAGAACTTCATGGAAATTCAAATGATATCTTTGATGAATCTTTGAATTGTTCTGAAACAATAAATGATGCGGCAAACCAACGGAAAATAAACAATTATAATATTTCATCTATTATGACTACTCCTGTAACCACCAAAAAACGTAAAAGTTTCGTAAAATATACACACCCTTTACGGAAAATCTCTACAAAAAGAAATCGTACAAATGAAAGCGACGAAGAGTATCGCCCGTACAAAAAGCCCAAGAAACGTTCAAATAACAACAAAAATAGGTAAAAACTAAATCTATTTTATATCTATCCTCTATATATTTTAATGTAATTTATTTGTAGAAAATCTGAAAACACTGTGAAGGAGAAATATAATAAAAACATTCAGATAAATAAAGTACAATGTAACGAGAAATTATGCGAGAAATTAAACGAAGTTGATATTAGCGAGAGTTTAATTCAAAGAAGTACTCCTAACTTTCAAGATACTGATGATGGTCACAAACAATCAACTTCTATAAATGGTAGAAAAGAAATACAAGGAAATTACAAGAATGTCATAGATGATCCTTTGGAATGCCCTGATGTAAGTTTTAATATCAATTAAAATTAAATTCAGAAATTTTGCAATTTTTATTTGCCAGCATGAACATCGGAAATCATTTTTTTTTTCAGAAATTTCAGAAATATGCCTATGTTTAATGAATGATTTTTTTCTCCCTAGTTTCAGAAATTCCGAGAAGGCATTGAAGGAAGAACATTATTACAAAGCTCACACAATAATCCCAATAAATCAACACACTTGTTAGACGCTGGAGAAAGTGTAATTTTTGATTTATTAAGAAGTTGCGAAAATACATTAAATGAATTACCAGAACTAGCTTTAGGAAATACGCCTTCAACAAATGTTACTATCAATGAAACAGATGTTTCATCAAATGTCGACGATATTTCAAAACAATTTAACAACAATTTAAGAAGTTTGACAAGTATTGGAAATATAAATTTAGATAATGGAAGACTATCCAAAACAAAAGCTACACAAAAAGAGAGCCAAGGAGTTTCACATAATAGTAATTTGGGAAATATAGAAATCAATTTAAATAAGGAAAATAAAAATCATAAAAGAAATGTGCGACGTGGTATGTCAATTTTAAGACAGATTAGATTATAATAAAATTATTGAAATTAATTTGTAGCAAAAGGTGTTAAACAATGTTTATTCGTTTATTATTTCTCTTTCTAAATTCTTTTACAGAAGAAAATAACAAATCGAAGATAAAACAAAATCCGAAAGAACCAATGGAAGATGCTAAGTATTTAAATACTAGAAAAGGTTTGCGCCCTACTAAACCAATTAAATACGATGATTTTGATTCTTCATCTACGCTAAGCGATGGTTCAGAGAACTCTCCAAAAGGAAATAAAACAAAGAGGAATTTAAAGAGAAAAAATATAACTAAAATTGAGTTATGTGAAACAAGTGAGTAGAAAGCATTATTTATCTTCAAATATTAAGTACAACGATTAACATTAAAATCGGGAACTTATTTCGTATTTTATGATTAGATTTATGACCGTTTTAAAACTTTGATCCCTCTTGGAATGATCAGTGCCCGAATGCACTAAATTTATATTTAGTTTCAATATTAAGGATGAAAGTGGATGGTCTATTCGCTATATACGAGATCAGAATCTTACAATGAAACAAAATTTTAAATATATTTTTTTAATAATCTTACAGATAAGAAGAAGCGACCGGGCATAAAAGGAAATACAAAAGCACCAACATCTTCAAACGATTTAAACACAAGAAACCCTTTACATCCTGATATACTATCTAACAACGAGGATTCTGATTGTATAATAATCCTAAGTAATGACTCAATGATTTCTCCTGATGTAAATGAAAAAACCAGAAAAGATTCAAAAAAATTAAAAAGAAACAGTATTGAATTATATGAAATAAGTGAGTAAGAGGAATTAAAAAATGATCAGATTGAAATTAATTTTTTTTTGTTTTATATTTTGTACACGCAATGTAGATATGTAATATTTTTTTAAATGAAAATGAAAAATGAATTAATACTACAAATAATGTTTAGGATAGATATGTAGTTGGTTACAGAAATATGTGTTTATTTGTAAAGTTTCTCCAAATGAAAAAAAAATACAAAAACTAAATAAATTACACCTTTTATTACATTAAGTCTTTGATGTTGTAGTTTTTAGAATCCAATAATTGGTATACTAATTCATTACTCTCAATTTAAGAAAATTTTTAAAATTATTTTTATTATTTTCATAGATCTAAGCACATAATAATGTCGGCCTCTTAATTTCCTATTCACACAATGTTTCAAAATTATTTTTATTCATCTATTTTTAACCTTTGTAAATTTTTGTTTTAGAATCGTTTTTTTAAGTAGATTTAACTTAATTTAACTTAATTAAAATCTCAGTATTTTTTCATATTTTAATTTAGATGTTTCAAAATATACCAAAACAATTGAAAGGCAATTAAATCGTTTAAGATTGAGCCTCAACAATACCGGCGACAATATTGATATAGAAAATATTTGTCAAATAACTAAAAATATTGTTGTTGTTTCAAGAGAACAACAAAAACAAATTAAAAACTACATAGCCGATATTGAATGCTGGAAGGAACATATAAGAATCCAATATCAATTATATATACAACGAAGTAAAAAAATTCAACGGTAGGTGTAAAATAATGTTTCAAAAATTAAGCAGTTTTAAAACTACGAAAATAATTTAATTGCAAAAAAAAATCTCTTCCAATGAGAATCCAAAATACCAAATTGCACCATAAAATATACACAAAAACACAAACATTTTGGAGGTACTGTCTGATACCCTAAAAAAGTGGACCAATACTGTTAATTTTTAGTAGAAAGATTGGCTAACCAATGACCACTGAGTTCAATATAGGCCGATAACCCACTTTAGGACGTTTTTAATTAATTTAATTTTTCTTTCAATAGATTTCAAACGAATGCCGAACAATTATTATATACCTTGCAGGAAAATACTGATATACTAAATATTGGAATTAACGAAAAATGTGAACGATTGGTGAGACAATTTCAGGAAATAGTAAATGAACTTGAAATAGAACAAAATAGTGAATCGTATTCAAATTTGTAATTTGTTTTGTTGTCATAATATATTTAATGATAATAATTTATAATATGCAAATATTTAATGGGTTTGTATAAACAATTGATAGTAGCACAATTAAAAAATCATGAAAATGTTAATGATTTAAATGATTGAATAAAAATATATTCCTTCTATTCAACAACTCGTAACAAAACAGCATTAAAAAAAAGCAAAGTAATTAGTCCAACCAAGTTAAACTATGTCATAAGCACTCTTTTAACCAACAAACGAGATAGCCCACTTGGTAGATGTAATATGTTACAATTATTACTACTGGGCTTATAAAAAACTAACGCATTCTACAAAGGCCTCTATTCACATTAACCATAAATAAAATTAAAATTAAGGCCACGAAAACCAACCACCCTAATGTTCGTAAATACAGCATATCATTCAATTTCATTTTTCATTTAACACATTACACCTTTTAGCACTCCCATTTGAAATTAATACTTAGACGCATATTATTATTTTGGTATTTAAGCTTAATTGTTTTTGTTTTTTATTATTGTATAAATATAATTTTTTTACTAATATTCGCTTTAAAAATAATAACAGAAAAAATGAAAGAATGAAAAAGAAAACTAACAGCTAACATGTGAGCGCAGGTATTTACTATACAGCTATCATAATTCAAGCTCTTTTGCAATTAACGGTTCCGATAATGCCAGAGGCGACGTCGACGAACCACTGGAATCATACACTGCAGGTGTTATATATTTAACAATGGTAAATATATAACCAGGTATATAGACATATGTCGAATACAATATCACACCCAGTGTAGTTGCAAATAGACAATCTGGAAGGAAAAAGAAAAAAAGAGTTAAAATGAATCATTTGGTGGTAACTGATAAGCAAACCAAAAATATGTATTGTCATCGGTATCAATAAAAAATGTGCGATATTAAAAAGAAAATGGTGGGAAGTGGTTTAACATTACCTAGTAAATTCATTTTGTTTTTTTTTATCAACATGCCATTGTCAATAAATAAATTTTATAACTGATATTGCCGAAGAAGAAACCGGTAAACATTTGTTCTATTCTATTTTACACTGTCATAAAGAGTGGTTTGTTCGTATAAACTCTTTTAACCAAATAGATGAAATTGTATTGCAATGGGTTTATGTTATATAGTTTATAATGATCCAATTTGTGTAACAAAAATAAACATTCAAATATATAAATTAAGTTTCCAAACCCATTGGGAGCAATACTATACTGTCACAATGATAATTTTAGAAAGGTCTGGATGTACCAAGAAAGTAGACATTTTCCAAAAAGAAAATATTTTAATTATTCTATGGACAAAATTCCGAAAATCTTAAAATAAAAAAAATGAAAGACTGATGTAAGTGAGGTGCATAGTGGTCTGATAAAGGATATTTGCTACCCTATCGAAATTTCAAATCATTTAGAAAATGTGTAGAAAATCTTAAAAATACCGTAAATTGGGTGGCTACCGTTATATGGGCGCCATACATAAAGAAGAACCGACATAGACACTGAGTTTTTGTAAACTCGACATTGTCACCACTTATAAATTCATTCTATTTTTTAGTTTTTTAATCATGTTCCCACATTTTTCTATCGTTGATATAAAAATGAATTATTAACACTTTAAAAATTCGAGTACATATTTGATACATTTTCCACTAAATCAGAATTACAAAATATAAAATTACAGTCAATTTGGCTAAAAATAACTTGCCAATATTCTCACAAATTAAACACAATTAGAATCCAAAATATCAGATTACAGCGATTCTGTTGAAACCCGTGTCCAAAATACTTCAATTCCGAAATTTGGGCCATACCGCTAAATTTGATAGTTAGATTTCCTGCTCAATTAGAATAAAAAATATAAAATTTCAGCCAAAATTTTTAAAATTCTAAAAATCTGAAGATTTCGATATATTGGAGCTATCCCAAATGTAGCTCACAATAGATTATTTTCGTAGATTTTCTATCTAGTAAGAATACTGAAATTACAGCCAATTCGGTTGATAATAATCGAAACATAGAAAAATGGTTATACCTTATATGAAGGATACAGATAAAGGTGGAATTTTAATAATTTTTTTAGGAATATTTCCTACCAAATGAGCACCCAAAATATCGAAGAAAAACTAATTCGTTTGAAAACTATACTAGGGAGGTCACGTTATATTATATTGATAATTTTGAATTGAAACCAGAAAATTCGATTTGCGTGGTTGCAATTTCAATTTGCGTCGGTGCCTGATTAGCATCTTTTCCGTCGTTTAGCATTTTTACAACTTCTGGCAACACTGGACGTCCCCGGTACGTTAACACAATTTCAAAATTTGCTTAGTTTTCAATATTTTCCCCAGTAAATTAAATTTATTGGTATTTTGTATATGTATAGAAAAAGGTGATTCGATTTGCGTCCCGATTCTCTGGCCCCCATTTACGAGGCAAGTCGGGGCTCTAGTGTATTTGAATACCAAAAAACCTAGAAGTAGTAACAATGTATGTACACAATTTTAAATTTCTATCTTAATTTTTTGTGCTCTATTGTGATTTCAACAGACAGAAGGACTATTCTGTTTACGAATATGTATAATTTATGGGGTCTTAGGTAAATATTTTGAGCTGTTGTAAACAGAATACCAAATTGAATATACACTCCACCTTGTAAGGGAAGAATACATATCATATTATTAACTATAAACAAATTAATTTTTATTGATTTTTTTAGCACTTTTTATTGATACATTTTTAAATTTTTTAGCACTTTCTAGAAATTTTCAACAAAATCCAACACTTTTTCTCAATAAAGATTTGGCAACACTAACCATAACAAAGGCCCAAGTATGCAGTTTTGCTTCCCAAAAATATTATAATTTTTAATGCCGGATATACTTTTATTGTATTTCTTCACCGCACAAATTTCAACCATTTCACAAAATTCCGTGTTTCGTAACACTCGTTAATTCTTCTTGATGGCGACCAATAACCTTGTTTCACTTTCTGAGTTTTTAACAACACTATGTGACACAATTCGTTGAGAATAACAATACTGTGTTTAATTTCGCACATTTCTTCTCACCGCAAAATTTTATGTTGTTCTTCTTGTTGCAATTATCTCATGTGCATATGCAATATAGGTAGTTCATCTGTTGAGTTGCCATTGCCAATAACTTACTTAAAAATACTTTTTCCCATGGCTCACACATCGACAAGTATGTGTTCAATTCGTAGAGCATATGCAGCCATTTGATGTATCGTATAAATCGATGAAATGAATCCTTGAGCTTATGGAACATTGTGTCGCCGTTGTCCGCACTATACACTGGTTGAAACTATACTAACTTCTTATTTTTTTTGTGGTCGTTGTTGCTTCAAATCAAACCAAAAAATAAAATATAATCTATATTTGTTTTTCTTTTCGGCTGATTGAACTACTACTATAGTCGGCATTTACCATGGGGTTAAGTATGTTTGTATGTAAAATAATAAAAAAAAAACAAACGAAGTTGGTTAGGAAATGCTAACTTTATATACAAACAACATATAGTCATTCAGTCAGTCAGCTAGCCATCATATTTATATGATATTGTTCTTATCAATTACTGGATTATGTTGATAATAATAAACACGAAATGTAGTAACGCCGAACATATATGCCCAGGTGTAGTTAGATATGTATGCAATGTGTCTTCACATTAGTTGGCTGCTTACTCATGTTTACTGTATGAATGCTATTAATTTTCTTTTTTTCTCCTCCTATCTAATTATTTAATGTTGTTGTTGTTGTTGTTAGATTAAATAAATTGATGAATTAGCAAAGAGACAGTTTTCTTATCAATGCTACAAAAAGATAAACAATAAAAATGGTCTTACATTGTGCGTGTGCGGAACATTGGAACATTGTCCATAACAACACTCATGGGTCTTAGATAAAAATAGATTTTCCAATTATTTACCACATTTTTACTTTCTCTAGCCGGCGTATATTGTCTTTGGTTGCAGTTATGGAGAATAAAATATGAATTAGTTTGATCTAATCCGTAGCATATTGTTCTTTCTTCGTAGACCATCTTTCTAGAAAACACAAAGTTTAGTTGTCATTGTAACAGAGTAGTTGGGAAATGTAGTCCATTCAAAAATGATCAGTCGGTGTCACCGATAGATATGAAATTTGAAATTTTACAGGATTAATGTAGTAGAAGTCCATATATCGGAGCCTTGAAAAGTTGTTGCCGACCTCTGAACCTTGTTTAAGTTTGCTAAAAATACTATGTGCAGTGTTTAAATCTAATCGCGAACTCATTACAGGACTATTTTCTTGAACATTGAACTTAATGGAATTTAAAAGTTTTCCAAATTTTAAAACATTGTTTTGAGGAGGTAGACCGAGGAGTATATAGAACGCCCCAACCTTCGAAGGTAACCTTGTTTTGATTCGAAATAATTTACAAGTTTTATGATAGATGCCAGAAATAATAAACCGATGTTGACATATTACATTGGCAATATATTTAAAATACTTGATATACTAACTTGATACACCTGAAAATTTTTTATCGGTTAACAGCAAAAATATAATCCAAAAAACCATACTTTTGTTTTTCCAGTGTATTTTTATTTTAATTGTTCTTTGAAAGGACATATATTAGAATGTTATTATATTTAAATGTATTTATTTAATTGTATATTAATAATAGATTTTTCTTTATATACTTCTTGATGATAAAAATATATTTTTTTGAAGTTTTCTTGTAGTAGTAGCGAGTCTATTTCATATACGCAATATCTATTATGATAAATAAAAAATACACTGTTTTTTTGGACAAGAGTTCTGTTGTTGTTTACTCTCGGTCGTCTGGTAGAGAAATTCTTGCTTTCCTAATGCTGGCTAAAACTTTTCGATGGCAAAATATACTTTTTAAATATTACCTCTGGCAAGCAAGAATGTCTCTTTTTAGTAGTTGATCAACTGAATGATTGCGGTTATTTTTGTATGGTTGTAAAAAAAAGTTGAATAAAAATAATGTACTTATATAATTAGATGAACTACTCGAGTACAGTGATTTCTTCTTTGACCAAAAATTCAATAATTTCTTCATCAACTTCTTCAGTATCCAAACTGTCTGTATCGAAATCTGTAAATAAAGAAAGAAGGACATTTTTTAATAAAATGATCGAAAATAAATGTAAACAATATAAAATAAATGTATATAAAACTATATTTTGATTTTTGTAGGAAATATTATCTGTAAAAACTTGTATTTGATAGGATTTTGAAAATACATTTTTTAAGATTTAAAAAATTAATTAATTTTAAAAAATACATTTATTGGCCTAAAGGCTTCGTTATACACGTTAAGATTGAAATAAATAAATAACATTAATTTAACAAAGAGCTGATGGTAAAAAATTAATAATTTTTTTTCGTCACCTTAGACAACTTTTTATTAAAAATAATTTTTATTAATTCAAAAATTATAAAAATATTTATTTTCAAAGACAAAAATAAAGTTTTATTTTTAAATATATAAATGTTCTTCCATCCTTTATCATGGGTATTTTATCTGAATTTAAAAACAAATTTTACATTTTCATTTTTTTTTTTTTAATTAAAAAATGTAAATTTTTTAAAATACGTTTTGCTCTAAGTTTAAAGTATTCTTCTTTAGCTCATTACATTTCATTCCGAAATGTAATAAATAGACTAAATAAAATCTATTGAAATCTAAAGAAATAAATTTTGTGAGTTTATTCTAATATCCAGCAAGACTTCGAAACATGAGAACATAAAATACTCGACAAATACCTTTTCGTGGTTCCGTTAGAAAAAAGTTATTTAATTTTACCTACAATCCCACACAACACTCTCTCCCTCCCGTTTGCCACATCATACCGTGTTATGACAAAATTAACATCAAAAAATATATGTGTGTATACTTACGATTTCTGAGCTGTAAGCGTCTTGGTTTTTGCTCCTTCCATTCGGCAATACGTTTGTTGCGATATTCGGTAAATTGATCGCACAATTGGGCACGTTTTTCCAACAACTCCTTGGAAGCACGTGTCATACGCATACGATCCTTCTGTTCGAATATGTAGTAGTACTTCTTCAAATTCTTTCTGATGTCCTTAATTTCTTCTTCGCTAAGGAGTGTGGCTGGACGTGGACGCCATAAGAATTGTACAAAGTTCTTGAGTAGACTGCGGCGAATAATACGACCCTGGAAGGTGTACATATTGAAGCCAGTATCTTCCTTAACCTTCCATGATGAAACACCAGTGACAACATAACGACCCGTGGGATCCCATTCCACTTCCGAGGCACGGAAATGATCAGGCGATGCAGTAATAACGAAATTGTTGTTCGTATCGACAAATTCAAATGTGCCATTTGTCAAATTAGCCATAACAATAAATTGACCACGTGGAGACCAGAAAAGATGAGTGCATGTTTTCTTTTCCAATTTCTTGACTAATGTTGGCTTGACACCATTATTCACCTCGTAGAAGCTTACGTTGGAATTAGCACTTTCGCCATGAATAATGGCAAACTTATTGCCAACCGGTTCCCATGCAAATGCCGAAATTAATTCACGAATCTCAACTGAATCGACGGGGATCTCCTTTTCGCGCATATGGAATATTTCAAAGTTGTAGAACATACCCAAGAATTTAACGTCTGAATCCTTTTTGTCCTTCTTCAGTTTGGAGTAACGATCTACCTTAACACACAAGTAGTCGCCAGATTTTTGCCAATGCAATTTACAATCGGCTACGTGGAAAAGATTCTTGTTACGTATCTCACGTTTCTTGGGGATTTCCAAGAGGGTGACGCGGGCGGGGATTTGATTTTGTTCCTCAACCCAGTAGGCGATAATGTTATCTGTGGGTGACCATGAGAAACCACGGATGCCGGGAACCTTAATGGATTTCAAGTCAAGCAGGTAGAAGGAAGGAGTCTCGTAGATGTGAATGGAGCTGTCGCCCAAACGTGCCACATACTTATCGTCATGTGACCAACGGAACATGGAGAACATCGACACATCTTCAGCAATGAATGAACGCTTCTCGGCACCGGAACGAATGTCCCAGATAACAACCTTTTGTCCGGTTGGTGTTGGGCCATATGTTACCAAATAGTTTTCGCAGGGAGAGAATTCAACGAATTGTGTACCGGGATGTGGGAAACGCTGAATACGCTGGAACTTACTTCCACCCCAAATGGCGACACCGGGCTTGTGGAATGTCACACAATACGTACCCAATGGCGACCATTTAACGAAGGTGTCGGTAAAGCTTTCGCGGGTTTCCAAATCGGTGGGTTCAGGTAATGTATTTTGCCAGAATCCAACCTGTACGCTGTTTGGTGATGTCTCAGCAGCAACGCAATATTGATCATATGCATCAGGATCCAGCAAGAAACTATACAAATCATTTTGCATTTTAAAGGGTTGAGGGGTTGGGGGTTCCCACTTCTCAGGGATGTTTTCATACTTCTGGAAGTCGGTAAAAAGATTAACCAAGAACGTGTGCGACTTATCCAAACGATAATTATTCAAATTCAGAACAGCATCTTCAGCTTGTTTTTGGTTTTTAAACTCCATAAAGGCATAGCCTTTCGTATTGCCATTCTCATCAACGGGGTATACCGAATTTACAATCTCGCCATAATTGGAAAAAGTCTTGTTTATGACGTTTTGCAACTTTTCCAATCTATGGGGTTCAACTTTGGGAATATTATCCACAACTACAACATTTTCGACGCCATCAGCTTCGGAGGGACGTTGAGCCAATTTGTCGGCCAACAATTCTGCAAAAAAAAAAGTTGTGTGAACAGAAAAATTAATCAACACAAGTTGTAGGTTATGTTTTGCACTACATACCTTCATCACTAATATCGTCGACGAAACCCTCTGGATCCTCAAAATTTGGCTCCTCTTCATAATCCTGGTCATTCGTGGTGTCTTCGCTCTTCTTTTTTGACATTATTGTTGAATTGTTTTCACTAAATTTGCGTTAAAATGTAAAAAATTGGCAAAGAAAAGGGAAAAACGAGCCACGCCAAATTGTCACGTCAAATGTAAAGGACTGTCAAACTGTTTTGCCGTACAAATGTCAAAATAACTGGAAACGGTTTGAAAGTCATTGTTATGTTGGACAGAGATGTAGAAATCGGTAGCAACGAGTACTCATTTTATTGTATATGAAATAAAAACCATAGAATAAATTGGAAATTAATTGTTTTATCAGATACGAACCAAAGGAGAAACACAATTAATGTAGTTTTTATTCAGTTGTATGACTTCATCGAGCTGTAAATAAAGATAAAACTACCAATGAACAAATAACCACATTAGATTTCAGTTCTTAATGTTTTCGCCGAAAATCCTAAAAGTATGCTATAGATAACACAAATTAACCAAGCTTGCACAAAAGTATGTTTACACAAGCACAAAGCTGTGTTTGTATAATAACTCAATTAAAACGATAAAACACGTTTAGACTGTACCTTCTAAATCGACTCGATTTGTAAATCGAGATACGTAATCCTAGCTGTTAAGACTAGTACACAATTGAAATGAAGTAGATTTGTCATCTGTTATTTGTTTACGTATACTTACACATTTCACTGCTTTCATAATTTCTGTGGCAATTTTTCAATCAATATTTTCAAAATTTTGTTAAGAATTGCTCTTATGGTATAATTATTACAAGGTAGGGCAAAGCTACCAACTGATTACAATTTTTTCTCAAGGGGGCTTGTTCCATCAAATCAAAATACATATTTTGTGTGTATTGTTTTGAATAGATATATGTAAATATATTCTAATTTAATTGAAATGGAAACGATGTTTCAACGCGTCCGTCTGGAAGTCAATACTTTGTTATAGATGAAACAAATATTTCATGGTAGTCCCTACTGGATTTAGGCAAGAAATTATAACTTTTCATTCATTTTCCCCGCTTTTAGTTATGTTTTGAAAAAATGTCAAGTAAACACAACCACTTGTTGCGTATATTTATATTTGACAGAATAAGCCACCACCCACATTGATTTTTTGTTATTCAACTCAAGCTGACCTACCTTGTATTATTGTACCATTGTACCATTCTTTAAATTGTTTTAATATTTATTTTATGTTTTGGTAAGTAGTTATTTTAAATATTGACTAATGTTAAAGCATAATTTAAGGAGATACGTTTATTTTTGCTGCAAAATAAGAGTTGTATTTGAAGTTATCTCGATTTAGTATAGGATTTCGGGCAAATCGAGATAATGAGTGAGTTTTGTATGGTAATAGAGGAAACTTCAGCTCGATTTAGCAATTAAATCGAGATAATATCTATTAACACTCATGACATAATTACAGAAGGTAGTCTCATTTGGGATATTGATGATGGCAATCCTTTTTAATTTGGAACTCACCTATCAATTTTAATTAATATGAAAAATAAATTCCATAAAATTGTATGTATGTCGATTGGTATATTTTAAATAAATGTAACAAAATATATTTTCTAAAGCTGAACCTTGCTCTCAAGATTTAAAACGGCATTTACATTAGAACTTTTTACCGGGTTAACCTACATTATGAGGATTTATTTGACATATATACAATGGAATTGACAATTATAATCCACTGGGTTAGCGAAATCTGGCATAATGTAAACGTACTATAACCATGGTTTTTAATCAACATTTTTACCACTATGTATGTGTGATTGGCCGATATCCCCTATCTTCGAATTTAATTAATATTTCGACGTGGAAAGCAGCAAAAGCTTATTCGGTGTTTAGAAAAATAAACCAAATGTGTTTCCAAGTTCCCAAATATTAATACGTATGGAAACTTTCTTTATTTGGGACATATAAAATAAATAAAACACAATTACCAACACATTTATCTTTCATTAAAAATATTTAGTTTATTATTTCATACTTAAAATAACATTTATTTTACATAGTTTAAAACTTGTTATAATTTCTTTTCCATTTTTGTTTTGATTCATGTTTCACTTTTGTTTTTGGTGTGCGTCGTTAATTTCTAGGGGGGACAAAAAAAAATATATATATACTTCCAGTAATTTTGGTTTAGGCAAATTTATTAAAAAGCTGAGTTTTGTTTTTCTTCGGAAAATAATAAAATATTATAAATAGTGTATAAATTGGGATTTTTTATCTTATTTTTTATAGGTGGTATTCAATACTACACCATAATGGAATTGTGACAATAATTATAAATAGAATATAAGAGAAAAGAAAATGATTAAACACAACATCAAAGTTCAAAAATCAACAATAGGCATTATTTTTTAAGATTTCCAATACAACATTCTTTGGTAAGATATAGATATTAGATAGAATCATAATGAAATATACATAAAACAAAAAATTTTAAGTTCAATGTGTTAAGGTATAATGTGATTGAAACAATTGTATATTTTGTAACATTAACATGCACCACTTTGTTATTGATTGACCTGCCTTATAATTAAATGTTTCTTCCCTTCTCTTTATTTGGTCATTGATATAATTCTGCAGGAATGTTCTTGTTTTCTTAGGTTAGTCGAAGTTGTTGTGCCTGTTCAAGTAGAATAACATTATACAGATGATGTTCACAAATTATTAAAATAAGAGGTTATAAATATTAAAATACAAAATAATAAAATTGTTATTCCATGCTTGCATTAAGTAATAATGTTTATAATATACACTTAACATTAAAAACTAGTTGTATATATGTGATGTTTTAACACTAATCCATCCATCCATTTTCATGATAATTACCATTCTTAATCGTGCTAATGTTGTTTTGTATTTTTTAATATGTTTTTTAGATTGGTTTTATATTTTTGAATTTCCTTTTGTTTTCGATACACATAACATAAAATATTGCCGCAATAATTACATCCACAATAAATTAGTGTTTAGTTGTGTTTCTCAGCCAATTGGCGTCGGACCTTGGTTGATGTCAACTAAATAGATGTCCTTTTGATTTTGCAATACAAAATCAACGAATGCATTAATGGGCGCAATTTCGTCTAGGGATGTTGTCTTTTTATCCGACCACAGGAAGTTGGGACCAAAGACAATGGCTAAATTCGAAGAGGTCATCTTATTAAGATCTTCACATTCCATAACCTAAAGAATTGATAGAAAGGTGTGATTATTAAATTTGGAAAATTTAATGGTTATAAATAAATCTGCATAGAAGGAGTAATCGTTGGAGATTATGTAGAAATCAAGCAAATTATATTTTCTAAAAAACAAAACCAAAATACCATATAACTTACTCTCACTAAAAACTCCACTAAGTATTTAAATAATTCATAGTTTTCTTCAGGCAGTCTTTCGCGTATCAACATTGTTACATTGCGCGATCTGTCCTCTTTGGGCCATTCTGTAACAAAAAAAAACGATTTTGTAAGTAAATATATTTCAAATATTGTCAAAATTTATATTCACCAAGAAAGCTAGTTATTTCATCGTATAATTCAAATGTCAATAATGGTTCAGCCAAATCTCTGAGGAAGCTTTTCAATAGGCCAGCTATAACATGAACATTTACATCCTTTAAGTCGACATCTTCACCGCGATTGACACGCTCCTTTAAAGCAATAATCTCCGAATGGTTTCCCGAACGACGGAATATACCCTCGGTGTCAATCATACCGGTTATCGACAACGAATCGACACATTTACGTACAATGGGCGGTATTGAATTCAAGCATGGACTATTGGTAACGATGAATTTCAACGTTACCCCGAATTGTGCCGTTTTAGCCATTTGTTTGTGCGTTACACGATCGTCGATGGTTGGAGCATGATGACGACGTGAATGATTTAGACTATCATCAAAATTATATATATTATCGGGTAATTTTAATTTCGACAATCCCAAGGCCTGACGCAGTTCATCCAAATTGGAAATATAGACAAGCTTTTTGCGAAATTTCTCACTAATAAACGGGCTAAAGAAATTCCAGATAACACGTATAAACCAGGTGGGATGGACAACGTAGAGATTTTTCAAATTCTTGCGAAAGTTGCGATCCAGTTCTTTATATGAATTCCAAAGAAATTGGGCGGATGGTTTGTTATCTTCTTTTAGACCTTGATGGAAATATACCAGTATATAGTCATTCTCAACATAGGGTTCAATTTCTTTAATAATGTCCCTAAACAAATGGAATAATAATGTTATTTCATTATTTATTAAAAAAATACATTTTAATTTATTAACTAACCGTATAAAACTTTCCATTTGTGATTTTTCCGGGAATCTAGAGGCATATATACCGAATATGTGACGTCCTTGTTTATCGGTACCCAAGAAATCACAGTTTTTGCGTTTTGGTGAAATGCTGAAATTTTCATTTTCTTCCCTCAGTTGATCTTCAAAGTCATCTTCCAATGGATTAACAATTTCTGTTGGTTCATCATTGGGATCTGTTTAAAAGAAACAAGTTAAAAATTAGATGTGTTATATGATTTAAATATTAAAATTAATAGATATTACCTTCAGCAATAACGAAATCTTCGTCCATCACATCATCTGGAAAATGTAGCAAATATTCAAAATTATTTTTATTTTTTATTTCGCACATAATTGGTGCCCAAACTTACGTGTTGTATGTGTAAATGGTACTGCCAACAATTCAGAATCATCAAATTCTAATTTCGGTTCAAAGTCATGTAAATCCGATAGACTTGGCTGTGGCTCATCTGAATTTTCTACTATGGGATTTATGGCTGGTCCTAGATGGTGATTAACACGAAACTCATTATATCCACATGAACTGATACTGTTGTTGTAGTTGTTAATGCAAGTCTATATACTCTTTACATACTACGCTTTCATTATCATTAATTTATTAAATCCTTATAATAATATTTGAAGTTGGTTTTTAGTATCGATTTTTTTGTTGTAATTTGATTTAGAAGAATTTCATTTTTTGTTTGTTTGTTTGTACACAGTAAATTAATTTGGTTAAAAGGAAAAAATGTTCAAAAAACAAAAATGCATTATTTATTACTTTGGACCAAAAGTATTAGTTTACAAACAAAAATTAAGGTATGTATATATTACATACATACAAACACATACATTACATATAAAACACATATGGGAGAAATGATGAGTATTAGGAAATAATTGAATCAATGGTTGGCAGATTAAAAGAGGGCTAATTATAATATTAATGGATATTCCAGATTACCGAAATTTAGAGGGGAAAATAAAATTAATGGTTTAAATTGCCGAAATTTACAGGAAACAAAAGTAGTATGTTTATTAAAAAAATATAATTTTCTATTAAATCGCAGTTGAGATGAAAACGAGGGAAGATTTGGCTTAAAGGGAGATGGTGGTCCGAAGCCCAAAATTAATAAGTGCACTGAACGCATAGTTATTAGAAAAACTATGCAAAACATTCAAATTTCCACAAGGACGGTATTATGTTTATTTCTAACAAAATAAAATTTTTTTTATTCAAAACTCATTCTTGACATACTGTAAATACCGATTCAAACAAAGCTTAGTAAATAACTTCTTTGGCAATCTATGAAAATTTCATGACAATCGAGCAGACTTACAGACTGACAAAATTATATATGAAAGCTTTATATAAGTGTCGACCAATTAAAAAAACACACACACACACCATATGTGGTATTCTGCAGCACAAATCGCTGTGCAAAATTTCATGTCATGGATATTTGAAGTTATATCTAAATCTGTACCTCTTTCATTAACTTAAAATACATAATTCGGTCAATTTCGATGAAATCGGCTAAAATTTATGACGCCATATTCAATTCATGATTAATGAATTGGAATTCTCGAAAATTTTTCGAATAACATCAAAAAACAAGGCATAGAGAGGACGTAAATATGGGACAGTTGTCAAGAAACTTCGATCGGAATCTAGGAATTTGTAACATTTAAGGCATTACCATTTTTTTTAATAAAAATACTTTTTTTACTTACACTACTGAAATTAGCGACATTAAGCAGTATTTACATGCACGATTTTCAAGTAATATTTATAACATGGAAAATAATTTATTACCTGGTAATCGAGGAACACTTTGATTATCCATTGTATTGAATCAGACTGAACTAAAAAAAAAATAAAAGTAAAGGATAATAAAATAAATATGAAATAGTTATATATTTATTTTATTCGAAAACAATTTTGTTGATTATAAACACACTAAAGAATATGTGGCATATAAATTTTGTGAGCCATATAAATTTAATTGATAGCCTGTTGAAATATGCTACATACTTAAATATATTTCTAGGGGCATATTTAACCACAAAGTTATATTTACGTATATTATTCTATTTATGATTTTAGCCGTATGAACTTGACCAGCAAAACATGATCGTCTACTAAAATATCATATTTTTTTACATTCAAATGCTATGACGAGTTTTTTAGAACAAAAATATAATATTAAATATATATATATATATATATATATATATTATCTCATAACATTTGTTACTAAAATAAATCACATTTTTCTTCAAATGTGAATAGTGGCAAATTATGCAGAGCAAAGATATTTTGTTGATTTATTTTGTTTCTTATAATTTGATATTTTTGAACTTTGTGACCAATATGATTCCCTTTAATTTGAGCACACGTAGCCCTAGAGGTCTTGGTTACAATGGCATAATTTTTTATTGTGGAAATTCAATCTTTCCGAGATATGGACCTTTAACGATCCCTGGGATCTCCTGTATTTTTTCATATATCTTCACAAATATGATGTGCACTGAACTGATTTAAATTATTTCAGAAGACGTGGACTTTTTTAAACAATTATAAATAGAAGTGTCAGTAAATGGCGAGAAGACCAAACTGATGGTATCAACGCGCAAAACGTTCAGTAGACTCGGGCCAACTGTGGAACTTGAAAACTACAGCTTCGTGAACTGCCAGCAACTACCTTGGCTAGGTCATGTTGTGAGAATGGATGAGGATGTCCCAGCTCAAAAGGCATATAAAAGCGAGCCAACTGATGGCTCACGCAGAAGGGTAAGGCCACGAATTCGATGGAAAGATCAAGTGGAAGACAACATATCGGAACAAGGTATTTTAAATTGAAAGGGCTGCGCACAAGACCGACGCGCCTGGAAATCTTCAAATGTTCTGTCACAAGCCAGCTAAGTAAATAAATAGAAGTAGATTTTTTATCACTTTCAAAAGCCTTCGAAGTTTTAGAAATATAGATATACTTTTTTTAAATTAAAGGGAACTGTCAAAATGATTGTTTTAAAAATTATTTCCAAAGGGATTACCTCCTATAGGCGTGAATTCTGAATTCTTAACAATAACTACCATGGTTTTTTAATAGTCGCGTAGGTATATATAAATATATACTATTTCTAACGTCCCCATCAATTGTAAAGGTAATATGTGTTGTGGTTCCAGATTAATTGAAGAAATATTTTAGTCAATCGAATTGCAACAACGCATTTGGTATTATCAGTATTAAAAAAAAAAAACAAATGAAAAAAAAAACACACATTTGCATTCGTTGGTGAACCGCTATGTGTCCAACTAAGAAATCCAGTTCGAATTTATCAGTGACGTCACTGCTATATATATTCATCACTTTATACCTTCACAACGCAAACTATCTTGAATTAACACCGGAATTATTAAACAATTAGCGGTATGCTAATAAAGTGCAACCTAACAAAGCGTAAGAACAAAGGATAAGACTCTAATGCATCCTTATGTCGTAGCAAAATAGAAGAAAATATTGCTATTTACCACGAATGTTGTTCCGTTTTTGTTGTTGTTGTTTTTGACACTTAACTAACAAATGGAATATAACACACCTATGCCAGTCACAAAAACAAATATGTACTATATCTTTCACACAATTAAATCGTTTACAACGCAAAATCCATTGTTCTTCCTTATCAAAACAACAGTTCCGCTCAGTTCAGCAGACACAGACACGATTCCCTGAAAAATATTGATAAAACTTTTGGTGATTTTTGCGTAGGTTGTTTGTTTTAACTTTGTGTTGGTGGTTTGATTTTTGGTTACTCATTTTACAAGACATTTCCTTTTCTTCTTTGATACCAAGATATGTCGATCATACTTCAAATTACCTTCGTATTTGTGTGTGTATTTCAAATATTTATTATATAAAGAAACTCAAATCAATACCAATAAATAAAACAATAACTTTAAACGAATAATATATTTGTTTTGAAAAATGTAATATAACTTTGTAGGTCTTTGCACAGCAAACTGACGTATGACACTGACGAATGATGGGATAATACAAAATGCCCGGTAAAGAAGAAGTCAAAAAAGAAGACAGAAAGTTACGAATCAGGTGGGATGGAGAGTTGGATTGTTTACGAATGAGGAATTGTCAGAATAGTGGATTGTCAGTGGCATGGCCTATATATAAGGTCGTACGGGGAGACCAGCTGTCAAAATGCATTATTGCTTTATTATTATTTTATTTTGTGTGCATAAGGTAGCCGCATCGGCCCAGCTGTTGGACAAATAAATGTCAAAAATGTTGTTGTAATGTTGAACCAAAAAATTAAAAAACAAAATTATGAATGAAAATCTCCGAATTTCGAAGAGCTTTTTTGGAAATACTTTTATTAACATTTTCTACAAGAATTTGTGTAAAAAAATCTTGAAAAATCTGTTTGTTTTGGCAAAATATTTTTGACATATCAAAATACAACAACCGATGTTTGTTGTAGAAATTCACCGATGCGGCTACCTTGTATATCTACCTTGGTGTGCATGTTTTTTTATGTTCGAAAAGTCCCAATTTATATTAGGCGAGTTTCCTTGCGCAAGTCTTTGTCTGTAGAAGAGAGGGGCAAGGGGAATAGAAATGGAAAAAAAAAATTCTCGTACCGACAATTTTCTGGCAATTCGTTTTGTGTATTTCGTATTTGTTGACATTTTATTTTATTTAAATGCAACGCAAGTAAACTCGCCAAATATAAATCAGAAATCAGGACAAACAAAATACACAAAACGAATTGCTAAATAATTGCCGGCACGAGCAATTTTTTCCATTTCTATTCCCCTTGCCCCTCTCTCCAGCAAACAAAGACTTGCCACAAGTAAACTCGCCCAATCTAAATTGGTACATCATGGTACAATAATACAATTGGTCTGTTCCCGTACTGCAAGATTGTGGCTATCGGAATAAATAAACACAAATGCAACAAGTAGTTCCCTTCATTTGACATATTTTTAAAATTTTTCTAAAAAACAAAGAATTACGTAAATAATCTGAAACAAAATGCAGTTTAAAGATATGATTACTAGTTATCTGATTTTGAAATGTTGGTATTGTTACGTTCTTGGGTTTTACTAAAATCCCGTGTAGACGTTGTTTTATTTCCCGATACAATTCGTACCAAATAAAACGCAGGTTCTTTCGGATTACGATTATTACAATGATTTTATTCACACAACTTTACTTTGCACTTTACTTTACACGACGGTTTCAATTCGCGATCTGATTCACAACTGACTCACTGCCTTTCCATTCCCTCTATTTATATGAGCCCTGCCTGTCGCTACAGAAGTTTCTAGACGATCTGGTAACACCTAGATCACGAACAATCTACCAATACAACAAACACATTGAGTAACAATAACAACAACAAACTTACTGAGTGAACAATAACAACAACAAACTTGAGTAAACAAACTTACAATAACAACAACACATATACAGGCGAGAGAGTAACAAAGAAAGATGAATTAAGCGATCATCAATGATGACGTTTAATAAGAATTATACGACAATAACAAAATAGAAAATGAAAGAGGAAATGGAAGGATGTAGAAAAATCTATACAGTAGTTGTTGTTGTGAAGTTATTCAAATAAAATGCGTAGTAGAAATCTACGTTACAATTCAAATTCTTAAATTAACGGAATTAATCTAAATTAACTTAAATCTAAAGTTATATTCGTAACATTGCCCCCCGCTTAAGCCTGTTCGTCCCGAATAGGCACAGTTCCCGTTCCGTAGGGGGTCAGCTGCTCCAAATGTACAACTTTCATCTTCGACCTGGGACTGTCGCTCCTCTGGATGCGATAAACGACGTCATTTATTTTCGTGACAATCTTGTAGGGTCCTTCCCAGTGCGTTTGCAATTTGGGGCATAGTCCTTTCTTTCGTTGTGGGTTGAACAATAGTACCAGTTGCCCTTCTTGAAACCCATCGGTATTTGCCGCTCGATCGTACCTTGCCTTCATGCGGTTGCTAACCATTTTTATTCGATGTCGGACTGCATCGTGGACTTTACTAAAAGAGTTTTGGCTGTCTTCATCTTGGTTCACATCGTCGTTTGGGGTAGCGCCGAATATCAAATCGCCAGGTAGCTTTAATTCATTTCCGAACAGAACTTTGGCTGGGGTCCGGGATGTGGAATCATCTATATATCTATAAGCCAATAAAAACTTTGGAATATGCTCATCCCAGTCTCGTTGGCCACTGTCCACCACTTTCCGTAGATGTTCTTCAAGGGTGCGATTGAATCTTTCCACCATGCCATCTGATTGTGGATGTAGGGGCGTCGTTCTGGTTTTCTTAATTCCGTAGGAGTCACACATTTCCTTGAAGATCGCTGATTCAAAATTCCTACCTTGATCGGAATGAACCTCAGATGGAACACCATAGCGACAAATCCAATTTTTGCTGAACACATCCACAATTGTCCTGGCTTCTTGATTTGGGATAGCATAAACCTCCGGCCATTTACTGAAGTAATCCATGACCACTAAGACATACCGGTTCCCAGAGTCGCTTGTGGGGAACGGTCCAGCTACATCCATTGCGATTCTTTCAAAAGGGGCTCCTGAATTATACTGCTGCATGTAGCCTCGACTCTTCCGTGTTGGACCTTTAGCTTTTATGCACCTTTCACAATTGGCGATCCAGTCGGCAATGGATTTTTGGCAGCCGACCCAGTAGAATCTCTGCTTTACCTTTTCAGCGGTCTTTGCTATGCCAAGATGTCCTCCACTTGGCCCATTGTGAAACTCCGACAAGACATCTCTTATTTTGGAGTCTGGGACGACGATCAAGTTCCGGTGAGATTTACCGTCCTCACTTTCCCATTTGCGATATAGGCAGCCATCTTTTATAAGTAGACTGTCCCACTGGGCCCAATAGGATTTTAAAAGAGGGCTTTCGGAGGTAATTTCTTTCCGACTAGGTCGCTTGCCCGTTTCAATGGCCGAAATTACTTTGCCCAGAATGGGATCTCTTCGTTGTTCCGTCGACCAATCTTCACCCGATTCAAACTGCAATAGTCGGACATCAACGATATTCTCCTTATTCTCAGCCTTTGAGCAATGCCTGCATTCTACCTTGCATGGCCGACGAGACAGGGCATCAGCATTACCGTGTTTTCCGCCTTCTCTGTGCTCGAGTCTGTTTAACGGGGACTCATTGGTGGACTGTTGAGCCATTCTTCTACCATCTTTCGTTGGAGGTGGTGACGATGACCTGGATCGTTTGCGCTTAGCTCTGCATTCGCGCGCAATATGACCTGCTTTATCGCAGTTGTAGCATCTAACCCTGTGCTTAGTCATCCCTACAAACTTTGTTTCTTCTATTACCCGCCTCGTGGCGTCCTTGATCAAGTTAACGAGAGATTTGTGTTCGCAACATTCGGTCTCCAGTTGGCTAATCTTGTGGGTCTGGGGCTTAACAATCATTCTTGCCGTCTCTTGGGCAAGGGCAAACGACACAGTTTCGGCAAACGACGCTTTTGGTGACGCATATGTTGCACATTTAATCTCAGGGTCGCGTATGCCATTCACAAAGGTTTCGATTTTCATACGGTCCACCAATGGGTGATTCTCTCCTGGATACGCCATTAGCACCAAACGTTCCACCTCAGCTGCAAAGTCTTGCAACGTCTCGTTTGCCCTCTGCACTCTTCCCCTTAATTCCATAAGGTAGATGTTTTGTTTATGTTCGCCACCGTACTTACGTTCCAGTGCAGCAATAACATCTTCATAGTTGTTTCTAGAAGCGACAGGAATACTCTGTATAACATCAGCAGCACTGCCCTTCAATGCCAGAAGTAGTGCAACCGCTTTGTCGCTGTCGTTCCACGAATTTCTAGAAGCCACTGTCTCGAACTGTAACTTGAAAACATTGAATGACGTAGAGCCGTCGAATACAGGAGGTTTGATTTTTAGTGTGTTATCAGGAACTCGCACCGGACCACCCTTAATTTCCAGTTCTGATATTTTCTTCTCCAGATTCGTAACCCTGTGGTCGTGGACCAGAAATTTCTCATCCACAGACAGAATCTTCTCGTCAACCGACTGCACTTTCTTATCCAACTCTTTTATTTGGACCTCCACGGTTTCCACTCTCCTTCCAATAACTTCTGTAATGTTCTCGAGTTTATCCATCATTCTTCTCGAATTTTCCTCGCTCCTTCTGTAATTTTCCTCAAACATTTTAGCCAGCATTTCTCTTAAATCGTCACCCCTGGCAGCTACTGACGAGGCTTCCCCACCGTTGGATTCGCTAATTTCCGATAAATCCACTTCATCCTTACTGTCAAACTCATATGTATCGATGTTCATACCACGGCGCCCGAACTCATCCAACAGACGTTTTTGTAGCTCAGCCTTGTTGCCAGTAGAGGACAATTCCAATTTATTGAGCTCCTTCTTCAAGTCTTCCACTCGTAGATCCTTGAACTTCATCGTAGTATTATCGTAATCTCACTTCCGACACCAATTGTTACGTTCTTGGGTTTTACTAAAATCCCGTGTAGACGTTGTTTTATTTCCCGATACAATTCGTACCAAATAAAACGCAGGTTCTTTCGGATTACGATTATTACAATGATTTTATTCACACAACTTTACTTTGCACTTTACTTTACACGACGGTTTCAATTCGCGATCTGATTCACAACTGACTCACTGCCTTTCCATTCCCTCTATTTATATGAGCCCTGCCTGTCGCTACAGAAGTTTCTAGACGATCTGGTAACACCTAGATCACGAACAATCTACCAATACAACAAACACATTGAGTAACAATAACAACAACAAACTTACTGAGTGAACAATAACAACAACAAACTTGAGTAAACAAACTTACAATAACAACAACACATATACAGGCGAGAGAGTAACAAAGAAAGATGAATTAAGCGATCATCAATGATGACGTTTAATAAGAATTATACGACAATAACAAAATAGAAAATGAAAGAGGAAATGGAAGGATGTAGAAAAATCTATACAGTAGTTGTTGTTGTGAAGTTATTCAAATAAAATGCGTAGTAGAAATCTACGTTACAATTCAAATTCTTAAATTAACGGAATTAATCTAAATTAACTTAAATCTAAAGTTATATTCGTAACAGTATGTTCCCGTACTATTTTGTTTATACCATACTATTTTACTATTTTGTTCGATACCATAACAAAGAAACTACTTCCAGACAAACGTGTTAAAAACTTTGTTTTCATTTCAATTAAACTTGAATATATTTCAATTTATTTGACATTGTATTCAAAACAATACACGCACAAACACAAAATATGTATTTTGATTTGATGGAACAAGCCACCTTGAGAAAAAATTGTAATCAGTTGGTAGCTGTGCCCTACCTTGTAATTATTATACCATGGTCGTTACCTATAAATATCGATCAAATCATGGTACATATCATGGCCTATAAATAAGGTCCCCGGTCAGACCAGCTGTAAATCTGCGCCACTCAAGTTTGCTGTCAAAATGTATTATTGTGAATTGACTTCCATTATGAAAACGTAAACAAAGTCGAAATTTTTGACATTAGACAGCTGTTTTCCAATTTCGATTGGTACCGAGTGACCTTATCAACAGATTTTGGTACATATGTTCAAGGTAGGCCATAGCAACTTATAAATTATAAATTACAATTTGTCCATATTGTAGCTCGTTATGTCAAAGTCATATACAAAATATCCGACTGTATGTGTAATATTTTGAAAAATATAAAAAAAATATATCGTAAAATTAATTTCTTTAATGATGAATTTTACAACATTGGTAAGAAGAAATTTATGATTTGTGGATGAATCAATATCTAAATCATATTCCAAATCCATTTTTACTAAATAAAGTAAAATGTACTTGAAAAACTGTCCTTGTAAGAATTGGCAAATATTCACAAACACTATTGTAAAATCTGTTATCGCAATTCAGCCTCTTTTACTGGACTTAAACGTAATTCACATTAGACGAGTTAATCTACTCTATCATGGTACAATTATAAAAGGTAACAGCAAATCCCAGCTGATTTGATTCCAACGTAATACTAGTGTCAATATGAATTTGACAAATTATGTTTTTAAAAATCACCCAACAGGAAAATTGAGAACGCATACAATTTAAAATTGTTCTTTATTAATGTGCTCCCGTATTCAATTTACTCAATCTGCCTGCTGGGAAAGTTTGAGGAAGCAAATCTTTCTTGAAGGAATAACTCGCTATTCCCAGCATTTTTATATGTGTTACACATATATATGGCAATGGCTCAATTAAAGGAAAGATGTGGAATAGATAGAAATATAAATTTGATAGATTTTCATTCATGTTTTTTAATTTTTATTTTGAGGATTCGAAAATATTTCATTTTCAAAATAAAAAAAATTTGATGATAATTTGTTTGTTTGTTTACATTTTTCTGTCAAATGGGTTGACACTAGTAGAACTTACAACAACAAATTTCCATGTGGTTGTTGTATCGTTTTTTTGTACAACAACACTTGCTGTAACCTTTTATTATTATACCATGCTACTCTATGAGGATTTATTTGACATATATGCAATGGAATTGACAATTTAGATCTACTAGATTTAAAAAATCCAGTGCAATGTTCACAGTTCAAAATTTGCACACATTTTTAAGTAAACAACGAACAAATGATAGACCTTTATCCTAGAAAACGACGAATGTACCGAAAAAATGGCTCGTGTAACATACGCTTAATGTTATGAAGAGGCGACAAGACTTCCGCCGCCATTGTTGTGTTTAAACGCCTAAATGTAAGGCACCGGCGTCGGTAAAAGTTGGGTGGTCACAGCACCAATAGAATTTAAAACAAAGGACTATAGCGTTTGGAAATGGCTGGTGGGAATACCATAGATCCATCACTTGTAAAGGTTTCCTGTAATTGGACACTTATTTCTGGTTGCCCATTGGACAAAGCTTTAATTTTTGCTAACGCCGATCCAGATGTCTTTCAAAGGTATTTATCCCCCATCGTTTCCCTCTGATTCGAAATAACGAATGATTTATCCTTTGTTCAGACCTACAAACGACGATCTCGTCGATCAGGATCGAGCAGTATTGCTAAATAAAACCAGCGATGATTCAGAATATTGCGAGTTGGATATACAAGTATATCCAGAATACAAAATTCAGGCATTTTCAATCGTCTGTAGCGTCGATAAAATAGAGATATTTCAAGGCCTGGCAAAAGAATATTTTGAAACTATATACGGTGAAATACTAATGGATGAAGATTATATGGACGATCAATTAAAAACATATCGCTTCGATGTGGAATTACAAAAATCTGGAATAACACGACTGACAATTAAGGTATGGCGAGACATTACAAAACAGTAACAACAAATAATCATTTTCTTTGACGCAATAGTTTCTCACGAAATGTTTGACGGAGGTTTGCTTATTTGGAATACAAATTCAGACTGCTCCCAATCCCAGGGGAATAACAACTCTTATACCAAATTCGGACGAAAATGCCACAAGTGAGTTGACCAATGTAGAAAAAAGTAAACGTTTACTTGAGTTGTTGGCCCAGTCGAAAACCCTTAAAGAAAACACACAACAATTTGAGAATATGAATATTGCTGAAAGTGATAGAAGTGCAATTTCAATACAAGATTACATTGACAAAAGGTTGAGTGAAGTGGAAGAGCGTATAAATCAACGTTTGGATCTTATGGAACAGCGGCAAATGTCAGTCCTTAATCGCTTGTTAGAAAAATTAGAATCTATGTGATGAACTATTTTGGAAAGTGTTGAGTTGAAAAAGAAAACATTTAATAGACTAACTAAACCAAATGTGTACACTAATACTCTTATAAAATAATTACTTTTTAATTGGTATTTTTATACATTTCCTTATGAAAATATATCATTTTGTATTTTCAATCAAATTGAATCAGGGAAGGATCAAATGGCTGACCCTTAAATGGTGAGTTTTCAGCATTCCATGCTTGTTTTAAACGGGATAATTGTTCACTTTTAGACAGAGGGGTATTTTTTACATCATCTAAATTTTGGTTTATCAACTGTGTTTGAATCTTGTCAATTTGTTGTTGAGTTTCCTCGGGATATTCGTCAATAGGCATTTCTGTATCAAGCTTTTTAATATCAATCGAAGCGTCGTGAACAAATAATTTATCCCACCAACGTTCTTTAGTTTTGTCTAAAGTAAAAAATATCATAAATCAGTACCAGTGAAAAATTAATAAAAAATCAGCTTTACCAAAACTGAGAACCAATTTCCCATCGACAATTGTCCATACTGCGTCGTTATGCTTAAACTTACACCAAGTTTCTCCGCTAACAAGTTCCTGTTCTTGCGGTAGCAACGATTTAATTGATATATGATTTGATTTCATAATGATTTTTACATGTTTTGCTGATTTCACTTCAGGTGGTAGGAGAACAGACAGTTCAACATCTTTTTGTGTTTGGGTCCAACAATATTTGTCATTTTTATCACCATTTTTGAAATCATTTTCACTGAAATGTGTTTTGTTAGATATCTTTTCAGATTGTTTGAGAATTTGTGAGTTCGCGTCTGTATCAACATCAGGTGGTATTTCTTCAGTTTCGATCTCAACTTCTTCTATTGCTGGTGGAACATATTCTTCCTCTGTTCTATGAGACAGTTCTTGTGGCCTATTGTCTTTTTCGTATTTCTGCATACAACTTAATAGAATCTCTTCCTTTATGCCTCTCGGAAATCCAATTTGTTCATCTTTGTTTTTTTGTATGTGATAGAAATCGGTTCTGCAAAAATTTCGAACTTCAGTGAGTGGAAGCTTTTGGTATAATGCAAAAATAAATACCTTCGACTTAGAAATCCAAAGATTGCATCCAAAAATCCTGTCAAAGACTTTCGTTCTTCTAATATTTCACTTAAAATAGTGTCCGAACGTAATTCATCCATTCTGCTTGTCATAATAAATATATAAAGAAATAAAAAATCAAAATAAACAATTGTATTTAGAGATGGTATATAAATGATTTCCACAATGAAATATCGATAATTTAAGGGCTAAGCCATGGCCTATAAATAAGGTCACCAAGATAGCAATCGAAAACAGCTGTTTTTTCTCAAGTCTAATGTCAAAAATTTCGACTTTGTTTACGTTTTCATAATGGAAGTCAATTCACAATAATGCATTTTGACAGCAAACTTGAGAGGTATCGATAATCAGCTGGTCTCCCTTGGTGACCTTATTGGATGAATGGATGAATAAGGTCACCAAGATAGCAATCGAAATCGGAAAACAGCTGTTTTTTCTCAAGTCTAATGTCAAAAATTTCGACTTTGTTTACGTTTTCATAATGGAAGTCAATTCACAATAATGCATTTTGACAGCAAACTTGAGAGGTATCGATAATCAGCTGGTCTACCTTGGTGACCTTATTTATAGGACATGGGCTAAGCCATGGCCTATAAATAAGGTCACCAAGATAGCAATCGAAATCGGAAAACAACTGTTTTTTCTCAAGTCTAATGTCAAAAATTTCGACTTTGTTTACGTTTTCATAATGGAAGTCAATTCACAATAATGCATTTTGACAGCAAACTTGAGAGGTATCGATAATCAGCTGGTCTCCCTTGGTGACCTTATTTATAGGCCATGGGCTAAGCCAAGATCTATTCATAAGGTCAAAAGATAGCAATCGAAATCGGAAAACAGCTGTTCCTTGTGTGACCTTATTTATAGGCCATGGGCTAAGCAGAATGCTCGTGTTGAGCCATGGCCTATAAATAAGGTCACCAAGGGAGACCAGCTGATAATCGATATCTCTCAAGTTTGCTGCCAAAATGCATTATTGTGAATTGACTTCCATTATGAAAACGTAAACAAAGTCGAAACAAAGTCGTTCTGTTCATTCGAAATATTTTTAAAATTTTACTACAAATACATACATTTCTTCTTACCAATGTTGTAAAATTAATCTTAATTTGCATTAAAAATTTCTTAATTTGAATTAATATTTACCCCTGACAGATGAAATTTTCTGCATTTACGAAACAGATTTTTGCTTCAAAACAATTGGTTATCTGTGTGTAGGATGAAAATTTTTTACATTTGTTTAGGTATTTTTCGGGATTACATCTTTAAGAAAAAGATACATGACATAAAGGAGGAATATCAACAATGATCTTAGCAAAACAAGTTAATTTGAATGTCTGTCTAGGCTATTAGAATATATATGGTCTGTTCCCGTACTGCAAGAATCTACTATTTTTTACTACGATAACAATTTTTTCCTTTATGGTATCGAAATAAATGGTAAAAAATAGTAGATTCTTGCAGTACGGGAACAGGCCAATATTTTAAAATCACATACACAGTCACAAATTTTGTATACAACTTTAGCATAACAAGCCACAATATGAAAAATTTTTAATTTATAAGTTGCCATGGCCTACCTTGAATAATTGTACCATGTTAGTAGTCACACGGCAAATTTTGTTGTAAAGTAAATAGAGTTTATGCATTTTTGATAGGAATAAAGGGGGTATACTCCGCAATTCTGTTTTTTTTTTTTTGGTTATTCGTTATAAAAACTGAAGTGGGCTGCAGAAATGTTTTGCATTTTCTTTCATTTTATGTTTTCTGTCGGCAAACAAACACCAAGGCAGTTAATAAAATTAAAACCTGTTGCGAGGAAAAAACAGATAATATATCTTCAGTGCAATCCATGGCTATATCTTTTTCGCGTTACATGTTATCGAAAATACAACAATCACAAGGAAACGATAAAACAAACGCATATCGTTTCCTTGTGGTTATTGTATTTTCGATAACATGACGGATGGCTCAACATCATTCTGCTTAGCCCTTTAAATGGCTAAGCAGAATGCTCGCCTTGAGCCATCCGTTGCGTTATGTGTTAATGAAAATACAACAACCACAAGGAAACGATAACACAAACGCTTGAAGTTGATGTGCGCTGCGCTTCGGAGTTAAATATTATTTAACTTTTTGCGTGCGTTAACGCGATAACAAAAAACGCTGAACGCGAGCATTCTGCTTAGCCCTTAATTCAAGAGTTCCTTTTATAATAAAGTTTTTTTTCTTTTAATTCCATTTTTGAATAAACAATGGTCAAACGAGAGAATAAGTGTGTGGAAGAATATATATAAATTTGATGCAAGGATTATTTGCGAGTCTAAACAACAATGAAATTTTTTAAAGAAATTGAGAAGAAAATTTGTTATGAAATTTTGCTCGTGTGACTACTGACCATTGGACTGCTCCCGTACTGCAAGAATCTACTCGATTTTACTATTTTCTTCGATATCATAAAGGAAAATTCGTTATCGTAGTAAAAAGTAGTAGATTCTTGCAGTACGGGAACAGACCACATGTATGCGTCCATATCCTCAATAAGAACAATTGTAATTAGTGCAAACGTAAGGGACCAGTCAAAATGAACGCCATACATTACGCGTTACCGACGAAAAATGGCGACGAAATTGAATGCTGAAGTAGATACATAAATATATTTTATATGCGTGAACATTGACTGCTATCTTCTTGACGTTTGTACTAATTATGTCGAATACAATGTTGCCATATTATTTTTTGACAATTTTCGTATGACATTTGACAGCAAGATTTCTTCCTCCTTTTCTTTCTTTTCTTTTTTAGCAGGCTCGGTAGGTGTTGTGTATGTTGGAAATAAATCTTTAAAAATATCGAATTTTACAAGCCATCTACAAAAAATAATTATGAGAAATAAATTAAAATCTTTTACATTTATATGCAATGAAACTATTTTCCGTTTTTGTGTGGAAATGGTTGTGGAAATTCGATAAACAAATATGTGTAAACAAATACGTAGATTGTGTGCGGATTGTTAATCGATGTTGAAATTTTACCGTTATTATAGGAAATAGAAGCCAATAATGGGTCGCGTCATTCGTGCACAACGTAAAGGTGCTGGGTCCGTCTTCAAGGCCCATGTCCATCACCGTAAAGGTGCCGCCAAATTGAGGTCTTTGGATTTCGCTGAACGCAATGGCTACATTCGCGGTGTTGTCAAGGTAAGTAATAAATAATGTTTGTGCCTAGGAAGAAGTGTATAGCAGTTATGTTGGGATGATTGATATATTGAGGACTTGAGGAAAATGCATCCCGGCTTAACTGTTTACACTTTGAGCTGTGTTGGAGTGGTGTTTTAATTTGTTGTATTTTTGTTTTGTATAGGAAATCATCCACGACCCTGGCCGTGGTGCTCCTTTGGCTGTCGTCCACTTCCGTGACCCCTACCGCTACAAGATCCGCAAGGAGCTCTTCATTGCTCCCGAAGGTATGCACACTGGACAATTCGTCTACTGCGGCAAGAAAGCTACCCTCCAAATTGGCAATGTAATGCCCATCGCTACCATGCCTGAAGGTACCATCATCTGCAACTTGGAAGAGAAGACCGGTGATCGTGGCCGTTTGGCTCGTACTTCTGGCAATTACGCCACCGTCATTGCCCACAATCCTGATACCAAGAAGACCCGTGTTAAGTTGCCTTCCGGTGCCAAGAAGGTCGTCCCATCCGCCAATCGTGCTATGGTTGGTATTGTTGCCGGTGGTGGTCGTATCGACAAACCTATCTTGAAGGCTGGCCGTGCCTACCACAAATACAAGGTTAAGCGTAACAGCTGGCCTAAGGTTCGTGGTGTTGCTATGAACCCCGTTGAACATCCTCACGGTGGTGGTAACCATCAACATATTGGTAAGGCTTCCACAGTTAAGCGTGGTACCTCTGCTGGTCGCAAGGTCGGTCTTATTGCTGCCCGTCGTACTGGTAGAATTCGTGGTGGCAAGGGTGACTCCAAGGATAAGTAGATTGCTAAGTAATATTAATATCAATAGATTTGATATAATTGTCGTCATCGTTAGAGATTGTTTGTTGGTGTACATTTCCATGCTGTATACACCATGGCAGAAGATGAATGTGAATTTTTTTATTTGAAAAAAGGATCAATAAAATTTGAAAAAAAAACAAAAACTTAAGCAATGAATTCTTTTTAATGAAGTTTGTTGAAGGATCAATAAGTGATCAAGGGGACGTTTCTTTAAATGTGATCTTAAAATACCTATACAAAATAAGTGGTATACAAAAAAAAAGATAGCAGAATGGTAAAAAAAAATTTATATTCCCACAAAAAATAAATCAACAAGGGGGTTTAATCTTCTGGTGGAGTGAAAAGAGAGTAGAACCAAATCACGGACAGATATCGATACTCTTTTATAGGAAGATTGGACACCCAATGAGAACCCAAAGTATCAAATTAGAAGCAATTCGATTGAAAAACGTACCTAAAATTCCCACATTACGATATACAGATTATTTTTACAGCTAATTCGTGTGAAAAGCGTGCTTAAACCTAAAGTGGACCAATATTAATAATTTTTGTTTAGGATGTGCTACCCCATAAGTACCTACAATATCAAACACAGTCGATTCTTCTGAAAACCATGTCCAAAATCCTCAAAATAAAAAGTCGACTTAGAGCCTTTACATTATGTTAAGCCAGCGATATGTGAAGACTTAGTGCACTTAGCGCCTTTAATAATCAATACAACACAAGAATAACATATGAGAACATTATTTTTTAGATCTAATATTTAATAAAAAGTGGGGTTTTTTGGAACCTCAAAGACGGAAGTACTGTTTTTGTTGTAATCAATACCAAAATTCCCCTAAAGTGTTTTTCTTCCGTTTTTATAAAAAAAAACGAATATGTCCATTAACAAAGAAATGGTATCCGAAACAAATGTTAACATTTTATAACAATACGCGCCTTATATATTAGGTTTGTTTGATAACCCGATAATTTCTAACTATTTTTACAAATTATTACTGAATGTTGTTTGATAACTTCAAAGGTCGGTAAATCAATGTAAGTTGAGAGAGGAATTTTTGGCAGTTGTGTACTGAGTATTGAAAAATTCTTACTGGTAAAATTACTCAATAAGAATTATCATGAATATGTTTTGTTGTCAAATATATATTATTATTTTTTTTTTCAATTAATGCAAAAATCTGAATATTTAAGTTTTATGGAGATATAAAGCAATATGCAATGTATAATAACATGATATATATAATTAATTTATTAAAATTTGTTATTTTAATAAATTAATTTTATATATTTCAGTTTGTTCCCTCATTTGAAAATATTGAAAAAAGTTATCGAACGACATCCAGTAAAATCCAGTAAGAAATCAAATGAATGTGTCACAATTTGAAGTTGTTAAAGAATCGGATACAAAATAACAAATATTAATATATTAATTTTATTTATTTCATGCTATTATACATTGCATACTGCTTTATATCTCCATAGAAATTAAAATATTCCTATTTTTTCATTGATTGAAACTAATATATATTTGAGAACAAAACATATAGTACGTTTACATTGTACCGGATTACGTTAACCCAGTGGGTTTCAATTGTCAATGCCATTGTATACATGTCAAATAAATCCTCATAGAGTAGGTTAACCTGGTAAAAAGTTATAATGTAAATGCCGTTGAGTAAATTTTACCAGTAAGAATTTTTCAATACTCAGTACACAACTGCCAACATTTTTCTCTCAACTTACTCCATTTACTATACTTTTAAGTTACTATACTTTTAAGTTATCATCAACATTAGTAATAATTTGTACAAATAGCTACAAATTATTGGGATATCAAACAAACCTATTGTGTTCAAACATGTTTGTAGCAAAAAAAAAAAAAAATACTTATTAATAGAAATGCTCGCCTTGATGAAACAGCATCCTCAGTATATCTGAAATAATAAGCCATAATTATTTTACATCACAAATTACTGGCATACAAATTAAGGGATATCGCCCTGATGTCTTCATCTTTAATGTTGCAAAAAACTACTCGGACTCGAATCAGTTCGCAGATTTCACCAATTATTCCCTTTAAGAGGACCCCCCTTTCTTGCTGTCAAAAATTTCATTTAGTTTTTTGATTTAATTCGAATCTACACTAATTCAAGAATGTCCCTACAAAATTTCAAGAAATCTTGAAGATATAGCCGATTTATTGTGTCAGCATCAAGTGACGGCAAGAGTGATTTTCAAACTGTAAACGCATTTTTCTTGATAACGATAACTCAAAAACTAATAATCCAATCGGTTCCAAATTTTGATACGTTTCTTTGGGAGTGTATCGCTATCGTTTGAAATATGATAAAGCCAATCGTTGAAGAACTTTCTTATTTTTTAACTCAGTTTGTGGTAAAAAATAAGCGAATTTAATTTTTGAGCGAAGTCAATAATCCTAGTTCATAGGAGAGCCACACATGTACTCTTTCTAAATCTGATATAGAGAATGGGGGAGGTCCCCTTAGGAACGCATATTGCATGATCCAATAAACAGGTCGTGTCAGAAGCAATCGTTATCGACAATTTTGGATTAAAATACCCCAATTACGTTTTCACACAATTTTGTTTACGGCCAATTTTTATTCAAACATCATATTGTCTGCGTAAAAAACATTTTTACTTGTCCATGAGAGAATATCATATTTTGTATAATATTAATATAGTATTTAATTTTATACACCAAAAAATAAATATACATTTATTTATATATATAATTACACACTACATAGCTAAAGCTAAATCTTTCGATCGTAATTGTCAATATCATTTCATATATTTCACATAGAAGAGGTTAAAAACGCATTTAAACGGCATATACATTACAACTTTTTACCGGGTTAACCTACTTTATGAGGATTTATTTGACGTATATGCAAAGGAATTGACAATTGAAACCCACTGGGTTAACGAAATCCGGTTAAATGTAAACGTACTATTAAACTCTTTGTACATTAGAACTTTTTACCGGGTTAAAGGAAATGACAATTGAAACCCACTGGGTTAACGAAATCCGATTAAATGTAAACGTACTATTATACACCAAAAAATAAATCTACATTTATTTATATATAAAATTACACACTACATAGCTAAAGCTAAATCTTTCGATCATAATTGTCAATATCATTTCATATATTTCACATATACAATCCTCATAGAAGAGGTTAAAAACGCATTTAAACGGCATATACATTACAACTTTTTACCGCGTTAACCTACTTTATGAGGATTTATTTGACATATATGCAAAGGAATTGACAATTGAAACGAAATCCGGTTAAATGTAAACGTACTATTAGAGACAATATTTAGGACCTGCCACAATTACACAACTGTATTAAGAAAATATTTTAAAAAAGTACTTTTATTGTCATTAGAAAACAATTGACAAAAGCATTATATTTGGCTGGACCGAACATTGAATACTTAAACAACAAAATTATGGTGGAGGGTATACAATTATGACAGTAAAGAGTACCAGCAGCTGTGGTGATGCGGCTGATTACTTTGATTGTCGCTGACAGCAAAATACAAAAGTCCATTTAGCGCATGCATGCATGTTTGCAGCATTCCACAATGCACAATCATCGCGTAAAGCGTTTGTTCACGTCGTTCATTTCGCGTTAACGCGTACGACATTTTCTTTTCGTTCGTTGCTGTTGTTTCTGTTTTCGGCCGAAAAAAAATATAATTTATATATATTTATCGAGAAAATATACAAATAATTACATTCATAAACAAACAATAACAAAAGAGCACAACAGAAGTTGAAATTACGGTGAAGTTTACGTACGTTGCAGTATATTTTATTCGTTTTTGATTGTGAAATAAAAAAATAAAATCTATACACACAGAACAACGTCAGAAAGTCACCGTCGTCGTAGTCGTCGTGTTAAAGAAAAAGGTGAATACAAAGAGAGAAAATAATAATTATGAACGTCAAATAGTTATTTTTCTATACATATTGTGATAATTATTTTTATTAAAACCCAATGATATATTTGTCTTTGAATTCTATGATTATTATTATCGGAATAATGATAAAAATATGACCAATTGAATATGTGTACATATGTGTGTTTACATTAATGACTTGTGAGTGTGTGTGTGTGTGGTGTGCGATGGTCATCATCCGCACATACAGTATGTATGTATTTTTTTTTATTTTGGTATCGTTGTGCTAATTATTTTGTTTGTTTTTCTTTTTATTACACTTGAGGATGCAACAATTAACTTTTTTCCTCCTGAGTCAATACGTAGTGTCTTCTTATGGAGGATAGTTAATTTATATGTCCTCGTTTAATATTATTTGTAAACTATTTCAGTATGTCACAATAATGTGAAATAGCAATTTAAAGGAGTTGCCAAGTTTCCCAAAAAATCAAACGATATCGTAAACTTACCCCATGGGGAGAAGATAATCTTTATGATCATACAACAAGTATATAAACAAGAATATTCTATTTGATTCATTTTCTAATTAGAAGTTAAAAATAACTAGATTTTTAGTAATTCATTAATTATTTTTTTTATAAATAATTTTAAATTATGTCTTAACCTGACATGCACTGGGAAAACAATTCACTATTTATGGTTATTGATCCAATCCGTGATAATACAATTTTTAACATAATTAAACTTAAGGTAAAATAAAATCTATGTTTCCCAAATATTATGTATTGTTAGATAATTTTACCATTATATAAATAGGTGTGTTTGTTTAGTCAAACATTTGGTAATTTTTTTACTAAATGTTGACCAAATTACTTAAGGGTAACACTCAGGAAGTATTGTCCTATATTGTCAGTTTTCGTCGTGAAAATTAAGACATTCTACTATGGACAGGTTGAAAATCGTTCTACGCGAAAGAAACATAGGGTAAACGCACCTAATTCCGGCATGTACCAATAGTCGGCATCTGTTTTATATAACTTCAAATAACTTAAAAAATCCTATAACTATATATGAAAAATACCTTGAATAATCTTCAATGACACTGCAATCTACCTCTGTATAAAATTTAATCGAGCTAATTTCATTTATTCAGTCAAAAATTGGCATTTTGTCAATGAGGTTTGTCAACACTAGCGATAATTCATGTTTCTTAAGAAAAAAGCAGTGTGCATGACGATTTCAAAAGACTTGTAACTATATTAAAATTATATTTTTTCACAAGGATCTTCTTCATAATTGTAAAGAACATAGAGGAGAATACTTTAGAATTTAAAATCATTAAAAAATATTTTTAATAATAATATTTTTATCGATGCCGACCTTAGGAACAAAAAATTTTAAGGTTTTCTTTAGTCGGCTCAAAATGGGAAAAAATGTTAAATAAGTCCTCTAAATAACGATTATCTTATAAAAAACTAGTTTTGAGTGTTTTCTATAATAGAAGACACGATTTTATTCTCAAATACTTTTAACCTCTGAAATGCCTTATTTAGCCATGCCGAGAATTGGATAACAGGTTCCCAATGTCGGCACCATGTTTTAAAATTGTAATATTTTAATAAATAATATTATTTTATATAACTTTTTCAATACAACACTGATGGAAACGTCCCAAAGTAATAATTTATTTTTGAAAATAGCAGAAAAATCAATTAAATATATAAGTTTTGTTTAACTAAAATGTGACATGCCGACTATTGGAACATAACATGCCGACAATTAGAAAAATGTGCCGACTATTGGCACATAGGCACTATTTTACATAATTATTAATTTAATCTACTTTAATACAAGTTAATTAAACAAATTTGTATTCCATCGGGGAGTAAACAAAATTTCGAAACAGATGAACCTAAATACAATGCCGTGGAAAAGATGCACTTGGAATGGTGAAACGTTTAAAAAGCGAAAATTCTTAAAGTGCCGACTATTGGTGCACTTACCCTATTGAAAAAACAATAATAGGGTAAGTGTAGCAGTAGTCGGCACTTTAAGGTTTTTCGCATTTAAAACGTTTCATCATCGCGAGTGCATTTTTTGTTTATTCCCCGATACAATAAAAATTTGTTGAATTAATTTATGTCAATTGACAATTAGGTAAAATAGTGCTCCATGCCAATAGTCGGCACATCATGTTCCAAAAATTTTATATTAGGTTGGGGAAAAATAAATCCATTTTTTTATATGAACTATAGGACTTTATTCAACATGCTTTGGAATGCCCGATTTATGTCAAATATGCATCGTTTTGTTGTATGATTTGTTGCCATTTTAAAGGTAACTTCATAATGCCTTTCTCATAGATGTTCTTTTCTATATTTGCAAAAAAAAACTCTAGTAGTCGATTTTAACATTCCTCCCTAGATACAAATTTTTTATCACTATAGAAATTTTGTCCGGACTGTATGGCGGATGCATTAAAACTTCCCAACCAAACTCCCGAAGTTTCTGGCGAGTCACTATAGATGTGTCCCACGAGGACAACGCTCTCCTGTTGGCCAATTCTAGCCGTTTCTGTCAATTACTATCTTCAAATGGTCCTGTTGTTGACGGTAGAGATCAAAATTTAGCGTTTGGTCATATGGAAGCAATGTATAGCAGAACCATCGTGGCCGGTAGTCCTAGTTTGACCGCCATTTCGCCGCTCTCTCACCACGATCGTTTTAGCACAGGGATATCGTATGTGATCCATTTCTCATCTTCTGTCACCATCCGTATAAGAAATTGGTCTATCTCATTCCGTTTGGTCAAGGCTTCGCATATGGAAATTCGATCCATCCTATTTGTTTCTGTTAATTGGTGTGACAACCAAGCATCGACCTTCTTTCAGAATCCAGCTATGTGTAAATTGTTTAAAACAGTTTAATGGTCGATTTGTAGATCCTGGGCGATGTTACGAATGCTAACATGCCGGTCAACTTTGATCATTTCTCGATTTGATCGACATTTTCGACGACCGGCCTAATGGATTTCTTTTCCCTCAACATATATATTTAATCGAAAAAAGTATAACAAATATAATTTGTAACTGAATGTAAAATCAATATTACATGTGAAAATCGATGCTAATATTTTAATTGCTCTCATCTCTCCTTAGTTGATGTATGTGTTGTGTTTGTATGTCTTGTGTACTTCTCACAATATAAGTACCCTAGTAGATGGCATTTGTATGAAGATAATCTAATGAGCATTTAGTCACGTTCATTTCGTAGATTGTCAAAGGCGGATGTTGGCGAATTTTCCTACTTAATATAACTAATAAAAACAATAATTATCCATTTAATTTGTGAATATAATGTTAGTCGTTGATTTAACGCCATAAACTGGCCACATGTTGTTTAGTATTAAAAATGAATAATAATAATAAGAATAAATGCCAATTTCTGGTGCCTTAAACACAACAATGTTCTAATTGCCTTTTAACAATGGCCGGCCTAAAAGTGACATTTGTGAATGTGTTATGGGTTTAAGACACATGGGGCAAATCATTGCCATAGCAACAACCAAATGTAATGAAATCAATATGAAAGAACTAAAAGTAGAATATGTATAGAATAGGGCAGTGAAAGAATTCAGACGATTCATTTTTATAACCTTTCAAAAGGACAAAGAGTAATGGCAGCAGGAAAGCCATACATTCGAGTCATTTTAAAATTTCAACAATTAACCTAAATAGCAAAGGGGAGTCAGAAAAGGAACTGCAATAAAGGGATTCTAAAAAATTACGAACTTATTAATGACGAAATCAAAGGAATTCCATTGAGTTTGTTATACAGAGAAAAGGAACAGGACGAAAAATAACTCTACAATATGACTACAAAAAGACGTTATTCGCTAAGCGAATCTCGTATAGAGGAACACTTGCAATTGCTGGAAGTATTGGATAATTTACCACTGATAGATAGTTGCTGTGATATATGTCATTGTGATTGTTACAGTAGTCATCGCAGTGAGTTAGGAGATGAGGAAGTAAATGACAAGTATACACAAATCCTTCGCACGGAAGAAAAAGAAGACAAACACCTGTCTAATTCGGAAGATGATAAAAATAGCATTAAGAAGAAAAAGGACAATGCTTCCGTAACACCATCGCCACCACCACCAGCAGATAAATACAATAAAATTGAGCAGCCTCATAGTCTAACAACACTGCCGCCAACAAAAGGAACCCACAACGAATCTCTGCAGCCAACAACCAAACAAGGACATTGTAAAGAGAAAAATTTGCGTAAAAAACACAAATCAAAGAAACGTTCTAAAAGTGTTTGTGCACGTAGCCAAAGCCAGTGTTCTGAACATTATTATACAAGAGATTGTGAGATTCTACAAAATCTATTAACATCGCTGGACGATAGAAACTTGTCCAAATTAAATGTTAAAGGAGTTACAAAACCACAGCCAGCCAAAAATAAACATATAAAATCTTCCAAAACACTAGCCACATCCACAAAACAACAGCAGCAGCAACTAATGTCTTCACATCATTTTGATAGCACCAACACCTCCACCTACAATACTTTTGCTCCAATAAGGCTTTCCGAATCTATGGCCAATTTGTGCTTGGTACCCAGTGTTAGAGAGGCCTACCAACAAGTACCAGCACACGATAAACGAATTTTAAATCGAATGGCCACCAAACGCAATGAACAGGCGGTTTCCAAAGAAAATGCATGGTTAGCCAGGAAATACTGGGAGAATGAACGTTACGAACGTGAACTGCTCAAATGCGAACAAATGGAGGAATACAAAAAAGCTGTGCGCGACAAACAATTCCAAGACTATCTGCAAACAAAGGCTCGTCTTAATGAAATCGCCCAACGGGATTTATGCGAACTGCAACGACTCCGAGAAAGCCTCCAGCAGAAAGATGATCGTGCCAAGAAACGCTTACAAACGCTACGCATCGAAAAGGAACTCTCTGTCAATCAGAAACGTTGTGAGGAGCTGCGCAAAGCCGAACATGTAAGCATCAATCAGGAGGAATTGAATCTCGATGAAATGTTGAAGAAAAGTGAAATATGTCATCGGCTGACAGAACGTCTTAAACGTGCCGATCACATACGCAATGAAATATTGGAGAACTATCTGAAACGATTGCGTTACGACAACTACATAGAACAGTTACAACACGAAGAACATTGGCGTGAAATACAGCTAAGTGAAAAACTCAAACGAGAACAGCTAAAAGAAGAAATATCTCGTAAACGATGCCGATCACAACATTTCGTTGAGACAAAACAAAAACACAATGAATCGCTAAAGAGAACAGCAAAGCTATCGAAAAGTCTTCGAGATTTAGTTCGGTCATCGGTGACACCGGATACAGGTGTTGCGCTTTATGGTGGCAATAATGCAACAACCCTAAACAGTGTTCAAACAGCAAAATTATTATTTGATCGTAGGCCATATTGAATATAAACTCAAGTTGTTATACATATTTATTTGTAGATGAGTAATGTGTTGAAAATACAAAAAAAAAAAATAAATAAATAAAGGTAAACAATGTGCGGTACAAAATATATAAAATTTAACTTTCCAACTTGTCTAGTATCGATTATTCATACAAGAGTCAGGTGGTGTGTGTATGTTTGTGTTGGAATTTGCAATGCCAAATGGTTAGAATGTTTTTTTTACCTACTTATAGATTTGTTTTTATTTGTAATATGATTTGTTGTGTTGCGATATTGAATTTTTGCATTTCAACAAGAAATATTTTGCTGTTGCTATTAAATGTGTGTTTACGTTATTGATAACAATTTATAGTCACCTTTTGTATTTTGAAATCAGTAAAGAAAGGATCAATGCCTATGTAACACTTTACACCACTTTGGGTAATCTTAGCATGGAAGCACTGTTCATCATATTTCATACCGCCCTTGTTGCCCCTGTTTAAACACATACCTAGGTAAAATAATTTGAATAAAATATCTGTGGCCGTATCACTTTTTGTTATCTACATCCAAAGAGATTACAAACTTTGTTTTTGTCTTTATTAGAAATAATGTGCGACTCAATTTTTTATGAATACATTTTCGTTTGCAAAGGCTAAATTCCCTTTGTTTGGTACATTATCGGTTATGACTTAGAGTCATAACCAAAATTCAACATTGTTTTGGTTTGAAGACATCTTAATGACAGTTACAATAGTTATATTTGTGTACTACTAGAAAAAGTTTTTAAATATCAAATTTTAAGTTATCGATTTGTAGGTGCTCCCAGTTTGCTAAACGGTTTATGACTTTGATCACAATTTTTTGCTTTATTATGAATTTATTATTATTTATAGGCCCTAATTTTTTTAGTTGGACGATTAGATCCCAAAGTACCAAATTGCAGCCAAACCTGACAATAATATCGAATATTTGGGAGGGACTATAACAAAACGGGGACCGATCACATTTTCAATACCAAACATACTAGGAATAATAATTGATGGCCAAAACTGAAACCGAAACTTTTAAAAATAAATTATAGTGAGTTTTTTTTTTCAGAAATAAATAGGTAATTTATTTATTCAAAAAAACATAAACACAACATTTATTTTGAAATAATAAATATTCTATGGAAAACTAAATTGACACAATGTTTGCTTGATCAAAACTAACGCAACTTTTTCTTTTTTCTTTTAAATAAGTAAATTTACCTAGTAATCGACATCGTTTTTGTTTATGGCAGCATACCTACGAGGAATTTAATCCATAAAACGCTTAATGTGATCCTTGGATAGACTATTCCTCGCATCCTAAACCTTTGGAAAGAGGTTATGTTTGTCTGTTTCTGAATTTGTTTTGATTTTGCTATCTCTGATACTCCAAAGATTTTTTCATAAGTGAAGATCTGATATTTGTGTTGGCCATTATAAAACCCAGATTTTTTAGTGTTTTTCGCGGCATCTCTCCGGGTTGAACTGTCACCACTGATAATGGTTGAATAAAGCCAACTTACTTTCTCCAAAATAATTTTCTATGATAAATAGGCGGAAAAAACCAACACATAGTAATTATAACAGTAAACATAACTAAAATTTCGGAGCACATCTGTTTGTACTGAAGAGTTGCTTTAGTTTTGTCCAAGCAAAAAATGAGACAATTTAGTCTTGATTTAGATATTTGTGTTGGCCATTATAAAACCCAGATTTTTTAGTGTTTTTCGCGGCATCTCTCCGGGTTGAACTGTCACCACTGATAATGGTTGAATAAAGCCAACTTACTTTCTCCAAAATAATTTTCTATGATAAATAGGCGGAAAAAACCAACACATAGTAATTATAACAGTAAAAATAACTAAAATTTCGGAGCACATATGTTTGTACTGAAGAGTTGCTTTAGTTTTGTCCAAGCAAAAAATGAGACAATTTAGTCTTGATTTAGATTAGGCGAGTTTATTTGCGGCAATTCTTATCATTCTCTTTTGAACTTGCTTCATGCGTCTATACAAGGCAATTCGGTTTCAAAAATATAAACCTAATCTAAATTGGGATTTGCATAAATGCTTTTGTTTTTTAAAAACGTGAATAAAGTATCTGAATTAAAACTGAAAAAACCAACATGAAATCTTTATTTTTGAAAAAGTAATGCGGCATTTATTATCCCTGCAATTTTAGTTGCTTTAGTTTTGGCCACCAGAGTATGTGTAAAATTTCAAAGGTCTATCTCAAATATTGCGACCACAGACGGAGATTCATAGATGGACATAGACTTTTATTGTGAACAAGTATATATATGTACTTTATAGGGTCTCCAGTGAATATTTCGAGGTGTATACATACGGAATAACAAATTTAATATACACTCCATCCTATGTTGGAGAGTATAAAATTGTTCTTAAAAAAACTTGATAGAATATCAGTGAACTTTTCTATTGAACTGTAATTATTTTGTTATCCCTGTTTATGCTTCGTACGTCCCTGAGTTGATACTATAAAAACTGGCATTAAAATTAAAATTGGAGTAGTAGATGTATAGTGGTTTTGGAACCGATCATGGCCTTGTGGCTAGGTTTCCATTCATGAAAAATAAAGAAATTGAAAATTCAAAATTAATATTCGTTCAGATTCAAGCTACTGAATGCTATCTCTTGTTTAATATTGAATAGCAGTACAAAATTATATTTATAAGCATTCATTTCGGGCGCGTATAACATCGATGTTGTTTCAAAGTGTTAATCAAAAACAAAAACGAGTAATTGAGGAAAATTGTGTGTTTAAATACACACTTTTTTGAGGAGTGAATCCATGACACACTAAAAGGTAAATACGAAAATTGTTACTTGTTTGTCTATAGTTTTCTTTTTTCTTGTTCTGTTTCAATTGATTATTAATGAATGCCTACGTTACTCTCTCTTTTAATAGGTCGCGTCGCTCGCATATGGCATAGAAACGCAAATGCAACTTTTATTAAAAAAAGCAAACTAAAAAAACTGCTGCTCAACTGCCAGGGATTATTATGGGGGAATAAAAGAAAATAACAGCTGCTTTATAACACAAAAATGCCTGCATAAATTAATTAAATATTTTGTTTCCTTATTATTCTGCTATTGATTTAGTTCTAATAAAGTTTAATTTTATTATAACCAAATTATATTTTGTTTTTCATTTCCTTTTTCATTTGATTAATTTTTGTAATTTTTATGTTAATTTTCAGCATCGGGTGTTTATTCCATAAAACGTAAAAAACACGCGCACACAAACCAAACGAAAACATCTGGAATAAAATGTTGGATTATTTTTGATATTGGACGAAGAAAAGAAAATAAAAAATACAATTTTATTTGCCAAAATGGATTTAAAATTTCGATGTTCTGTTTGCTTGATGATCGTGTCGGTTATGACTTCCTTGAGTTTGGCATGTACAAGTCGCAGTAGTACACCAAAGCCCAGACCTACAACACCAGCACCCATAACAATCTCAACAACGACACAACGGCCGAATGTAACATTTCCCATCTTGAATTGTCCACCACCATATGCTGCCTGGTATTGTCTGAATGAAGCCACCTGCTTTAAGGTTGAAATCCACAATGAGGTCTTGTACAATTGTGAATGTGCAAATGGGTTTGTGGGACCACGTTGTGAGTACAAGGAAATCGATGGCAGCTATTTACCGACTAGACAACGTGCCATGTTGGAGACAGCTAGCATAGCAAGTGGAGCCACCCTGGCATTGATATTTATGCTAGTATTGTGTTTTTCACTCTACATACGCCGTGAGAAGGAACAAAAAATGAAACTGAACGAAAGTCTAAATATGGCTCACGACAATGCGGCAATGGATGAAGTTGATGGTATAACAAAAATTCCGGAAATGCGACCATTCGGACCACATCATTATGCAGTTTTACCAATGTCGTCGGCATTTAAACGTTAACGTTTCTTTTTTCTTATTTTAGTTATTAATTTTAGATTTCAATATTTTTTTAGAAGATGCTACACCAATTTTCAGATACAAAACTATTTTTTTCTATAAATATTTTAAATAGAAAAAAATTGTCCTATCTAGTATTAAAATTGTGTGAAATTGTGTAGTTATCGTAAGCAAGACAGACTTTTTTTTGACATACTTTATCCTTTCATATAAAACTTTCAACTTTTCCTAACACACGAACGACTAAAGGAAATATTCAAAATAATTCCTTTTTGCAATTTATTTAAATAAAAAAAATTGTTGACTATTATTACTATACGTTTAAGGTATAGTTTTAAAACGGGTTGCCAAACTCATGAGGAGTTTTTTCTATAGAAAATATTCCTCAATCCTAAAAAGTGAAATTCCACAATTCCTAAGAAGTGTTTCGATTGCTGATAAGTATTTTAAAGGGAAAATACTTATACTTATAATATTATTTTTTGTAGAAATAAAAATTGTTTTCTTTGAAATGACATAATTTATATATTGAGGACCTATGGACTTCTATTGCAAATTATATTCTATCGAAAGAAGATCCGTAAACTGTTTTCTATCCATTGACAACGTATATATATATATATATATATATATTAGAAGTCTATATATTATTTATTAGAAATCTACAAATATAATTTTATAATTTTTGCAATCAAATATGTAACCCGTTTTAATTCAATGCCAACGTACATAAAATCTTAGACTTTTCACTATATTTTCTTTTAAATTAAAAATAAAATAAAAACACGTTATTGCGCAGCTATATTCTACCGACAATATATTTATTATATATATTTAGTTTATGATTTAGTTTTTATTTTCTGTTTTGGATCTTTTTTGGCGATTTTTGTTTGTGTCACTATTACTATTTTTAATAAATTTACATTAAAGCAAAATCAAAAAATAAATATTTAAGAAATTAATATGGTATATAACGTTCTACATATTCTCAACATTTGTATCAATGCCCTTCAAACCATTTCCACTACAAAAAAAGTATTCTATTTACACCGTCTTTTTAACTACCGGAGCAGCTATTATTCTTCTTGTTATAAAGATAAAAAAAACCTTATCAACCCATAGTATTAAAACAATTTCTAATTTGTAAATGAATTAGACTTGCCGATTTTATTTTGTTTTCCCGAATAACGAAATGTTTATTTTAATTTATTTATCTTTATATGTATAACATACATTTCGAAAATATTGCCTATAAAATAAGTTATTAACATTACAATATATAAATATATATATAGCTTAAATAACACTAACAATTTTAATTGTGTATGTGCCTGTCTCAAAGAAAACTATGCAACGAATTAATGCAAATAATAATAAAAAGAGAATTAATTTGTATTCTGTTCGATTTCATTTAAGTTTAATTTTTTATTTATATTTGAAAAAAACTTATGGGATGCATTTTCTTTTGAACGAAACAAAATTAATTATTTTGTATATGATTGTATATAACATATGAGTGGGATTACTTTAATGAAGACAATAAATAAGTAAGGTGTCCTTTTTTGATCAGACTTTAACAGATATTTTTGGTCAGGCTTCGAAGTGTATAAATTTTGCATATTCCCGTACACAGGATGTGAGTTTGTAATGAATACTCATTTCTCGGCGGAATTTATAACAATTTCAGACACTTCGATAGGGCGGTCAACCATGAGTGTTTTTTTGGAGTTTTGGACCATCTTAAAATCTAACAAAATGACACACGACATAATGTTAAAAAATCTTATCCAGATTTTTGACAACATTTTGGAATTGTTGTTCCGCCCTTAAAAGATTTTCCAAAAAGAACAGTTAATACTTTGTAAATAGATTATAAAAAATAATTTTAATCATTTCTTTCATTTCAGATATAAAATAAATATACAAGAGAGGCAATAATTTCAACAGCCATGTCCGATAACAATCAAGGACCACCACCACCCAATGAATCTGACTTGGGTCCGCCAAAAGCAGATTTTAGTGCTCCACCACCATATGAACTGACAAATAGTCATGTCAATCTACAACAACAGCAACAACAATTGACTCTTAACCAACAGAATCTACAACAACAACAGCAAACAAGCATACCAGCCGAAATACCCATACATCATGGCAAATTACCAACCTATGAAGAGGTACAAATGGAAAAGTCGTTGAATGGTGAATTACCTCCTGGATTTTTGACAACACATACCTTGCAACCACCGCCACCATTGGCACCACCACCCAATCCACTATTGGCAAATTTACGCGACACAAATACCACCAGCGGAGGTGGTTCTGGCAGTGGTCTAACATTTATTGCCATCGATGCATCGGAGGCGGAAAATTTAACAAATAACACAGACAACAACCTATTGGGTACCGATATAATGTTCATCACTGCTTTTATGGTGGCATTTCTATTCAACTGGATTGGTTTTTTGATGTTGACCTGTTTCTGTCATACAATTGCGGCGCGTTATGGTGCTCTATCTGGGTTCGGTCTATCATTGGCTAAATGGACACTAATTGTTAAGCACTCGACGGATTTGGCATCGCATGAAAACTCCTGGCTGTGGTGGTTGATAATGGCTTTTGGGTTTTTGATTTGTGTCCGGGCTATGCTACAATATGTTAGTATTAAACGTACTTGGCGTCTGTTGTCGACCTCGGCCCAGGAACGTCTATTGTTCTTTTACTAGACAAAATAAGAAAGTTGAAACGAAAATATAACCCAAAATAATTCGGAGAAGTTATGAAAAACACACAAAACAAAAATACAAAACTATTAATTATGATTAGAATAGTTAAGCATATTTTTTAAATATATAAATAAAAAAAATTATTAAAAAAGAAGGGATAATTAGGATATACAAAAAGATGAAGAATGAATTGATTTCTCTTTATTTCGTTTTTGTTTTGTATATTGTTCAATAAGCGAGCAATGTGAAAAGTCATCAATTGGCACCATTGGCAATATTTTCTCTCTTCGGATTGCTAATGGCAAATTATTTTAGCTGTAATGTTCGTTGAGCGAACAGATAAATTATCATAACAATTATTTTTTTTTTTTTGACAAACAGCGATAAGTTTGTTCACTATATCTGTATAAAATATTTGAAATAAATTGCACAACATATATATATTTTTCTTTAATGGGAAGATGGTATATATCTATAGTTAAAAAGAATTAAATTGAAGTCTGTTATCTATAGATGATCCTCTGGAAGATCAGTGGTAATAACTACAATTACCTGTGGTTATAACTTTTTTTGTAGAATGTTATCCGTCTATAGAAAAGTTATACTGTCTACAGAATACCTACAGAATGAAATGAATTTTGTAGCCGTCCTTTTAATGGATGTCCAGTAATATTCTAGGAAATATCTATAGAAGGTTTTTCATAAATTTTAATAGCGTTGGAAGTATTCTTGCAATAACAGGGATTTTTAAAAAATCCTCCAAAAGGACCATTTAAGCGGACATTAGCCTGTGAATATTGTCCTGTAGGTCCATAGAAGTTCTAAAAAGGACTGCAAGTCTATGCATTCATGATATTTTATCATATATGTTGAAGATGTGTACAAAGACGTCGGTCAATCAAAGAACATTACCATTTTGCCCACCTTGATAAGATAAAAGGTCTTCGCAGTTAATCTGCCATTTAATGGGTTTACTTATATAAAATGCATTCTGTAATCAGAAGCTTCGTTCAAATTACAATGTAACGATTAATTATCAGCCCAATCATGAATATCGGAAAGGAATTGGATCCTCAAGAAATATTTTCCATTCTTGCGAATTGGATTGATTTTACAAGTTTTCATTACAATTTCTTCGGAAAAATTTTTTTTTGTCAACGCCCATCAGTTTTATCAGTGATTTTTTTCTAAAGGAAAACACAAGTTTGAGTGTTCTTGATTTTCCTTTTAGACTTTTTATTCATGATAGAAGGAAAATGAAAAGACAAAAATTCTGTACAGATTTGGTATTCAGATGGTCTTCAGAAGATGTTCCATTTGTAAAATACCCTTCTATCTCTAGAGAGAATCTGAATCTTTGACTAGAAAAAAATGTGAAAACAGAAAGCTTTCTCTTTCGTCCTCGATAAAAAAACTTTCCACTTTCAGTGTTTACTGTTTCTAAATTTGTTTTTTTTTTAATTTTGGAATGAAGTCTTTAGTGCCAATGAAGTTATCCACTAAACACTTATAGACATCAGATAAATTTGCAAATTATTAATGTTTTCATTGTATCCTTTATAGGACATTTGCTTATGACTTACTAGCTATTGTTTATACAAAAAAGATTCCATTTGCTTATTGAACACTGTTTTTTTAGTTATTAGTCTATTAAAAACATATATATATATATATGTATAACTAAATTTAAGTCTGTAAATACCAAAAAAGAAATCCTCTTTTTTTGGGGACATTAGTCGATTTATATAAATTTGAAAAAATAAACAAAAAACACAAAGGCAAGATTTTTGATGAATTATTATAGTCCAAATATTACATAATGTTAATAATGTTGTTTATTTTTTATTTGCTAATTAGTAATACGAAAGTAAAGCTTTCTATTTGAAAACGTACTTAAAAACAATTATATAATACATTTTACACACGTTATTTTCTGTTCTGCTACGTTTATGCAATAATTTTGTTCGTGCACTTTCCAAACAAAAAATTCGTATTTAAGTTTTATTATTCAAATACGCCAAATAGCTAACACAAATTATGAAAAATTTCGATATCAATTTTAAAATACATGTAATAATTTTTTCTCTTTTGTTTTATAAGGCCTATGTATATGTATTTGTTTATATAAAAAATAAAAAGAAATAAAATTACCAGTGAGTTTTATATAGATTGTTATGAGTGTAGCCATGCCATGGTTCAGTTATGATTATTTTATTACTTGGAAGATTCTGAGGTATACGAGCATGTCTTAAAGCTTTATCATTCCCACTTCCGGGGGTGTTGAGCCTTGCGACACTTAATGCCGAAGATACTGCAGAATATTTATTATTGCATTTATAGCTTCAATAAGAGTCAATTGTCTCTGTCGCGGAGATATGTGTATATCTTTCTATTCTATATAGTTTCAAATTTCGGCAACGTCCTTCTCCGACATTTGAAGATCTCTTTCAAGAAAATCATTTTTTTAAATCATTGACCAACAATTTCTCAGCATTCGAAACTACATCTCGCATTTTTGCTTCTTCCTCTTTAATGAGAACAAGGCGAGATAGTGTTTTTTTTTTTTTTTTTTTTGTATTATAAAATCGGACATAATAAAAAATATAAAAATTGTTTGTTCAATTAAAAAATATATTTTATTTACATTTCCTGTAAATTAAAAAAAATAAAAATACTAAAAATAACAACTATACTACATACATTTACAAAACATATAATACAAAACTAATTAACAATTTAGTTTTGTTTTTGTTGTTTATTGGCGCCTCCATATTTCTGTTTCTTGTGGAATTTTTTAGGATTAATTCCATAAGCCTTCAGCCGTTCATCGCTAATATTTTGAGATTTGTCATTTGAACTGTTAGCACCATTTGACTTGGCCTTAAATGGTTTCTTATTGTTGTTGCTGTTGTTGTTACCAAACTTTGGTTTAAATGATCCATTGAACGGTTTCGATTTCTTTTGGCCCTTGTGACCCAATGGTGGCAACGTTTCATTTATTGCATTGTATTGATTGCCATTAAATGAATTGCCTCCCTTTGATGGTACGATTTTATTTTTAGGGAAATTTTGCGTATTATTTTGATTGGAAAATGGATTATTGGCCTTCTTATGTTGTAGATTTTTATTGGCAGTTGTATTATTTTGTTTATTATTCTTAGCCGGTGTTACGAATTGTTTCGGTGTACTGTTTTGTTTCTTGTCCTCAGACATATTTTGTTGTTCTTTTGGTGTGTTATTCTGTTGATTATCTGTTTGTGTGTTCTCTTCAGCATTGCCTTTCGTTTCAGTCACTGGACCATTATGTGATTTTTTCTTCTTTTTATTCCTTTTCTTTTTAGCGGCCTGATTGTCACCTGCGGATTTTATTACAGATTCTTCTGTTATGGTTACCTCTTCCGTTTTAGGCTTTTTCTCAAGAGGCTCCTCTTCATTGGCCGGATTACTTTTAGCTATTGTACTATTATCAACATCTTCCCCTGTTGACGGAGCAATATTTGATGCAATTGCAGCATTTTGAGCTTTACGTTTCCTCTTCTTTTTATTCTTTTTTGATTCAGCAGTCTCATTACTCGTTTTAGTATCAGTTGCATTGTTATCTCCAGGATTTGTCTTTGTCAAATTAGATCCTGAATCATTTTTCACTTCCTCCTCTTCCTCATTATCAGATCTGGAAATACATTTACCACATTTGTCATTTATTTTCATTCATATTTTATTTTTATGGATGCTTACCCTTCTCCATACAAGCTTTTGAAAATTTTTCTCTTAAGCTCTTCATTTTTAGCTTTAAGTTTATATAATCTTTGCTCTTTTTTCTCCACTTGTTCGGGTCGTATTTGTATAGCCTTCTTCAAACTAGCCCACTGGTTAAGTTCCTTGTTTTTGGCCAAAAGAATCTGCAATTGAATGATATTTTAAACAGCTGCATTAAAAATGAACGCATTATATTGACTTACCTCCTCTATGGTTAAACCAAAGTCATTTGGTGTTGTTTCAACATATTTGAATCGACATGGCAGATCTCCAATAATATCTTCACAGTCCAATTTATAATACTCATCAATATATTCTTCATAGGTTTTCTCATCTTCTGGATCGAATACCGGCTTCTCTGCTTTTATCATGGCCATAAAACGATCACGACGACCTTTCCTTCCTTTGCGTGTCTTTGTGTTTTCAATTAACTCCTTTTGTAATTGTTCTTTGGCCTTGGCGGGATCATAATCACAGTCCATATTGAAATCATCATCCTCGCAATGAGGCTCATAATCTCCCTCCTCATCACCACCATCCCAATCTTGTTGGGGATCGTAATTATCCCAGTCTTCAAGTTTCAGTTCCTCTATATCTGAGGGACATTCGGGTTTTTCTTCACCCTCATCGACTTGATAGTAATCATCATTGAATAGTTCACGCATACGACGATCATGGGCTTCTGGATCAAATTCATCATCTAAATCATCGTCCTTAAAGCCAAGCTCATCATTTCCTGTAACTTTTTTCAGTTTTTCAATTTTCTCTTGGATTTCTTTGCGTTTCATTTCCTTTATCATTTCTATTTCCTTCATTTTTTCTTGTTTCTCTTGCTGTTTCCGTTCTTTAATTTCCTGTCGTTTTTGCTTACGTTTATCATCTGTTCTTCGAACTGAGGACTCTACAGTACGTGGATATCTTTTGATAAACTCCTGATCAGGATCTTCATAGCGGAAATTAAACTTGTGTTCAAATTCAGCTTGTTTTTCCAGTTCCTCTTCATCCTCCGAAAGTGGAGCATTATCACCGACAATCTCCTCATATGTTGGAATTTCTGAATAATTACTGGCTTCTGTATAGCCCTTATTCAAAATGTAATCACGAAGAAATTTTTCACTTGACGGCAAGTTGTCACTGTTCCAATATGTTTTAAGAGGTTTTAGTTTTTCTTGTGCCTCAGTCTCTATGGTTTCTTTTTTACCGGCTAGCCATTTCAGGTAGTCCTCTTCTTCCTTTTCCTCTTCAGCTTTAGTTTTCTCACGTTTTTTGAAGATGCCACCAAATTCCTCATCACCGGAATCATCGGAATTCATTACTTTTTTGAATTCCTCCCTAAGACGGCGTTCTTCCTCCACTAAAGTTGGGGAAGCTGCACGTTCTTGATTTCTGTTTTCACCCTCTTCTTCATCAGAATCTGAACATTTAAAAATATGTTAAAATCTTGGGTTAGATTTAGTCTATAGATTCCACATACCATCAACGAATTTTCCACCCTTTTCCAAAATAATTTTTCTTTCATAATCCTTAAGAGTGACAGGTTTGCCTTTCTTTCCTTTGCCTTTGTTTTTGCCGCCATCATCATCGTCATCCTCTGAACTGTCTACCTCAACTTGTTTATTGACCTTTTCGAAGAATTTTACATCCTTATTGTAAATTTTTGGATCTTTACTCTTCAACGAGGCTAATGTACTTAAAAATTCCTGATCGAATGTGGGATCCAAAACTTCATCCTCCTCCGAGGAATCTGAATCACTTGATGATTCCGTGAGGGATTCATTTAGTCCTTTGTCTTTAACTATAAAATAATAAATAAAAAACTAGTGCTCCAATTTTGGAATATTGTTGTTGCTTACATTTTTGCATCAGTTCCTTTTTCCTTAACTGATTGTAGGTTTTGGCATATCCTTCATTTGTATTCAATTGAAAATGATCCTCCGCATTGTCATCGCTATCATCAAATAATTTTTTACTCATTTTATTTTTTTAATAGATGTATTTTAAGTGCTCCAAATTAAAATAAAAAAATATTTCAATTTTGTTTTGGTATCTGCACGTGTTCCCGTGTTCCAATACAACAACAGCAGAAATATTGAAAAACGTTCCACCTGCTACGAATGGGATGGGATAAGACAAAATGCCCGGTAAAGAAGAAGTCAAAAAAGAAGACGGAAAGTTACGAATGAGGTGGGATGGAACTAAAAAGGGTTGATAGTATCGATTCTTTTTTTAAAATTGAATATCGATTGATAGTTTTGGCTATCGATATTATCGGACAAAATTACAAATAATCGATTGATAGATTTTTACAAAAGAGTATTGTAAAATACGTATTTTTGACAAAAAAAAATAAATAAATAAATTTAATAAATATGTAGTTATAATACTGTCGACAGTAAATACGCATTGACCCTTAAGGGCTAGAACACATGTGGTCTGTCCCGTACTGCAAGAACCTACTCCATTTTACTATTTTCTTCGATATCATAAAGGAAAATTCATTATCGGAGTAAAAAGTAGTAAATTCTTGCCGTACGGGAACATACCAATGTATTTATATGAATGGTACCGAAATACGTCAACGTACGAATTTTAAAAGTTGAACAAATTCAACTATGACAGAACGTGTTTTTTTTATGTTGAAAATAGAAATAAAATATAGACAATATAATTTTTTTCAAAGAGAATATGAAATATTTAAACAAATTTTATAATTTCCAATTTTTTTCGCGATTTTGTTTGGTTCGAGAAATGGATTGGACGTATTTGGGTAATACGGCCGTACAAAAAGTTTTGCCATAGTGGGGATGTTGAATATTTTTGTACGCCTCGTTGAATTTTAGGTAACGTTATTAGAAGTATTATCCAAAACCGAACAATATAAATTTGCTTAGAAGCAGGTACATTTTTCAGAAACGCAAATTCCAACAATATTAAAACCACTGACTGTGGTGGTCTTTGAAGCATGGGCAACTGATATTTACATTCATATACCATCCCACGTAAGTATTAAGATGGATTATGTGATTTATTTTCAAAGAGATTTGCGACACAACAAAATGTTCAAAAGCAGGAAAAAGTCTACAATGTTACAAAAATTATTAATATAATCGCTTTAACTAAGTCCTGATTTAGATTAGGAGAGTTCACTTGCGGCAATTGTTATCGTTCTCTTTTGAACTTGCTTAGTCCTGATATATATTAGGCGAGTTTACTTGCTGCAATTTTTATCGTTCTCTTTTGAACTTGCTTCATTCGTCTATACAAGGCAATTCGATTTCAAAAATATATTTTTTACAATGTTCTGGATTGGTATTTCAAATTACTGACATTACAAACAAAATTCACAAAACGAATTGCCAGCAAATTACCGGTACGAGCAATTTTTTCAATTTCTATTCCCCTTGCCCCTCTCTCCCGCAAACAAAGACTTGCCGCAAGTAAACTCGCCTAATCTTCCAGCAAAGACTTGCCGCAAGTAAACTCGACTAATCTAAATTGGGACTAACAAAAGAAAAACATGTTACCACGAATTTTAAAATAAAAAAATAGATTTCAACTCAAATTTTTATTGGAATTTGATATTTATATTTTTTTCATTTCTCAAAATAGGTGTTTTCGGGTTTCTCTTTATGTCATGTCTGACGGACAATTGAACAACGCCAATTGTCATCCCACATTTGTTTCTTGAATAAACAAGATCAACTCTATTATCTGTTGATTTGATTTTAGTGGGTAAAAGTCAAAAATTAAAAATTAATGGGGTCAAGGTTTACTTTGAGCCAAAACTTATAAATGGAACCACAGTTTTTCCTTTGAAAAACCTCGAAATATTCGTCGAAATATATATTATATTCATGATCAGAATAAAAATCTAAGCACATTTTCCAGGGAATATAAGTCAAGGTATTTCAACTTTTCAGAGGAAAAATACATCTTGGAGGAAAATGTCGACATAGGGCATTGATGTTATAAAGCCGACATATATACGCACCTATTTTTGTATAAGTGTCTGTTTTTTGGTATTTTATTTACTTAGAGGATAAAATTCTTTCGGGAAAACAATTTACAACGCCATACAGCTTGATCGGTATTATGATTGACATTTCAACTACAGATATATGATTGATATATATATACATATATATATAAGTATCACGCAACTATTTTTGTGTAAGTGTCTGTTTTTTGGTATTTTATTTACTTAGAGGATAAATTTTTTTCGGGAAAACAATTTACAACGCCATAGACCTTGAACTTTATTATGATTGACATTTCAACTACAAATACATATATGAACTTTTTGAGGAAGATCCGACAAAAATCCATAGGTTTGCAAAAAAATCTGTCCTTATAAAACCATATATTAAATTTTATACCTCTATCTTCGGCATTCACAATTGACCATAGATCTCCGAGTGAAACAACCACGGAATAATACATATAACTTTTCCTAGCCTAATTTTTTTTTTTTTTTTTTTGTCAAAAGATAAAGGTTACCTATTGAACTTCTAAAGAGATCTATTGTATAAAAATGGTATGTTGAATTGTCTTGACAAGAGAGAAGTCCATTTAAATAAATTGCATTGATTAAAGTATAATGGCATTCCAAAGATGAATGGCTATTGATAATAGATATTTTACAAAAAGACAAAAGCTGTTTAATGTTATATCATATAGATCTATATTATAACGAAACAAATAAAATTCTGTTGTACTATTGTGTATTTATTTTAATGCAAATTCACAAATGCAATATAATAAACGTTGGCTTTACTTTTTATATGTATATACATTACAAATAGAATTTATGGAATAATTTGTATATTGATAAAAACATGTTGTCATTATAGTAATAAGGCTTGGCATTTTAACATTAACATTTTTACTATAAAATCCATAATAATACGGAAGCTAAACAAAAACTGATATGACCTTCATTTGACTTATTTTCTTCATATTTTTATAGTTATGAACCCTTGGCCAATTGCATATCAGTTGAGGGTGTATTAACAAATTTACGAACCACATCAAATTTAGGATGATTTTTATCACGCATCAAATCGAAAATGACACTTTCACTTGTTGTTACAATGCAACCAGCATTGCGTAAACGATCTATGGCCAAATCGCGATCCTGATTAAGGCGAGAAATTAAGCAATCGGCAACAAGGAAGACATTGATTTTCTTTTCCAATAAATCAATGGCGGTTTGTTCAACACAAATGTGTGACTAAGTAGAATTGGGAAATAAGATAGATTAATTTAAAAGTATTCACAAATATGGATATTAAAAAAAACTCACCTCCAATCCATAGAGTACAACATCCTCGGGCTTGTCGCCAAAAATTTCCTTTACTTTGGCCTCCAATTCCGGCACAATCATACTAAAACGAGTTTTGGGAATAATTGCTTTTGCATGATTTACATCAATATCGGAAACAATTTTGCCCAGACGTTCTGGGTAGTGTTCGGTACATATTAAGGGTATATTCAATTCTTTGCCGGCTTTTGTCTAATAAAAAAATAAATAGAATAATTAGTTAATTTGTGTATATACTATGCCAATTCAAGGTCATACAGAAATTTACCAATTTTGCAGCATTTATGACGGCATTGGAAAATAATGGCATACCAGGACGAAACTTTTCTTGTATATCGCACAACAAGAAAAGAGTTTTCTTCGGATTCATATGACGTAGCCGTGATGCCATTGCGTATTTCAATTACAGCCAAATAACGCTACTGCTGTTCGGAAACAAAAATAAATTTATGATCAATTGAATAATAATATTGCATAAATGCGAATATAGATATGAAATACTGTTTATATATATGTACGTATGTTTCTGGAATCTTGGCACTTGTATTAAAAATTAATAATTATTATAATTATTTACCAAATATATGTTTGCAGATGTTGGATTGATTTTACACTAAACAAGTATAAAAAATATCGTATGATTTGACTTTGTTGCTTATTAATTATTAGTGACACTGCATTACCTCTAAATGAAACAGCTGATCAAATATAAACATAGGAAATATATACATATGTATGTTAAAATTTGAACTATTCTCATAATAATGAACGTAAAATAAATTGTAATTAAATTTATGTAAACATTTGGTGAAAAAGTATTATTATTGCGTTTATTAGTATTGCAAACATATACACAAAATCCCCCCTCTGTGAATTTAATTCAATTTGAACTGCATTATCGACCATGTAGTCATTTGACATCATAAACGTCATTTGGCTGTCAGTTGTAGTTCGCCTAGCCAAATAAAAACTATTCCATATTCACGTTTCGTTCAATCGGGGCATTAAATTCCAAAAAGAAAATGGTCGGTTGGAGTAGTTTTGTGCGTCCAGCGGCTCAATTCGCTAAATATCGCAGCGTTTTGCAATCACCAGTGGTACAAAATGGTAAGTTGGGGCAGTTATTTCCAGTAATCAATGTTTGTAATGGAAATGGACAAGCGGCACCATTACGCAACTTTGATTGGAAGAGAAAACGAAAATCAAAACATTTCTAATAATATTGTGATTGTTTCAGCTGTCCAAATGCAATTGCGTCAAATGAGCGGTGGTCATCATCATCTGATTGTCCAACCTTCCCGTTTCCAGTGGAACAAATTCAAGGATCTATTGCACTTTTATGTTATGTTGGGTGTTTTGCCCATCACGGGTATTGTCTTGTACACCAACATTTTCGTTGGTCCCGCTCAATTGCAAGAAATCCCCGAAGGCTATGAACCAAAACATTGGGAATATCACAAAGTAAGTACAAGAATAGTAGGACATTAACCAGGGACCGAAAATAACAGTTATTTTTTAAAATGCGAACAAAAAAATCTTCATGTTAGAGACATGGGACATTAATAGTGTGATATACCAATAGATTCGTACTGAGGAGCCCATTGAGGATATTGAGTGATCTTGAGAAAACACTCTCAGTTCCCATGTTAAGGATTATTTTTTAACGGAAAAAATAAACGTTGATTTTTAACTGTTAAAAATGATTTTTATTTTTTCCGTCAAAAATAAAAGTCTTTTTGCGATTTTTATTTTTTCGTCAAAAATAAAAGTCTTTTTGGGACTTTTATTTTTTCCGTCAAAAATAACAGTCTTTTTGGGACTTTTATTTTTTCCGTCAAAAATAAAAGTCTTTTTGGGATTTTTATTTTTTCCGTCAGAAAATAAAAGTCCTTTTGGGATTTTTATTTTTTCCGTCAGGAAATAAAACTCTTTTTATGTAAAGAAGTTTATACAACTTGTAATCAGTTATAAAATTACAATTTATAAATCTCTGTCCTTATTACAATAAGTGTACACATAAGTAATCAAGATCAAAGGTAAAAAATATTTGTTATAAATTTTTAAAAAATAGTCTAGTGTACCAAATCATGAATATAAATTAAAGAATCATTCCCCTGACTATTAGGTCAAAGGTTATATAACTGGTACCAAACTCTATATGTTTATTTACGTAAAAAGACTTTTATTTTCTGACGAAAAAAATAAAAATCACAAAAAGACTTTTATTTTTGACGGAAAAAATAAAAGTCCCAAAAAGACTTTTATTTTCGACGGAAAAAATAAAAGTCCCAAAAAGACTGTTATTTTTGACGGAAAAAATAAAAGTCCCAAAAAGACTATTATTTTTGACGGTAAAAATAAAAATCCCAAAAAGACTTTTATTTTTGACGGAAAAAATAAAAATCATTTTTAACAGTTAAAAATCAACGTTTATTTTTTCCGTTAAAAAATAATTAATTAAAGTGGATTTTTTTTATTTAGGTCACATAATAACAGTTATTTTTTACCTGATTTGATATAAGTTATAACCGTTACGGTCCCTGACATTAACATTTGAGGTATAACAGTTATAGTTTTGTTATTGTTTTTTGGAAACAGGTGTTTATTAACATATTAACATGCTTGAGATGGCTTGAAGTAAATAATTCTAAAAACTCTCCTGTCTTTGTAGTTGGAAAGACTATGGAAAAATATTTTATAATCTGATGGAATCCGATTTTATAATCCGAATGTAGGATTCGGTCCGTGTAGGCCTGTCGGCTGGCCTACCATCTACAGAAATATTAAATATTAGATAGGTATAAATAATATTTGTACTTGTGATCTCGTATCATAGATATTGGCAGATTTGTATTCTGCTAGTATTGAAAAATATTTGTTACTATCGTTTATAACAAGTCTAATAAGTATCCAAAGTTGTAGCTTATCTGTCAACTCTTTCTGTTTCTGGCACACACCTCAACAAGAACGAAAATTTAAAAATCTCCGATGAAATTGATTGAGAATATGAATAGACTCCTAGTTAGGCTTCACGGTTCAACCTTTCTGTGTTAACATTCTGAAAACTTATTAATGAAGTGGTTGGAGTATCAAATTTGATCCAAAGCGTTTAAAGTTTTTTCTGGGGTATATAGGATACATAATTGACCCACTTTTACATAGAACTGCCTATACATAACCCATTTTAATTCACTTAGAAAAGTAAGTTGAGTGTTTTCTAAGAATTTTAAGATTTTATTTTTAAATATATGTCAGATTTTATTGACGGTTTAGGCACAGATTTTGCTGAAATGCCAATCAATGTATATTATAAAGATTATATCAAGCTTAATTGGACCGGGACCTATAAATGGGTTTAGTCATTGCAGAAAATTGATTATATTGATTATGGATCAAAGCCAAAATAACGCTTCCTAAATATATTTTTGGAATAATGTTTTTTTTATTATTAATTTAAATTATTTTTTTATAATTTTACACGTATCTCCTTTCAGCATCCAATTTCCCGTTTCATCTCTCGTTACTTCTTGACCAATCCACAACAAGAATATGAAAAATCCTTACATTACCTCTATGAGGAAGATGAAAAGGCTAAAATCAGGTAAATACTTACATTTCTGACTATAGAATATAAATTAAATTTGTTTTTTCCCTATTGCAGAGAATTGGAAGAGAAGATTCGTGCTAAAATGTCGGAACGTAACGATTATCAAGCATATTACTACAGACCAGCTATCGCTAAGTACCACAGAATTTCCAAGGAATCTGCTGATGCATTGGCTGAAATTCGTGGTGAAAATTAAAGCTACCAATGCCATTAGATTGATGTTGTGTTAAGAACAACAACAACAAAAACAATTCAGAATAAATGTTGATATCTTAATTAGTTAAATAACAAAATGCGATAAATATTTTATTTGAAAAATAAAAAAAATATATCTACTGGAAAAGTGATTTGTAAAACAAACTATTTTCAATTAATCAGAATATGAATATAACAAGGGAAAGAAATCGATATTCATTTTTAAATCTTTATTATGTTTGTATGCCTTCATCACATAAACTTATCTTAAATAAATAAAAATTATATAGGTATGTATATATAAAAATATGACTTTCTAGTCAACATGACTACTGTCTGAGTCAATGATACTCAAACGAACGCCGAATTGCAAATATAAATCCAGTAATTAACCCCAAGCCTGATTTTTACAGTAGTATAAAACTAGTTTGCCATTTGTGCCGTGACAGTCATATAGATTTTTTATTATTTGATCTGGCGCGGGAGCAAATGTTTGATTAACATAAAGAAACTGCAAGGAAATAAACGACAAAATAAGATATTTATTATTGATTTTTTATTTATATTTTTAAGTTAACTTACGATTTGTTCCGAAGGATCTAGTTTTAGATATTTATGTATAAACTTCTGAATCCAACTAACAGTTTTGTATGGATCCACTGTCCATGAACGTTTCTTAATGATTGGTACATTACCAGTGGCGTTTAGTAAAATGCAAACTGCAATTAAATATTGTAAATAAATATTGTTTAAAATTGAAAAGAAAAAAATGAAACGTCAGTGTTGGAAAACAACTATAGGGGGAAAATATCTATTGGACATTGCATGATATATAATAGGGGGACCCGATTTTATTGACAACATGAAGGAGTTAGTCGGTGCGGCCGTCATATATATACACGACAGTGAGGTCTACGGAACGAGTCTCAGTCGGCTAACGACTGTCACCTAAGCCCATTGTGTGAAAATTGGGGAAATGCATTAAGGTGCGAAAAGTTTACACCAACAGTATGTTTTTCAAATTGTTGATCATTTGTGCTAGAAGAGTGAATCGATAGGACTATTTATCCACATTTTACAACAGCATGGGATGTAATTTAGCTTTAGCAATTGAGAAATATTTTTGTCGGCAAAGGTCAAGTACAGCTTTTCGTTTCAGCTTTTATTTTCAGTATTTGGAAGATTCTGGATACGTTATTTAACCTAATCGAGTGCAATTTGATATTTTTTAGAAAAGCATATAAAAAAATGTTGAATATAGCACAACTTTGGCTATTGACACACTTATGTTAAGTCATATATTTCTACTACGATATCAATGTATTTTGTTATTCCAAAATATTGCAGATCGTCTCACAAAATGAATTACTCATGACAGTTCGGCGACCTCCCATCCCTTTCATTCTTTATGGTGGTGCATCCACTTCAAGGCTCTAGTTTTGTTATCATTTTTAAGGTGTTTTGTGTTAAATTTTGTAAGGGGTTTACTTCATGGATCTTTACGATAAATTGGAGTTTTACTATTAGATGGAACTAAAAACGGGAGAGTGACTAAAATCCTTTGCAAGATTAGAAACACCAATTTGTTTTTGATTTCAAAAAGTTTGATTGTTAAAAAGTTAGGGTAGTTTTTGTATCGATGAGTCCCCAGTATTTGCGTATATTTCCATTATTTCGTGGGGATTGCTTAATTGTTAATTTTTATTAATTAATTTATATTTACTTTTATTATCCTTATCCGTGGAAGGAGGTGCTGCTGTTTCCGTTTCATTGTCTGCCATTATTCCTTTTTAGGTAATTTTTTTTATTTATTGACTCTATTTATCAAGAAGTATATAGCAAAGTCCGTATATAGGCGCTCAATTGCAAGAAATCCCCGAAGGCTATGAACCAAAACATTGGGAATATCACAAAGTAACTACAAGAATAGTAGGACATTAACATTTGAGGTATAACAGTTATAGTTTTGTTATTGTTTTTTGGAAACAGGTGTTTATTAACATATTAACATGCTTGAGATGGCTTGAAGTAAATAATTCTAAAAACTCTCCTGTCTTTGTAGTTGGAAAGACTATGGAAAAATATTTTATAATCTGATGGAATCCGATTTTATAATCCGAATGTAGGATTCGGTCCATGTAGGCCTGTCTGCTGGCCTACCATCTACAGAAATATTAAATATTAGATAGGTATAAATAATATTTGTACTTGTGATCTCGTATCATAGATATTGGCAGATTTGTATTCTGCTAGTATTGAAAAATATTTGTTACTATCGTTTATAACAAGTCTAATAAGTATCCAAAGTTGTAGCTTATCTGTCAACTCTTTCTGTTTCTGGCACACACCTCAACAAGAACGAAAATTTAAAAATCTCCGATGAAATTGATTGAGAATATGAATAGACTCCTAGTTAGGCTTCACGGTTCAACCTTTCTGTGTTAACATTCTGAAAACTTATTAATGAAGTGATTGGAGTATCAAATTTGATCCAAAGCGTTTAAAGTTTTTTCTGGAGTATATAGGATACATAATTGACCCACTTTTACATAGAACTGCCTATACATAACCCATTTTAATTCACTTAGAAAAGTAAGTTGAGTGTTTTCTAAGAATTTTAAGATTTTTTTTTTAAATATATGTCAGATTTTATTGACGGTTTAGGCACAGATTTTGCTGAAATGCCAATCAATGTATATTATAAAGATTATATCAAGCTTAATTGGACCGGGACCTATAAATGGGTTTAGTCATTGCAGAAAATTGATTATATTGATTATGGATCAAAGCCAAAATAACGCTTCCTAAATATATTTTTGGAATAATGTTTTTTTATTATTAATTTAAATTATTTTTTTATAATTTTACACGTATCTCCTTTCAGCATCCAATTTCCCGTTTCATCTCTCGTTACTTCTTGACCAATCCACAACAAGAATATGAAAAATCCTTACATTACCTCTATGAGGAAGATGAAAAGGCTAAAATCAGGTAAATACTTACATTTCTGACTATAGAATATAAATTAAATTTGTTTTTTCCCTATTGCAGAGAATTGGAAGAGAAGATTCGTGCTAAAATGTCGGAACGTAACGATTATCAAGCATATTACTACAGACCAGCTATCGCTAAGTACCACAGAATTTCCAAGGAATCTGCTGATGCATTGGCTGAAATTCGTGGTGAAAATTAAAGCTACCAATGCCATTAGATTGATGTTGTGTTAAGAACAACAACAACAAACACAATTCAGAATAAATGTTGATATCTTAATTAGTTAAATAACAAAATGCGATAAATATTTTATTTGAAAAATAAAAAAGATCTACTGGAAAAGTGATTTGTAAAACAAAGTATTTTCAATTAATCAGAATATGAATATAACAAGGGAAAGAAATCGATATTCATTTTCAAATCTTTATTATGTTTGTATGCCTTCAATCACATAAAATTATCTTAAATAAATAAAAATTATATAGGTATGTATATATAAAAAATATGACTTTCTAGTCAACATGACTACTGTCTGAGTCAATGATACTCAAACGAATGCCGAATTGCAAATATAAATCCAGTAATTAACCCCAAGCCTGATTTTTGCAGTAGTATAAAACTAGTTTGCCATTTGTGCCGTGACAGTCATATAGATTTTTTATTATTTGATCTGGCGCGGGAGCAAATGTTTGATTAACATAAAGAAACTGCAAGGAAATAAACGACAAAATAAGATATTTATTATTGATTTTTTATTTATATTTTTAAGTTAACTTACGATTTGTTCCGAAGGATCTAGTTTTAGATATTTATGTATAAACTTCTGAATCCAACTAACAGTTTTGTATGGATCCACTGTCCATGAACGTTTCTTAATGATTGGTACATTACCAGTGGCGTTTAGTAAAATGCAAACTGCAATTAAATATTGTAAATAAATATTGTTTAAAATTGAAAAGAAAAAAATGAAACGTCAGTGTTGGAAAACAACTATAGGGGGAAAATATCTATTGGACATTGCATGATATATAATAGGGGGACCCGATTTTATTGACAACATGAAGGAGTTAGTCGGTGCGGCCGTCATATATATACACGACAGTGAGGTCTGCGGAACGAGTCTCAGTCGGCTAACGACTGTCACCTAGGCCCATTGTGTGAAAATTGGGGAAATGCATTAAGGTGCGAAAAGTTTAGACCAACAGTATGTTTTTCAAATTGTTGATCATTTGTGCTAGAAGGAGTGAATCGATAGGACTATTTATGCACATTTTACAACAGCATGGGATGTAATTTAGCTTTAGCAGTTGAGAAATATTTTTGTCGGCAAAGGTCAAGTACAGCTTTTCGTTTCAGCTTTTATTTTCAGTATTTGGAAGATTCTGGATACGTTGTTTAACCTAATCGAGTGCAATTTGATATTTTTTAGAAAAACATATAAAAAAAATGTTGAATATAGCACAACTTTGGCTATAGACACACTTATGTTAAGTCATATATTTCTACTACGATATCAATGTATTTTGTTATTCCAAAATATTTCAGATCGTCTCACAAAATGAATTACTCATGACAGTTCGGGGACCTCCCATCCCTTTTCATTCTTTATGGTGGTGCATCCACTTCAAGGCTCCAGTTTTGTTATCATTTTTAAGGTGTTTTGTGTTAAATTTTGTAAGGGGTTTACTTCATGGATCTTTACGATAAATTGGAGTTTTACTATTAGATGGAACTAAAAACGGGAGAGTGACTAAAATCCTTTGCAAGATTAGAAACACCAATTTGTTTTTGATTTCAAAAAGTTTGATTGTTAAAAATTTAGGGTAGTTTTTGTATCGATGAGTCCTTAGAATTTGCGTATATTTCCACTAGTTCGTGGGAACTGCTTAATTGCTAATTTTTATTAATTAATTTATATTTACTTTTATTATCCTTATCCGTGGAAGGAGGTGCTGCTGTTTCCGTTTCATTGTCTGCCATTATTCCTTTTTTTAGGTAATTTTTTTTTATTTATTGACTCTATTTATCAAGAAGTATATAGCAAAGTCCGTATATAGGCGCTGACGTTTACGTCGACTGAAGCAAACCCCAAAGAAATAACATTTGAAACAGCTGTATTTTGTTTACACAAGTGCCGATAATGCCGTTGGCATATAAGGAGTAGCCATATCTAAGATTAGGCAGTTATTTTAGTTGTATATGTTAAACAGTGTTTATAAGAGACGGGACATTTGAATAGGCGTCCAAACAATTGAAAATATGTATGTCAAATAAAGTCCACTGAATGTAGGTGACGTACTCGCTATGGAATTGACATTTTAAATCGCAAATTGTACAGTACTCGTTCATATCAAAACAATCAAATTAAAAAGCAAGCCGAACAGATGTATCATTTGTTGGCCATCTGTTTGGTTTTGCATCCACAATGCATTGATGAATCCATTCAGCAGGTGTTGCGTGAAAAGATCTACCACGATGCCAAAAAATGCAATGCGGTGACTTGGATGTGTTTAAATCGTTTTTTCTTTTCGCCTGCCCACGTTTTGTTAGTATGGGCTGCTGCATTTGCTCCCGTTGAAGATTACTTCAAGCATCCCATGGAATATCAATTAATGGTATTCATGGATGAAGTGAGACAACTAGCTGATCTGCTAACCATATTTGAAATTGATCCCCAAGAAAGTGAAGACGATGTATCGAAATTGTTTTTCAAACATAAATGCGTAACTTAAATTGAGTGTATTTCGTATTCATGGATGTGACTTTGTTCAGAACCTGCAAGAATATTTTATAAAAAATCGCAGAACTGTGTTTGTGATGTTTTGAAATATATAAAAAAATATTGGTCTGTTCCCCTTCTCCAATATACACAATTCTCACACATTTTTTATGTTTTTAGTAAAAAGTTAAAAATATGTCAAATGAAAAAAAAACGACTTGTTAGAAAAAGGCGTATTATTTATTTCTTGACAAAGATACCATACATTATATAAGGTCTGTTCCTGTACTACAAGAATCTAGGAATTTTTTACAATGCCCCAAACCATTGTGGAAGGCATAAAAACTGTTCGATGTAAACATATCTAAAAACACAATATTTATCGATAGCCCTCCATAATAATCGATATTAAATACAAAACTTTCCATCGATTGTTTGCCAGCCCTAAGATGTCATCAAATTTTGCTTTGCTCCCTTCTTTTGTGATTTCTGCCAGAAATCATTGTTGGCGTGTTACTGTCATTTTGCGTGGAATTTCTGTAATTTTGCATTAGAAAATATTTGATAACATCAAAATGTATACGGGAGAGGATTATGGCAATGTGGTAAGTTCCAATTTGGTGAAGATTTGTGATTTGGAGACGAAGAACAACGAAATATTTACAGTTGCAAAAATGTATTTTTGCCGTAAACATAACCTAACATTTGACACTAATGTTGTGTGCATTTTCTTTTCTGCTTTCTGTGTGTGTATATTTTAGGAATACTACGATGAGTACGCCCATACTGGTGATCCACAATTGGATATGGCCTATGAACGCAATAGCTACTATCGCATGCCGGACAATGTGAAATATTTCCTGCTGAACTTTTGTCAGGCCATTAAAGATGGTAACATGTTCGACATTCAGAATATGTACGAGAACACCTTCCCACAAATCAGCGATCATCATTTCGATAAATCAGCTTGGCCCGATGAGGAACAAGTTGCCACTTTGGTAGACAATGACAACATGTTCTTGATTTTGTACAAGGAGTTGTACTATCGTCACATCCATGCTCGCATTCCAGGCGGACCAACATTGGAGCAACGCATCAATTCGTTCTTCAACTATTGTGATTTCTTCAATTTGATTATTTCTTCGCAAAGTCCGGTTTTATTGGAATTGCCCGACATTTGGTTGTGGGAATTGGTTGATGAGTTCGTTTATCAATTCCAAAATTTCGCTCAATACAGGTGAGTGTTGTTGTGTTATGTGCTATGATAAGTAGACCTAAATGAATATTGCGTTAGAAACCGAAATTTCCACACAACAAAAATTTAAATCGCAAACAAAACCAGAGAAGGCATGCATTCTAGACTTGTACCTATTTTTAGGACTATTATGATATATGTGTCGATTCCTAGCATTATTTCAATGACTATCAGAGAGGAATCTTTTAAGTAAATAGTTTTTAAATAACTATCAAATACGAGGATTTTTAAAATGCGCAAATTTGAAAAATTACTTTTTCAATATAGTTAAAATATTCTAGCATACTATAAAACTTTATCATATTATAAACATCTATTCATTTCCAGAGCTCGTCTTACCGACAAAACCCAGGAGGAAATCCATGAATTGTGCGTTAACCACAGCAACGTTTGGAGTATTTTGTGCATCCTCAATGTCCTACACTCCTTGGTAGATATCTCCAATATTAAGAAGCAATTGGAAGCCATCTCTCAGGGCAATGATCCCCAGGCTGTCGCCGGTGAATTTGGCGAATTGTCCTTCTACAAAATGTTGGGCTATTTCTCATTGGTTGGTTTGTTGCGTGTCCATTCGCTTTTGGGTGACTACTATCAAGCCATCAAGGTCTTGGAGCCAATTGAAATTCACAAGAAATCCCAATATTCCCACATCCCTGCATGCCAGATATCCACATCCTACTACGTTGGTTTCGCCTACATGATGATGCGTCGTTATGCCGATGCTATTCGCACATTCTCCGACATTCTATTGTACATCCAACGTACCAAGCAATTGTACAGTACACGTTCATACCAGAACGATCAAATTAACAAGCAAGCCGAACAGATGTATCATTTGTTGGCTATCTGTTTGGTTTTGCATCCACAATGCATCGATGAATCCATTCAGCAGGTGTTGCGTGAAAAGAACTACCACGATGCCATGTTCAAAATGCAATGCGGTGACTTGGATGTGTTTAAATCGTTCTTCCTTTTCGCCTGTCCACGTTTCGTTAGCCCATGCCCACCTGCTGCTGATGCTCCCGTTGAAGATTATGTCAAGGATCCCATGGAACATCAATTAATGGTATTCATGGATGAAGTGAGGCAACAAGCTGATCTGCCAACCACACGCTCATATTTGAAATTGTACACCACCTTGCCATTGGCTAAATTGGCTTCGTTCATTGATCCCCAAGCCAGTGAAGATGATGTATCGAAATTGTTGATTCGTCTTTTGTGTTTCAAGCATAAAATGCGCAACTTGGTATGGTCGAAGGGTTCCAGTGGTTTGGAAGGCACATTTAAATCTGGTTCAGAGGTAATACAAATAATATATTTTTATTATTGTAATATATGATTAATGTGTGTCTTTGTTGTTTCAGTTGGATTTCTACATTGATGACGACATGATTCACATTGCCGACACTAAAGTTTCCCATCGTTATGGTGATTTCTTTGTGCGAAAAATCCTCAAATTCAATGAATTGAATCGCAAATTGAAAATGATTAATATTTAAATTTATACTTTATATATTGATACACATAAAGAACGCAACCCATTATTTTTATTAGCATTATAGTGTGTAAACGATGACTTTTTCATGGATTTTCCATCAAGTATACAAGTAATAAAAAACGAGGGCATTTCAATATGCCGAGAAAAGGTCACCAATAAATTTAGTTTGTTTTCTATGTTATTGTTATAAAGAACAATATAAGTATATAGTTTTTAAAGCCGAACTGAATGGTAAGCTGAAGAAGTTATAAACGAGCTAAATGAAGTCTTTATCGTCAAGCTGAAGAAGGGAGTCGTTATAGATGGATGTCGTTGTAGACGAGCTGAAGGATGTTTGATGTAGACGAGTCTTTATAGTCGAATTGAAAGGCATTTCTATGGACGATGTACGGGATTTATAGCCGAACTGAATGGATTCTTTATAAACGACCTGAAGGGATTCTTTTTAGACGAGTTAAAGGTAGTCTTTTTAGAGCTGAGGGGAGTTTTTTTTACAGTGTATAAATGTAGACATGAATGAGAAAGTACCATTACCATTTTTGACAACGATGGTACTTCAAAATTACGAATAAAATGATTAAAGCAATTAGTTGTTGTAAAATATTTAAATTTCAATTTATTTTCATAAATAGGAACCTAGCCACAGGGTCAAGATCGGTACACGAAAATCTTAAACATAACAATTTATCTTAACATAGAATCTTAAAAAACCCTAAATAAATAATTTTCGTACCGTAATTTAAAGGTCCTCTGTTTTCTGTCGCCGTCAAAATTTTATTAAACTTAGAAATTGATTTCATACATGGAAAAGTTATTTTTTATGCCAATAGCGTTGTTTCTGTCAAACATTTCACTTCGTACTTTACAAAAAATTGCGAGAAGAAAATAAATTGTTCTGTGTAAATGTCATTTAAAAGTTCTCTGTGTGCTGCCGCCGTCAAAATATTATTTACTGCTACTCTGTTTTACTACATGGCACATAAATCATATGGTTTTTGTTTGCTATGCTTGTTTTTGTTTTTTATGTGGCAGTGAAGCCAACTTTACAAGCTATAATTTTATTTCACGTTTTTTTTTATAGAAAAAGGCATGTAATGAAGGTTTTTTAAATGTATTATTAATTTTTAATTTATTTCTTCGTTAGAAAAAAATGTTTGTCTCCTTTTTTGCATTTGTTCATAAAGTTTTTTTTTTACATTTTTGTTGAAATCTTGTTTTCGAATGACCACATTTTAATTGAGATTTTCAATTTATAGTTAGTTGACAGCACTTCCAGTATAATAGACAATAACGCAAACACCTTCATATCCCACCAAAACATAATCAAATTACCAAGTTCAGGACAAAATACTTTAGGACAAAGACAAGACGTTGGAATGCGAAAGACATGAATTCTTTACGTGATAGCCTGGCCAGCATTCCGGGTGCAATGCAAAATTTGGCAACGGCCGCATCAAGCTACTACACACTTGGCATAGCAGCTAGAAATAGTCAAGGTCAAAACGATTCTTTGTCTGGCGTTGAAGATCGTGTCAGTGCGTCCTCTACTCCAACAACGGAGTCCTTGCATAGCTTTAATGAAATTGATTCGGGATCTGGTGCCATATTAGTAAGTGAAAAATCCTTACCCATACCAGCATCTTTGGTCAAGGAGCAATGGCGTTTGATATTTAACTCAGAGGCCAGTGTCCAAGATTTGCAGGAAGCCATTAACCATTGTAAAGATTTGGTATTGCTTTCTGAGGAGAATAGCGAAGAACGTAGATGGCTGGTTAGACATTTAGTGGATTTGAGGTACTCCTTGGAAGAACTACAGGAGGCTCAAAGTGATAAACTGGAGGTGGGACCATCTGTAAAAACAGTAGTGGGTCATCATTTTATCGCACGTCAACGAGGCATTGGTAAAAGTTTGCCATTACCCACCCAGCGAAATTATTGTGATTATTGTACTGGCATTATTTGGAGTGTTGTCCAGGCGTCCTATGTTTGTACGGATTGTCGTTATATGGCCCACCAAAAGTGTGTGGACAAAGTAACAAGAGTGTGTGCCCACGTAATAGCTTCCGAACGTCAATATCCCATATTGGAAATTTGTCCCGAAATTGGTCTTGCTGCCCAGCAATACAAATGTATGGAGTGTCAAACGTTGCTTAATTGTAGTAAGTATTCAGTATGGATAGACAGTTGCATGTGTACTACTAGTGGTTGTGGTAATTTGTTTTTTGTTTCTTTTATGTTCCTTTACGTGTCGTCAATGATATAAGCTTTGCATACAAGCATACAATGTTTTGGAAGAAAATCCAAATCTGCTGGTATTTAGAATCGAATATTTCTCCAAGTAAATAACTACTCTATTTCATATTACAGAAAACTCCTGGATTGAACCGAGATTATGTGATTATACTGGCCTGTATTTTTGTCCATCGTGCCATTGGAATGATCAGAGTATTATTCCAGCTCGTGTTGTACACAATTGGGATTTTTTGCCACGTAAAGTTTCGCGTTCGGCCCTGCAAGAAATCCAGCTATTTCTGGATAAGCCATTAATTCGCCTAGAAGAAGCCAATCCAAAATTATTTGTCTTCCTTGAGAAATTGGCCTCGCTAAAGAAACTACGTCAAAATCTTGTGTACATGCGTAAATATTTGTCTGAATGCCGACAGGCAATGGATGATAAGATATTGGATACTCAAATTGGTAATTTCAAAGCATTTATTTCGCACATGTTACCAAATTAATATTGTATTCCTTTTATTTCCGTAGGACATCGCCGCTATCTAATACAATCGAATGAATTGTATTCCGTTAATGATTTGGAACAAACTGAAAATGGCATATTAGTCGATTATCTACACAAAGTCTTCAACTGTTTCGATAAGCATATCAGAAGCTGTTCCATGTGTATGGCCAAGGCATATATCTGTGAAATCTGTAGCAATGATGAGGTCATTTTTCCCTTTGACGATGGCTGTATTATATGTGACATTTGCAATTCTATTTATCATCGTGTGTGTATGACTCGTAAAAATATGATTTGCCCAAAATGTGTTCGTGTTCAAGAAAGACGATTACAAAGGGAAAAGAGTATGGAAAATAATCCAAGTAAAACGGGAGTGGACGATATATAATTTGTATAGAGAATATACGATATGTTTTTATATATAATACATGTCCTTTATGGTAAATTAAGGTTATTGTTTTTTATAGTGTATGTTTGTAAGCTTTAACGTGTAATAATAATTTTTACTTTTAAACTAATAATAATAAAATAATGTATATATTTTATCCGTTAAGTTGTTTATCTTCACTACTTAACAACTCCATGCCACAAGTCTTCCAACTATACAAAAGGAACGTGAGATGATGTGGTTGCAGAAAAGCTGAGGCAGGTCTCCTGTCCTTATTCTGCGGCATATACTCTGTCTATAAAAACAGCATCAAAACTGCTGCATAATAAATAACTGTAATAGGTCATCTGTCTATAGAACAGCAGAAGGTCTTCTGTCTATAGATCAACGATATCAGGTAGTTTACGAATAGAAGAGTTGTAGCATGTTGTCTGCCTATAAAAGAACATCATCAGATCACATGTCAGATGCCTATAGGTGATATGTAGCAGGTCTTCAATAGATTTCCAATTGTTCTTTGAAGATGTAAACATAGGTCTTGTGTCTATAGCAGATTCAGCAAGTTTCAGGTCTATGGAAGACCTTTAGTAGCCTTCTAACTTCTATATAAAAGCATTCTCAGAACTTACGTAGAAGAGCTGTAAACAGGAAAAGAAGAGACTGGTGTTCGGTCTAAAGCAATGCAACAGAGAGTCTTTAGTCTATAGTGAAATTGGGGCCGAGAGACACGAATTGAACTTTTTGCATCATTGATATACAACAGATTTCAATCGAATCCCATCTGAATGCCCATATCCCGAGATGTCGTGTTCATTAGAACTGGATCCAGCTAATTTGTTTGGTTTTTCCGATTACGAACAGTCAGTTATGCCACCGATTCAAGTGTAGCTTTTTTTCTTTTCAATTACATTTTCAATTGCAGAATATTTTAATATCGAATACGAATGCCACCTACATAAGAGGAAATTAGATAAGACGAAATTATTTTCGAGTGTGAAATTTAATACATCAAGGATATTGATATACAGCAGGAACAATTTTCTTACATTTTCGATTAACATTTATCCCATTCGAAGTTATTACAGTCACAAATCTTAATAGATTAAAAAATCCCCATTATTGTTTTAACGAAAATTCCTTTTGTCGAAATTCTTTATCCGTAACAGCGCTAATTCACAATAGCTAAAATTTCCGATTGAAGTCCTTTTGTAAAAAATAAAACAAAAAAATCCTTATTCATTTTTCCCATTTTGTTAAAGTGATGAAAACTCATCATGTTCTTAAACCTATCTCGAGATATTGTGATTGAGATAAAAAATCCATTCACAATAACTGTAGATTAAAGCAAAATATGGTGAATTTGTTTTTAAGATGAATATTATTTATTTTGTATATGAATAGCGCAAACATTGTCTATTGATTTGTGCTGAAGAACTTCACCCCGTTCTGAAATCATGGACTGTACAAACCATTATTACAATGTATGGCTAATGAGGGTATATACACTTCGCTATGGCAAAAATCTGCCTCATTGGACCAATTCCTTTCAGACTGTTTGGAGTCATTTTACTAATGTCCGTCCGGAGTTTAGCATTTGAGCGAACAAGACGGGTTTTTTAAGTAGCCCAGCGAAAATATAGTGAATTTTAAATGTGAACAAATACAACATTTGTTGTCTCGTTCTAGTACAAATTTTCAATTTTCTGACTCTGTCAGTCTTAAACAATTGTTGTTGGGGTGCTCCGGTATCTCAGCAATTAGTACACTAGTGCTCCTTTCTGGGTAGTGGACAGTGATCTTGTTGACGGTTGTGCATTTCATTTGGCTTTCGGTTTCGGTTCTTGTTTTGATTAGTCGTGGGATTCCTTGTCCAGGGGACTCCCTTTCCATACAAGGTATTTGTTGAGGCGCTTTCCAAGGTAAGTGGTTTATTTTATTTTGTGCATTTGGGTGTGATGCCACCTAAAGTGGTAAGAAGAAGGAAGGGTGGGGATCATCCCCCAAGTGATGTGGGGGATTCCGAGACGTCTGACGGTGACATGACCGCATGCAGCGGTTCCTCTGCGTCACTGATGCCTCCTCCGGCTGCTGGGCGGTTGAGGCATACTGAGAGTGAGGCGAGCTCGGATGGTGTAGAGTCCGACAGTGAGAAGGTGAAGTTGGGCTCTCCGACGAAGAAGTCGCCTGTGAAGAAGTCGTCGGCGAAGAAGGCGCCAGTGGTTGTGAGAAAGAAGGTGGTGGTTTCGGGCAATGTGCTGCTGAGGTCGAGTGAGTCGGCGGCTCCAGTTGAGGAGAGTGTAGAGCAACCTTCTGGCTGTGAGAGGCCTGAGGTGTCTGAGAGGGAGAGTCGCTCTCGTGTGATTTTTAATTTTGAGCGGTACAAAAGGTTCTTAGGAGCGGATCTGCTGGCATATAACAGGTAAAAATAAATATTGTCTCCGTGGCGGTTCCTACCTGTGTTAATGTTTTCCAACACAATTCACAATTTACCACTGAGAGGGAGAGAATTAAGAGAGTTACGGACTCTCTCTTAGATGTGGTGAGCGAGGCGAGTTGTTCTCCGGCGACGACACGTGAAATTATCTCCCTCTCCAGCCAGTATGAGCAAATATTGATGAGAGCGGTCGTGGAGAACGAGAGGTTGAGGGGCAAGCTTGAGGCGTTCGAGGCAATGATGGCCGGTGGTTTTCGTCCGGGGGTTAGGCCCCCTGTGTTGCAGTCGGCGCCCTCTGGGCCCTGTTGCTGCCAGGCCGATGGTTGCAGTGCATGAGACCTGGTCGGTGGTGGTGAGGGACAAGGGTGGTGACTCAGCCTCTGAGGTTGTGAAGTAGGTGGCGGAGGAGGTGGGCCCGGCGCTTAAGGTGAGTGTCCATGATGTCAAGCCCACGAAGTGTGGCGGTGCGGTCATTCGCACTCCATCTGTGGCGGAGAGGGAGAGATCGTGCAAATAAGAAGTTTTCGGATGTTGGTTTGTAGGTGACGGTGAGGGATAAGCTTGGCCCGAGGCTGGTAGTCCAGCGTGTGCATGCGGAGATGTCTCCCGACGAGTTTATGGAAGAGATGTACGACATGAACTTCAATGATAGTATGTCGGTGGAGAGCGTGAGGTTGGCGAGTGGTCCGTGGAAGCCTCCAGTGAGCGGGGACACTCGGATCAATGTGGTGTGGGAGTGTACGGAGCGTGTTGCTGAACAGTTTTGTGCGAGCTGCGTTTACATCCGTTGGTTCCGTTTTGTTGTCCGTAGGCAGGATCCAGTCCCCGTCTGCTTCAGGTGCCTCGGTGTGGATCACCGCGTTAGGGATTGCCGGATGAGCGCTGATGTGTGCAGACACTGTGGTGGAACGGGCCACTTATCTGCTGAGTGTGTCAACCCAGCTCATTGTAGGAATTGCGCGTTTAAGGGACTACCAGCTGATCATTTGATGCTGTCAATGGCATGTCCTGGTTATGCTAAGCTGGCTGCGAGGGCTAACGCACGCCATTAAATGAAGATTTTGCAATACAATTGCCAGCGGTCTGCGAGCGTGATGCATGAGTTCGGCCAAGCTATCCTGAGGATGGGCGCTATGTTTGCGTTAGTGCAAGAACCTTACTGTAGGGATGGTTGTGTGCGTGGACTGCCGGGGGATGCGAGCCTTTAAGGACGAGGGATGTGGCTCTGCCATAATAGTTGTGGACAGTGACGTCGAATGTACTGTTTGAAGTAGCCAACCTGAGGGGGTGTGTGCGTCCGTTGAAGGGGCGGGAGGGAAGATGTTGTTGGGTAGCATCTACTGCCAATTCAGCTCACCTCTGGAGCCATATTTAAGGTATATGGATACGGTATATCCATGAAATGGTTAGAAGCGAATGGTCCAATATATTATGTATACAATTAAATAAGTTATTGATGGTCAAATATGAAGGACACGATGGATTCAGAACATAGTAATCATACTATATTTTGCATAAAATTTGCAATTACGTGGTAAACACGTTATTCGATGCGGAGATATGGGAGAATTGGTTTTAAAATATAGCTTTTAAACAAATTTTCAGTCAATTTGAAGATTTTACTTATTTATCAGACCATTTGAAACATAATCTTATAATCTAATCTAAATTTAGAGGTCGCACATGAATTACCTTTGTGGAAAGTTTATACAGAAAAATATTAGTTCATGGCTTGGGATATGCAAAGTACAGTACAATACCTTTTGAGTGACAAGATGCTAACAATTCATGCCAACAAATAATTAGTAGCAGCCCGAACTTTTGTTAAGCCAAGTTAAATAAGGATTTTATTTAGTATTTTATATTACAATCCGACCTTGTAATATCCTTCAACAGCCATAAAGTTAAGGCCCGAAATTATAACATGGATGATACTAAATCGTACATTTGGGAGGACAATATTTTATATATATATATATATATATATATCTCTGATGTGTGTTTTGAAAATGTTGTGAATGATAAAAAAGTAATTTATGAATAACTAAAGTATATCAAATATTTTATTATAATAAAAATAAAACTACAAGTGAGTCACGGATATAAGAACATCAAAAAAATCGAGAAATTTGTTCTTATAAGCGGGATTTTCTTATATGAATGTATTTTATATAACAAACTGTTTCCATTTATCTTGGTCCGATCTACCCAGTTTTTGGTCCGTTGCTTGGTAGGCCTAAGTAAATGTAAATTGCCAATTTTCATTGAATTTGGTTGAATATTAAAGATTATATAGCCCAAAATAGTAACATTTTCAAGATCCTTTGTATGGGAGGTATATCAAATCTTGGTCCGATTTATCTAGTTTTTGGTCAGTTGCTTTATAGGTCTAAGTAAATGTAAATTTCCAATTTTCATTGAATTTGGTTGAATATTAATTGAATATTATTTTATAGGCCAAAAAGGGTGACATTCTCAAGACTTATCATATGGGAGGTATACCAAATCTTGGTCCGATCTATCCAATTTTTTGTCAGTTGCTCTTTAGGCCAATAATAAGCACATG